ATCCGCGGCCATCAATCCGTATCACAATCCAGGTGTTTGGCAGCAGCACGTCGCTTTGCTCGAAATTCTTCACATACTCATACCTATCACGTTGTTAGTTGGGTCAATAATGGATAGAAGCGTCGTACTTTGAATTAGCCATTTATGCAAGTTATGCGAGTGTTTGGTCGTGTATCCCGCATATGATATAGATCTTTTAAACGTCTTGTTTGAATTTCGCCAGAGAATTCAAGCGCATAACTAATGTTGATTTTGATAGCGCGGGGCTTAGTCATGACTAACCATTTAGCAGCTACTCCGTCAGACATTGATTCAAACATCGAGATATTGAACGAGAAGCTCAGCTATGAATAGTATTCTTTATTCATCAAGGGATATAAATTTTTCTATTCCAAAAGAGGCTATATATCATGTATCTTCGGACACTGACTCGTCTCCTGTCTCGCTCGCTATCCCACTGGATTCACTCGGCGCTTTCTCTGTCTTTTTTGACTTGCGCATGAACCCAAACCCGAGGCTTCCTTTGCTAGATTTCTCCCCGGATTTATCACCAAGTGATATGGCGCTCTCGTTGCTTTTATCCAGGTGCATCTCACCAATGCCCTCGCCGTCAGCCTCGCCTTGTCCGGATGAGTCTCCCTTCTTAGAGAAGAGGCTGGCCCGATCCTTCCAGGGCATGTTAAACTTGCTTGAGCTTCCTTTGCGGGTGAGTTTCTGGATAAATGATTCCTTTGTGCTGACTGATTCAGATGGAGTAGCGGAGGGAACTTGCTCTAGGGATTCGTGAGACTCGGTGGTTGCTGTTCGGATGGATCGAGAATCCTTAGAGCGCCGAGAGGCAGGTGGTGACAGTTCTTCGTGAGCGGAGTCTTCTCCACGAGACTTCGGAGGCTCTGAGTCCTTTGACTTTGGCCTGTCTAGTTTCTTACCAAAAAATGTTGTGAAGGAGGGTGCGGCAGGGTTTAGTTTTGGGGTGACAGGGCGATGGGAGGATGGAGGTCGAGTTCCAATGGGAGCTTGAATAGGTCTCTGTGGCTCATATGGAGCTTCATCGTACTCTAATTCAGTAGGTAGACCGAGAGGCAGGTGGCCTGTTGAACCTACTTGTATTGAAGGGCGACGAGACTGGTTCCGTGACCATGCAGTCGGGGATATCCAATCATGCCCAGAACTGCCGGCCTTGTCGGATGAGGGCCATCCAAACGGCTGATTCTCCATTGTCGGTCGTGGAAGGGCGTTTTCAAACGAATAAGTTGAGGAAGGTCGGGGAGATAGAGAATTTCGTCGAACAGTCCCAAGAATAGAGGGGTCTATCGGGTCATGGCGAGGGCTGAATTGGTTATACCCTTTGCTTGCATCTGGTGAATTGAGTGGTGGCTGATTGTGGTTAGGGGAAACTCCAGAACCATGTCTTCCAGAGGTGAAAAAACTAGGGAACATTGCCCGTCTCCCTGCAGGTAGACGGTCAGAGGAGCTGTCACCCGTGAGATGCGACGTATTGTTACGTGGGAAGAGGGTGGTCATTGGATTCGCCCAGTTTGTGGTGTAGCTCAAACGACGGCGTCTCGTGCCTATAGGATCAAACTCGTCATCCAGATTTCTTGGGAATGACTGACTTTGACCCGTCTTGAGGCTTCCAAGTAACGGGGGTCCGTCAGCCATGGTCTTACCCCTTTGGCGATTAAACCCAAAAAGCCCCGACAGCCGTCTGGATGCGCTCTGAGCTCCAGTTGGTGGGGGCTGGGATGACCCGGGTATGGTGGTTTGACATGTGTTACGATCGGTATCATGAAGGTTGTTTAAACTGCCATGGGGACTGGCAAAGATGCTTGTGGGATCGCTGCCAGATGAAAGGGGCGACGGCGAATTGGGTAGAAGTCCTTCAAATGGAGCAGTAGGAGCCACTGAAGTAGGAATTGTAGGGAAGGGAGTGATTTCTAATTCTTCGCCAATACTTTGCTCTTCGTCTCCAAGGAGATCAGAAGGCAGTAATGCATCGGCGCGAGGGCTCATGGGTGGATTTTCAGTATCAGTACGGACCGGGCTGGTTTCATCCGCAGGATCTGCGATGGTCATCCCATTATTGATATTAAAAAAAGCAGGGCCAGACGTGAAGGTTGGGGAGTTAGTCCCAACCTGGCCATAGTTCGGATTCGAGAACGCTGTATCAACCAAGGGAAAGCTAATAGGTGACGACATGTTGCTGGTAAGAGAGCTCCGATGGCGGTTACGCCTACGACTGCTTGTTCTTCTATTAAGGGCCAAGTCAGGAGTAGCAACTGGGCCAAACGGCCCAGGGGTATTAGCCCATTGGGCATTTGTCCACTGCAGCCTGTCTTGAGCCTCATAGTACTGTTGTTGGGCCTAATAGGGAGTTAGAATGGTGAAATGCCTTTCTGAAAAAAAAAAAAAAAAAAAAAAAAAAAAAAAAAAAAAACAATTGGAACTGCGTATCGCCCTTTATCACCTACCTGAGTGTGTACGTTCATGAGAGACGCATACTGAGAACGGAGGCCTGCCATTTTCCCATCCCAAAACTGTTCTGGTTCTCTCTCCACGCGTTCCAATTCTCTGCCTTCTTCATTGTCATCGGCCCCGGGACGCCGTCTCTCCTCCTCCAAAGCCTTGATGCGGCTCCCCGTGACCTTGATGTCTTCGTCAATCTGCTTCATGTCGCCTTGCTCCTCTGCGATTTTGCGCCGGTATTCTTCTAATTTGGTAGTGGACTCTTCCTCAATGCGGGTTTTCTCCTTCTCCAGGTTGACAAGTTCATCCCGTATTTCAACTTCCCTCTCGTCCCATCTAGCGATATCCTCACTTCGCTTCTTCCGTTCAGCTTCTCTCTGCTGCAGGAGCTTTTCCCGTTTGCTTTTCTCACTCTGAACCGTCCGGTTGACGCTTTCCAGTTTGTTGATATGTTTCCGTAGATCGCCGGTAGCATCATCTTTCTCCTTGACTCGCTGCTTTAAGTCATTTCTCTGGTCCTCCAGTTCACGTAGAAGCTGCTCGTATTCCTTGTCTTCCTGGGCTAGCTGCTTATCCAGAGACTCATTTTCTTGCTGCAGCACTTTCAGCCGTTCAGCCAGCTGCTTTAAAGAGCCTTCATGTTCGCCAGCCCCTGCAACCTCCCCATCATCTAACGTTTGCGGGCTATTGCTGTCCTGGGCCGATGTCGATCCAATAGACCTTCTCCCTGCACCAGAGCGTTTAGCTTGCGCTGCTCCACCGCTGTGTTCTCTTGACATGACGGGTGCAGAAGGAGAGACGATTGTGGCAGCCTTGGGCACATAGGCTTGAATAAGAGGAGGTCCACGGTTTTCATGATCTTGTTCGGGAGGGAATGATCCTAGGCCGGTGCGGATATGGAGAATAGCGCTGCAGGTCTGGAAATTGGCCGAGCTGATTGCGATTACACATATATGATATATATGGCTGGGCTGAAGGTTGAATATGGAAACGGCCGTCTCGGAGCGTTTTGTTTCGCCAACTGGCACCATGCTGTCAGCGCACTGTCTCCGACATTGCTGTCACGAGACAAAGAAGCAGGCTGAACTCACCTCTGATCCCATTCACCTGGACCGCATGCTTGTGGACGGAGTTTTGCAGCTCAGGATATTTCCAGGCTATCCGTATATCTGTGGCTCCTATCTCTTCCAGAATCACTTCGGGAGTGGGAGGAATGTCTAGGCCGAGTTTTTCAACAAGTAGCTCGTTCGGCGTGAGGCAGACTTGATATGCGCGGTAGGTGAGCCTATAAGCCGGCACAAGAAACACACATCAAGATTAGCTGAGTACACAGGAAGAAAGACATAAGCCTCAGAAAGGCATTAGACCTACCACATCAGCGCCCATAGGATCGAGCTGGCAATGAACAGCGCCATTGCACCCTGGACTCGTACCTGGGGGACACCGGGATAGGCGTCTGCCACCAGGCGCAGCGACTCGTATCTCCCCATGATGAACGCCCCATTAAAAACGAGCGAGGGAACCGGGGACTCCTGACGCAACCCAGCTCATCTCCGCACTGCAGAACCGGTTCAAAAGCGTCTTCCTTGCTCGCGCGAGTTGCTCGGCTTCGTCTTTTGCTCGCTTTTGGTCGTTTTGATATTTTGCGGATTAAAGATTTAGCTTGCCGAGGTACATGCTGACTAAGCAGGAGCTCTGAAGGAAAGAAGCAAAAGATGAGACGAAAGCAAAGATAGAAGAGACAGAAGAGACAGACAGGAAGATGGCGGATGGACTGGCTGTACGGAGTATTACGGGGATGCGGCGTCTTCGCCTGTTGACCTGGCGCGGCTGCTGCCTAGCTGTGGTGTTGATACACTAGTTGATCATGGAGTACTGCAAATACGATGTTGATAGAACGATGTCCCCGAACCACTGCCTGGACAGCGAGATGGTAGTTATTCGGTAGCTTCCTACGTAGTTACTTTGTATAGCAGACGAAGCGAAGGTCTGGCTTATCGTTTCCCTGTTCGATACTTGTTGAGGCCGAGGTCAGCCACCACAGAGCCTCATCCGTCCGTCCCTGTCGGCAGCTCCTGTCGGCCCAGCGAGACATCAAATCGGCTCCTCCTCGTCGCTGCCAGGGCGAGAGCTAAGCATCCATCTCCGGCCACCAGTGGCGTTCTCACATGAACATCTTCCACTTGCCCCCGAAGCCCACCAGGTGATGTTGAATGTTGACGGAGTGCTCCGTACTTCGTCTTCCGTAGACACCGGTAACCGCACGGCAGTCAGCAAAGCAGCAGCAGCAGCGACAGGCCAGTCATGTCTCGGAGGATAACTACTGGTTGTTGCTGTGCGTTCGGAGGCAGCCAACCGGATGAGGGCAGGACAGCCATGCAGCGAGCAAGGGAAACTGTGACGATGCCAGGATCAGTGGAATGCTAAGACCAGGACTGCTTAGCACCGTCATCGGGGCCGTCTAGAATGTGTCTCGAATGTAACCATCCATGCCACGCCTTCGGTTTCACAGCGAGTTACTCCATACGTAGGTCAGGAGACGCAGCTCGACAGACAGACAGAAGACGCTGTGGTTAACTGTTAGCAGACGCAGCAGAGAAAGGAACCGGAGACCAACCGTCAAGCAAGGGCGCCTCACTCCTGCCTGCAGGACTGTTGTATAACTACTCTCTCCGTACTCCCTCCGTCTAGGCTCGAGATCTGCCCTTGTAGCGTCTCAACAGAAGGACAGCTGCCGTGTTTAGCGCCACTTGCCCAGTTGTAAGGCTGTCGGCTTTGTCTCGCCCCTCGACTATATAAATCGGTCTCAGGTCTCAAGTTAACTCGCCTGCTAAGCCCTGCGCTGTGATCCTCGTTAAGCCCGTCAAGCCAGTAACCGCTAACTACGGAGCAACTAGCAGAGTCAAGTCGTTTTTGCTTCTTCTTCTTCTTCTTCTTCTTCTTCTTCTTGCGCCGAAGCGACCCGCAAACTCTCGCGTCACATGTTCGTCTTCGCTCGACGGCCTCAACATATGCGACTCTCGATCTCAACCTCAACCCCAGCTTCAACTTCAGCATCGCCAGCTTCGTCTTCGTCTTTCGCTCGCTCTTCTCTCGCTAGACTCTGAGGTTCTCTCCCGGTGCGGTCTTCTGTAACTCGTCTTCGACTTCACATGCCGAGCTAGCGGGATGCAGTACGTCAGAAGTATCAGCGGTTCGGTATCTAAGACATGGAACTCAATCAATCCGGCCACCCTCAGCGGTGCCATCGACGTGATAGTCATTGAGCAAGAAGACGGTCAGTCTCTCTTTGTGCGTTAGTTAGATACTGGTATAAGCTGTTACTGACTGTCTCAACTGCAGGAACACTTGCATGTTCGCCGTTCCATGTCCGTTTCGGCAAATTCTCCCTGCTTCGACCGTACGAGAAGAAGGTAGGCCGCCTGGCCCCCAACAACAGAAAGAATTCAAATGAAAAAAGGTCGAAAATATTTGCTAACCAGCGATTCTCCAGGTCGAGTTCAGTGTCAATGGGGTCAAGCAAGACTATGCAATGAAACTCGGGGAGGGCGGGGAAGCCTTTTTCGTATTTGAAACCACTGGCGACGTCCCAGAAGACCTGCAGACTTCTCCCGTCATATCACCCGCTATCAGCCCGCAGTCGTCGCCAGAAGGGACCAGTAACAGCAGTGCCTACAACCTACAAGAACCCGAGTACCTCGACCTTACCTCAAAGTCGTCTACCCCTCCGAAACAGCCACGCGCGATAACGGAACCCCTCTTGAATGGCGAGGCTGAGCCCCCTTCGCCTATCGCAAAGAATGCCCACGAAATAGGCCATAAGCTAGACAGGTCTCGGTCCGATGACCTGCTGGACGCAGGCCGTGCAAATGGCCTGGGTGCAAACAGTTCACCGCAGACCACGCGGTCCCAGAGTCCGCCCCCAATATCCCGCCAAGAGGCATACTCTAGAGCCATTTCGCTGTCCAAAAAGCTATCTGGGTCCAATATTCCTTCCAAGGTCACCGAGAGCGGTGACCTAATGCTTGATATGACCGGATACAAAAGTAGTGAAGACGATGCCCTGAGAGCAGAGGTGGTAGCCCGTAAGATTCTGGCCGAAGAGCTGGAAGGAAACTACGATATCGGTGCCTTGATTGGAGCTGATGAGCACGGCAACCTGTGGATCTACAGTAGTGAAGAGGCCAAGGAGGCCGCTGGTCGTAAGGCTTCCTATAACACTATCCAGCACCATAACGGTATGGCAGACGACGCCATATCGGACCCAGGATACCAAAGCGACAATGATCAGCTAGACTATAATAACCACCCACAGAAACACCACCGTTCTCAGTCGGATGCGCAACTAGAATACCCTACCCCGCCGCAAACTCCAACAGATAAGCAACAGGAAAACGGCCGTAGCTATGCGAAGACCTTGCGGTTAACGAGCGACCAGCTTAAGGCACTCAACCTCAAGCCTGGTGCAAACCCGATATCGTTTAGCGTCAACAAGGCCGTCTGTCCCGCTACCATGTACCTATGGAGCTACAAGGTTCCCATTGTCATCTCAGACATCGACGGGACCATCACCAAGTTAGTTATATCCTCCCCTACTTCCTATGTCTAGGTCATGCTCCTCTAACGTCTTCTCATAGGTCTGATGCTCTCGGGCATGTTCTAAACATGATTGGTCGGGACTGGACCCATCTCGGTGTTGCGAAGCTCTACACTGACATTGCGAGCAATGGCTACAACATCATGTACCTAACAAGTAGATCTACCGGCCAGGCGGACACCACCCGAGCATATCTCAAAGGGATTTTGCAGGATGGATATAAGATCCCCCAGGGCCCAGTGATCATGAGCCCTGACCGAACAATAGCCGCACTACGGCGTGAGATATACCTCCGCAAACCGGAAGTATTCAAAATGGCCTGTCTGCGCGATATCCTTAGTCTTTTTGAAGGGCGTCAGAATCCCTTCTATGCCGGATTCGGTAATCGCCTTACCGATGCACTCAGTTATCGATCCGTTAATATCCCCTCAACCAGGATATTTACCATCAACTCCAACGCAGAAGTCTCGCTTGATCTTCTCAGCTTAACCAAGTATAAGAGCAGCTACGTGACAATGAGGGAGCTGGTCGACCACTTCTTCCCGCCAGTCAGCACACTTGTGCAAGAAGGCGGCGAGGAGTTCACAGATTTCACATATTGGAGGGACCAGCCGAGGGAGCTAGACGAATTTTCGCTTACCGACACCGACGTCGGCTCAGATCGAGCTGACGATGACGATGAGTTTGACACCGATCACCGCAGCGGTATCCGCGAGACCTATATATCTCGCGACTCGATAGAGATTTCCGGCGATATGCATGATTCGATACATGACTCCGTATACGAGGACATGGACGATATCTCTGAAGAAGACGAATACGATGAAGAAGACGGCCGGCGGATGTCTGATGAGGTTCCTGCACCGTCAGGCGAAGATAACGATGATTCCGGGGTACCCAGGTCTCCGGCACGCACTCCCAGAACCCTTCCTGTCCGCTAGGGAGGTTGCACTGCTATATTAAGCCATCAAGTGGATGGCTGTGTATATTTTCTTTTTCTTTTTGACTATGATTGGCTGGCTGGCGCTCAGTCCTGGAGTTTCTCTTTCTGTTTTTCTATTACGTTCCTCATTCCTCTGGGAGGCCAGATATAGATAGGACTTTATACCCTCTTTTTTCGAAGGCCTACCGGGGACTCAACTCCCTGGCGTCATTGCTTCAGCATCTGGTGCATTCATGAGCGGGATTTTTTGGCGTGTTTCCCCTATTTACTCCTGTCTTGATATTGTTGCTGCTCTGTCCATAGTCGGGAACTTTGCCTGGCTCTGTGTTGTTAGTTCGGCGTAGACTCTAATAGAAATGTTTAATGTCACCATCTTCTCTGTCTACTCCATCACTCTCTTCTCCCTCTGGATCAATCAATTGTTTATAGAGTCTGTGGCAACTCAACGTACATAATTCTGCATAACCTTAAAACGTGTTACACGTGACCGGGGATCCGCGACTTCGAGATCGCAAAGAAACAGTTAGCTTGCGAGCTTCACTTTACATCTTCGTCTTGTATATCTTTTGATACTCACTCACACGGCTGAACGAGCTAGGTTTCTAGAGCTCACTGTTTCCTTTTCTCCTCAGTGTCATACTTGGTATTCTCTCAGCTCACGGCAAACACCAAGAACCACAATCCCCGCTTGCAGGCCAGGCGAGATATATGCGCTCTTCAGATAGCGGATAGCCACCATAACGAGACCTCCATAGAGCTCGTTCGGGCTTTGTCTAACCCTCGATATATCGTAATACAAGATGGCTTCACCCAGGCCTAATGCGACTCCTACGGCGGCACCATCTGCTCCTTCAACACAGCCAATTACGCCCCCTGCCGAACCTATACCATCAAACCCAGCTGCGCCAACAACCACTACCCCAGCGCAGATACCTTCTACTTCACTCCAAGATAGCGGCAAAAGCAGACGACCTCGAGATGCACGATTAATCCATATGCTATTGGCCTCGCTCGGCGTCACTTCCTATCAGGAACGAGTCCCGCTCCAGCTCCTTGATTTCGCATACAGATACACCTCTAGCACGTTACAAGACGCGGTATACCTGGCAACTGAGGGCTATCCTGGGGAACTACAAAAAGATGGCGGCGGCCGAAGCCATGCGCATCAAGATGGTAGCAATGGCGTTAGCCTAGGTGCGCTGCGAATGAGCATAGCTTCACGGTTGCACTATCAATTCCAGCCAGGCCTGCCCAAGGAATTCCTAATGGACCTTGCAGCGGAACGTAATAGGATTATGCTACCTGGTGTCTCGAGGGGACAAGAAGGAGGGTCAGGTAGCGCTACAGCTTCAGGACAGGAGACTATGATGGGTGGTATACGGCTGCCACCGGAGCGGTTCTGCTTGACAGGAGTAGGATGGGACATGAAAGGGGAATGGGAGAGTGAAGGCGAAGAGGAAATGGATGTGGATACGCAAGCTGCCGGCGCCGGTGCGTCTGCCGAAAAAGACGCAGAAGAAAGGGAAGAGGAAGACGATGATGAAGATGGGCGGATGGAAGACGTCTTTGGACATACTTCAACTGCGGATGCTGAAAAGGACGAAGACAAGACTATGACGGATGTCTGATTTTGCCTGACATTGGCCCGAACAGCGGGGGGGGAAAGCCCCGTCAACCAAGGCATTTCTAGCCTAAGCAAAGGAGTTAATCTAATATCGGCGTATTGGAGGGGAGTTTTAAAAACGGCACGTTCCAGGAGGCTTCTTAGTGGAGATCTATGAGATTTATTTTGTACAATATCTAATCATTATGTTTTCCAAATGGCACGTAGAGTATGAGCCAAACATTGACTCCTGTAACTCGTCCAAAGCAAAGATAAGGATAGCGTGCAAAGTTGACAGCAACCGGGTATATGGCTTGAGAAATTGCTCTTGCCAGAGACCGCATCCAAATGTATAGTACAATTAAACAGAAAGAAGAATAGCCCAATTCCAACCTGAAGTAACGCCGGGGAGTTGCAAAATATAACAATCGGTCCAGAAGAGTAACGTACGCCTATCATGGTTCCTCATGCACTCTTCGCGGCGTTGGCTGAAGCCCGCCTCTCCTCGTCCTTCTTCATCATCGCGATAACTTCCTGTCTTCGTTTTTCCGTCTCCTGCGCCTCTCTTTCTCGAGCTCTTAGTCTCTCCTCTCGACCGGCAAACCATTCTTCTCTCGCCAAATCTTCTACCTCTGGTCTGGCGTGAAGCACCATACAGGCGTTCATGGCAAGACGCTGCTTCCGACAAACCCACGTAGCGGTGACTGTACGATTAACTGCACATGCTGCGAATTCTAACATAACAGAAAAGAAACTGTTAGCTCAAATCAACCCTGATTACAATTATAATGTTGCCTGTGCAATGGGGTGTCTGTTGCCAATGAATCCAACCACAATGCTTACCTTTTATTACCGGATCACAAAGCCCCCTAACTTTCTTATAATACGCCTGCTTGACTTCTGCCTCCTGAGTAGCAGACAGCGGCGTAGGATTCCGAAGGTCGACCTTCCGACGAGCTGGCGTTGGGGGGGTTTCTGGAGCCGACGGTGCGGCAGTGGTGGCCATCGCTGCTGGGTTTCAAGGAAAGGAGGCAAAATAAATGAGACCGGTATGTAGCTAGTCCATCCGCTAGAATTGAAGCTGACTGAAGGGCCGCTGACGACCTGGTCGTGGTGATGTTTAAGCTGTCATCGACATTTCGTTCATGCAATTGATATCACGACGTTAGTGAAAGCTCTTGGAGTTGGAAACTTTATTTTTTTTACGCTTATGAACTTTTATAAGGTCAAGTAAAAAAAATAAGTCAACAACTTCAAACAGCTTTGGCTCTTTCGCTTTTTATTTTAACACTACTCTCGGGCCCAGGGCAGACAGATACCAGGCTATATTTACCCTAAGGCGTTTACATATATCTTCACGGTTTGAACGGTCACCATGTCGTCCATGCGAAATGCCGTGCAGCGGCGTGTGCATCGCGAAAGAGCACAGCCCGCTGCCCGTGAGAAATGGGGTCTCCTAGAAAAGCACAAGGTGATAAGATTCTAGGTCTATACATCCTGGCGAATACAGGTTCGATCGACTAACAGTGGGTGGAAATGTAGGACTACTCCCTTCGAGCCAAAGATTATAATCTCAAAAAAGCACAGCTACAACGCCTGAGAGAGAAGGCGCGAGACCGTAACCCAGATGAATTTGCCTATGGAATGATGTCAGAGCGCTCTAAAACACATGGGAAACACGGAGCTAGGGAATCAAAGTCCTTAAGCCATGCGACAGTGAGCCTTTTAAAGACACAGGATGCCGGGTATTTGCGAGTAGTGGGAGAACGAGTTCGAAGACAGCTTGCACAAACCGAAGAAGAGGCCGATCTACAGAAAGGAATCCAAAAAGCAGAAACCCTAGGCGGGAAGAAAGTCATTTTTGTCGATTCAGTGGAGGAGCAACAGCAGGAGAAAGCACACAGGGATGAGCAGGAAGATGATGAGGAAGAAGAAGATGCCTCTAGGGAACTGACTGCTGATGAATTGAAGCAAATGGCCAAGACAATGTCCAAGAAACAACTTGAAGCCGAGAAGCGAGTGAGAAAAGAGCTTTTTGTTGCTCGGCGGTTGAAAGAGAAAGCTGTTGAGGCCCGGTTAAAGAAGCTTGAAACCCTCAAGCAGCAGCATGCGGATATTTCTGCCGCAGAGGAGGAGTTGGCTCTGCAGAGGGCAAAGATGGCCAGATCTGTAGGGGGTGTGAACAAAAATGGCGTCAAATGGAAGGTTAGGGAGAGGAAGAAATAATTATTTGGATCTTTTGCGCCTGAATAACGAGATTACGAATTTTCTTCTGGCGTTCGATTGGGGTTAAAAAAAGGTAGTGTAATTATCGAATCAATATTGACATCAAAGTATATCAAATGCCAGCGATTCGGGAGGGAAAAAAAAAAGTTACTCAGAAGGTTGGAATCAAAAGATATAAACGGACAAAATCTACGAAATACCACCATACTCAACCTCCATCCTGCCATTTAAATGACTTCACAAGAGGTCATCATGCCCAAACTTCACTGACCGTCTATTGCGGCCATGCGAATGGAAACCGCTCGTCGATGCGCATCCAAACCTTCTACCGAAGCCAGCTGCATCACGGCACTTGATACGTTGCGCAAACCTTCGGCCGTCAAGTTGGAGCTTGTGATGTGCTTTACAAAGGACGCAAGATTCACCCCGGAATACTGCTTTGCGTATCCATAAGTTGCTAGAAAATAACATCATTAGCCGTTTTTGACTTTAGGGATAGGTGTGTAAGGAATCGAGTATACATACGTAGGGAATGGTTGACGCCAGCAGAGTAATCACCAACACTCTCAGGAGTCCATTCGCCAATAAAGACACTTCCAGCATTTTGTACAAGCGGAACAACATCTGCTGCATTTTCGAGTTGAAGAATCAAATGCTCAGGAGCATACTCGTTGCTCAACGTCATGGCCTCCTCCACGTCCTTGACAACAAAGGTCACGGAGTGGGAGATTGAGCCTCTAACGATATCTACTCGCGGTAGAGCCATAGCCTGTGAGTGAAGCTCATCTTCGATGGCTTTAAGCTCGGCTTCGTTCAAGTCGATTGCAATAAGTATGACCTGAGAATCAACGCCGTGCTCTGCTTGACTAAGTAAATCTGACGCAACGAAGGCAGGGTTTGCATGTTTATCAGCAATAACAAGTACCTCACTGGGCCCGGCGGGCATATCAATGCCCACGCCGGCCGAGGTATCGTTTGATACAAACATCTTTGCAGCCGTTACGAACTGGTTTCCTGGGCCAAGGATCTTGTCAACTTTGGTAATGCTCTCCGTGCCGTAGGCCATGGCTGCCACAGCCTGAGCTCCACCAGCAAGCACGATGCTATCTGCTCCGACCTTTTTGGCAATGTATACGATCTCTGGAGAGATACTGCCGTCTGATCGTGGCGGAGATGCAAAAATGATATTTTTGCATCCAGCAACCATGGCGGGAACACCTAGCATAAGCGCCGTTGAAGGCAGCACGGCCGTGCCTCCGGGTATGTACAGGCCGACCTTTCCAATGGGACGGACAAAACGTGAGCAGACGACTCCTGGCATTGTTTCGACGGATAATGGCTTTTCATCCTGCTGGGCGGCGTGAAAGCGGCGGATATTTTCGTAGCTAACGTCAATGGCCGCCTTGGTCTCAGGGGACAGTTTCATCAATTCTTCGGGGAATGGAGCAAGAAGCACGGGTGACGTTAGGGAGGTAGCCTTTTCGAATTTATGGGTATATTTTAGAACCGCGGCATCTCCATTTTGCTGAACATCTTGGATAATTGGGCGAACGAGGTTGACAACTGCATCATTGGATTTTTGGGAAGGTCTTTGCAGCGCCTCTTTGACAGTCCCCGGTTGGGTAGACGCAGTGACGTAGCATTTCATTGTGATCTTGCCATCTACTTCTATCGCTTGAGGCTTGGGTTTGGTATCCTCTTTAGCTGCCTCCTTAGAACCGCCCTTGGTGCTAGCCAGGCCGAGTTTCTCTGACCAACCCGGTTTGGCGTCCCCCTGTCTCCTCTTCACCTTTAGACTCTTCAAGTCAAGGTTTCTCTCAACATCTTCAAGAGAAACACCAGAAGCAATACACTTTGTGAGCGCAAAGTAGATTAAATCAGCGGCTTCCGAGGCAACTTCCTCCTTCTTGGATGCTTGACATAGCTCTTCAGCTTCTTCCATTATCTTGGCCTCTAACAACTTCGGGTCATTGAATAGACGCGAAGTATATGAGCCAGGAGGTGCACTCTGTTTCCGGGTTTGTAAAGTGTGTTGCAGACGGGAAAGGCCACTATATGCTCCAAAGCAGCTAGCTGTTCCGAGGTGGCAGAAACCTATATGACGGTATGTTAGTTTAAGTCCATAAAACTGGTAAGATGGTAGGCGAACCTCTTCCTTTCTGTCTAACTACAAAGACGAGGCAATCATTGTCACAGTCCAAGCCAATTCGGACCAGCTCCTGGGTGTCACCACTGGAAGCTCCTTTGTACCATAATCCGCGTTTCCGGCTCTGATACACTCCGGTCCCGGTCCGAACGGCTTCAAATATGCTCTTGTCACTGCTCCAGACAAGTCCCAAAGAAATTCCGCGCTCATCGGTAACAGTAGTAGCATATAATCCCGTGTTGCTATCTGGAACAGCTCCAGCAACCAAGAACTTCGCAGGTGAAAGCTCTTCTTTGTCTGCTGACAGAACTGTAGACGGGATAATGCTGACAACTCCTTCCTGCTCGTTAGCCAGAAGAGCAGTTTGCTTTGCCGAGGTATGGTAGGACCTGTAGACTGTCTTGACGGAGGATTCATCTGCCAACTCGGATATAACGGTATCCAATGCCTCTGACGAAGTGCAACTGACGCCAATATCTTTCCGCTCAGCAGCTTCGGCCACCCAATTCTTCAAATCAAGGACTTCCGAGGCCGATGACAAGAGCACCACTAGCCGTGAGAAAGGGACACTTTGCTCCTTTGACAGCGTCTTGAGCTGGTCAAGCGTTACAAAGGCAAGGATTGCTCCGGCGTTAAGAATGTCGACGATGTCTGCCACGTCTGTGATGGCTGTCGCATCAATGCAGACATCTAGCAGAGAAAAGTTCTCCCGAACAAAGGATAGAGCATAGTCAACGCTCGACGGCTTTATAAGAACTCTGCCAAAGTACGAGATCTGCTTGAGGCCAAGGCCTTCTGTAGAGCTTGACTCGGGTGTATGGGAGAGCAGAAAGGGCAGCGCCATCTTCAATCTGGTGGCTGGATCTCTGTTGTCTTCAAAAAAAGGCTTTCCTGCAAGCAGCACACTCAATTATCTGTTTCTCTATCCCTCTTCTATCGTTTGACTCCCTTTCTTCTGTCTGTCGTTGGTTTTTGTAGCAGGAGCTGGCGATGACTCCCACAAAACTGCTACGGTGGGGCACGAAAAGATAAGGAAATTAAGCTTTGCGGCGTCTGCCAGGGTTGGTTAATTTTACCGCGAAGCGGGGCAAGCGAGAAGTGTTATTGCCCAGGCACATAGACTTAGTAGACACTGCTGGATGTATACATACGTTATGGTGTATAGACAGGTGATGTACAGTGAGTTTGGTATCAGGGTCCTCTTAACGAGTAATCAAGTCTAATTATTGATTGAAGAAGCAGCATCTTCCTTACACGCTCTTTTCCAGTTCCCAAACAGCTCCTGCAGATATTTGTTCCACTCCTTTATTGCACCCAACGCAGCTGGCGTATCCGACGATGACCTGGCCATCAATTCGGCCTGACGTGGTACCTCAACGCTGAACGTGAAAATGGGTTCCCTCACACTCTTCACTTGGCGGAACGGCTCCAAGTACAACGACATGGCTTTGAAAATAGCTTCTATCCGTCGAGGGGCGCTGTACCGGAACCCGTCCGAGTGGACATGAAAATGAAGTTTGTGGAGGGTTGAGCCCTGGAGACGGTCTGCAATTACCCCGAGGTAGTTCAGTATCGGCTCACGAACATCATCGACATCGAATTCAACTAGAATCCTTTTGCTCTTCTGCCAGGAACCGGGGTCAGCAGACGGACACCGTTTTTCCATGATATATATATCCCCGGCCCAGAAATAGAATCGGCACAGGAGTTTTCGGTAGAGAAGGTCGCTTGTCTCTTTGAAAAGCTGTCGATTCAAGCGTGCTATGGTCAAAAAGGTGTGATGCGCAGAATAGATTTCGTACTTCCTCTTATATTCAGCAAGGACGAACGAGAAGATATGTTGGCGGAGTTCGATCGGCAGACGTAATATGTGACAAGGTAAAACGGTATTCTGGTGGTCGAAACAAAGCTGTATCTCGGTCCAGGGGATCTTCTTCATGCATTTGCGATTCTTTCCAACAGGTGCCTGGCAGCAAGTCACCACCTCTCCGAGCTTCTTATGAGCCCAGCAGACCGGAACTTCCTTACTCGCCGGGCAGGCACTCGCTGCATTTTTGCATTTTTTGGAAGAATATGTCAGAGCTGAGCATGCAGGTTTATGCTTCGTTGGAGATTTTGTTGGTCGTGGCTGTTTTGTGATGGCCATCTTCGCGCAACCGGTATACCTATATTACCCGATAATACGTTGATTCATATATTGGTGCCAATGAACCAGTGTTAAACGATGTAGGAGGTATGATGGTAGCATTCTACAGGCAAGTTATGGTCCGGAGCCAGAGGACTCAAATTTATAACGAATGTCCGACTAATGGTATTGCAAAGTCCGTCCATGTCGATGACAGACATGGCAATTTCAGGCTGAAAATGGGTAAAAATCATCAAGATTGCAGCCTGGGATACGACCATCAAATATCTAAAACTTCGCTGCTGCCTGTAAGGCGTAGTTAAATAACTACTAGGTAATTCGGTATAACCAATAAGGCGAGGTCGAGACGGAGGGGCCGTAATGCCAGGCGCGTCTGGGCAGAGCAAGGGGTAACTCGTTGGCTTATACTCCGTAGGGCGCAGCATGAACCAGAAGTAAATAATAAATAAATGAAAAAATAGAAAATAACCAGTTCCGAACTCTGAACAAGTATTTTCTCTCTCTACTAGAACGTCGAGAATCAATATATTCATATGCGTATTAACTAACTACGATGAGTTAAATATCAATCAACTCAAACTTGAATTCGGGACCTGCATGGAAATTTACACATAACTAGTTAAAGAGAGAAGCCGCCGCCGACATGATAGATCATTTAAATAACCGATAGAAGATATATTTTCAGGGCGGCGACGGATATTGCCTTGGTTTACTGGGTTGGATGGGTGGTTTGACAAGCGTACGCACTCGTCCGCCGGTAGGCTGTTGGCCCCGATTTGCCCAGGCTCCTCTGTGTGACATGGAAGTTAGTAAGGGAACTGGAGTTGGCAGGCAGTTAGTTAGCAGCCGTTTTTTTTTTACACCATGCAGTTTTGTCTCAACGAACTAGGCTGAGAGCTGGATAACATGTCCTTGGTATAGATCTATATCTTAACGTAGTACTCGGAAGGATGATATGAAGGATACCTACATATAACTAGGCACTTAAACTCAAGGCCCGGCATATGATAGTCACTTGATAGACCCGTCTGCATTTGGCCCCCGTCGACTTCCCCGGCCTGGTCAGTCTCAAGGCATGGGCAAGGGAAATTCACAACCGGGATCCGGAGACTAGACCGTGCTTTTACTAGAGGCAAACAACAGATGTTTTAATTGTTATATGCACTTACAGCTATGCATATGTCTCCTCCCACCCCTCACTGTTTGTCCTTCCTTGTGCTGACGCCTAGGTCCCCGTTGTGGTCATTCTCCGGCTGTATCGAACCGTTGGTAGGAAGGTGGCAGCTGCCCTCAGCCATCAACGTCAGGTTAATCCCCGAGCATGGGCGGGGTAACATGCATGCATGCATGTGTATAACGCTCTCGTCTCTCGTCGACAAAGAAGCCATCCGTAGCGACGGCACAGTGGTGGAGTGTGTGCGTGCCTTCATACTTAATAATGGACGGTTGGCGTGTGATCACTAGTGACTGGCGATCGCTGGCCCAACACAACAACCATCTCGGCCTAAGGACGAGATAGGGACGAGCTCGTCGGTGAGGATGTAATTCCGGACGGCGACCGGCCGAGGAAGAGAAGGCCGGCTGAACTGGGTTCATCTATCTTGGTCGCCTATGCATGACTTCATCGCATCATGACGGAGAAGCGGTAAGCGGAAGACCGTCATGCCTGAAAAGGCAGCCCAGGAGGACCCCCATAGCCAAACTCACTAGTTAAACTCTGGCGCGGGCTGTTTGCTAGTCGATATCAGTATATCAGGCGGTTTATGTCCAAGGCAATTGCATGCAGCAGCGGAGGGCCCTAAAAAATGTCTGTTGACCTTGCTGCAGCGAGTCAAAATCCTTGCTGGGCAAAATAAGCTATCAGTTAATATTCTCTCTTCTCTCTCCCACCCATCCATCGCCTTATCATGGCGGAGGAGAGGTCAGGGGTGCAACCTGTTCTGGTGTCCGTGATGCCTTGCCTTGGTTCTAACATGCTCCCTCGGCACAGCAGCATACGGTCGAGTGTTTGTAATGTATAAACGTAGGGAGTAGATCCACCAAACGACAGGAAAAAGGATCTTGAGCGTGTTTATTCCATCACGAGACACACACCAGGGTTGCCGACGGTCTTTGTGGGGTTGATGTATCTACACCATCGGATGTTGGTAGAGATGTTGCCGTCTTCGATAATGTGTCGTATGTACCCCGTACAGAGAAGAAAACGATAGCCAGCCAGCTACTGTATGTCCTGGTCTCGACCTTCTCTCGCCAGCAGCATCAAGAGTCAAGGACCAGGAACAGCAAGCCGGTCCATGTCATACATAACGGACTGATCCTGCCCGAGAGTTCAACAGGCAGCCATCGACCGGGGGGCACAAGAGAAGAGGAAAAAAGCAAAACGCCCCTTAAGTAACATTAGTTAACTGGCCAAGCGTGTCCCCCCTAGCCGCTGATCATTTTCAGGGGTAAAAATGTATGGAAAGTAAAGCAAAAAAGAAAAGGCACAAAGGCAAAAGACCAAAAATTCATGCTCGTAACTATGGAGCCGTGACATCAGGACAAGAGGCAGCCCTGGAGAAGCGCAGCGGATCACGATGGGCATCGAGGCAGAAGCCGCTTCTCTGGGTCTGCGTCTCGAGGTCTTCTGATATCTGTTTCGTGCGACACCCTACCGGCTTTATGGGGCACCAGGTGAACTGCTTGCTCTGTACGAGAGGGACGATGGACGATAGAAGAACTGGCAGCGATACGGAGTACCTTGAGTACCGATCTGTCTTCCGTCCCTGGCAACACTGCAGCAGGTAGACATATAGTTACGGAGCACAATCAGCGCTCTGTGAGAGCACCGCGTCCGGGATGCCTTGCCTTGCATCAACCGCTCCCCGGAACAATATATACACATCACCTCGTGGAACGGACAACAAAAAACATTGTTTCCTGTACTCCATAACTCCTGCTGCAAGGGAAAAGAAAGGAAATGAAATGAAAAACACGTCCGAAATGGCTGCCATGGTGGCTGGAATGAAGATCTCCTGACGGTCCAACTGCATGGAGATTAACACTAAAAAGCCAACGACGACGCCAACTGTGATATCTGTGATAGAAAACCGATCTGAGAGTTGCACTGCGGACATGCTACCTGACCAGGATATTGGTTTTTTTTTTTTTTCTTATTTTTCTTTTTCTTTGCTTTGCTTTGCTTTGCATGGCCAGGTGAGGAGCGAGCCAGGATGAAGCTCTGTTCCTGCCCGGGGGTTGGTGGACATGACCAAATTACTCGAAGGATATGCAAGATGCGAAGCAATCGAAGAAAACGAAGAAAAAAGAAAGAAAAAAGAGATGAAGAAGAGCTCCATGCCGATCAAGGGATATCGAGTTTAAGGAGTCCTCGGCTTGCTCTCCACACATCCACCTCCCGGTTGTTGGATGGATTGATAATTGATTGCTGCTGTTGAGCCTGGTATCTATCCCGTCGTGCCAGCAAGACAGTGATTGCATTCTCCTTATTTCTCTTCTTCGTATTATATATCATATCCCATTGTCCCTCTTTTGACCTCGCTCTCTTCTTCCCTTCCTTTCGTTCTCTCGTTTATACCAACCACTACGGAGTAGATACTGTGTATACGGATATCGCCAAAGATGAAGTCGTTATCACTCCTGGGCGTCTCCTCCCTCGCCCTCACCTCCCTCGCTCTGCCTACTGTGAACCAAAATCAGCTTCGATTCGAGTCTCTCGCCGACCTTGCCGATGCGGACAAACCGCGGGCTATCAAAGATGCATTCAACCATGCATGGAAAGGATATATGACCCACGCCTACCCAATGGACGAACTCCGGCCAGTGTCCAACGTAGGGACTAACCCACTGTACGATAATCCAATACCCTATTTATTTTCCCTTGTTGTATACGCATATATCGTTTACAATAACCGCCATTTAACGCCCCATACTTATTATGATTGTGTGTGTTAGGAACGGCTGGGGTGCCACGCCGGTCGATGCGCTTTCTACTGCTATCATAATGGGCTTGCCAGATGTCGTGGACCAGATCCTGGACCATGTTAGCAAGATTGATTTTAGCAAGACGGATGACCTCTGCAGTTTGTTCGAGACTACTATTCGCTACCTAGGAGGTTTGATCTCGGGTTATGACTTGCTGAAGAATTCGGGGGCAATGGATGTCGACGTATGTTCAACACCTTTCGTTTAGTTATGGGGAGATGTGCCATTACAAACTTCCAAATCACTAACTCTATGATATATAGTCCGAGAAAGTCGATGTCTTGCTTCAGAAGGCTGTAGAGCTTGCGGATGTCCTTAAATTTTCTTTTAACACTACTACCGGCATTCCCTCAAACACTCTGAATATTCCTAAGCAGACTACTGTAAGTCATTCGTTAACAATTTATAAAATGTGGCAGGATTGACACCGTTTAATGTAGGACGGCGCCACCAGCAACGGCCTTGCAACGGTCGGAACATTGGTCCTTGAATGTAAGACTCTGTCAGAACTTATAACCCTGCATTTCAAAACATCCAACTGACTCGCCCTTATAGGGACACGTCTCTCTGACTTGACCAACATGGAAGAGTACGGAAAGCTTGCCCAAAGAGCTGAAGAGCATTTGCTCGACCCCATGCCTCAGTCGAATGAGGTGTTCCCCGGTCTCGTCGGAGGAAGTATCAACATCAAGACCGGCGAGTTTGAGCGCGCCAGTGCTAGCTGGGAGGGCGGTGATGATTCCTTCTACGAGTATCTGATCAAGATGTACGTCTACGATCGTAGTGCATTTGGAAAGTACAAAGATAGGTAAGAATTCATACACCCGGTATCATCTGAAAGCGTTCAAACCAATTAACGCCGATATATGTAGATGGGTGCTGGCGGCCGAGTCGACTATTGAGCACTTGAAATCTTCCCCCTTGCTGCACCCTGACACCACGTTTGTCGGAGCCTGGGCAAACGGAGCATTGGTCAAGAGCTCCCAGCACCTTGCCTGCTTCGACGGAGGCAACTTCATCCTCGGTGGACGAGAGTTGAACCGACCTGACTTCACCCGATTCGGACTTAAGCTAGTCGACGGCTGCCACAAAACTTACGCCAACACTGTGACTAAGATCGGACCTGAATCCTTTGGCTGGGATGAGAAGAGGGTCCCTAGAGACCAAGCTTCCTTTTTTGCCAAGTCTGGTTTCTATATCAACAGCTCTGGTTATGTCTTGAGGCCAGAGGTCATAGAGAGCTTCTACTACGCATACAGAGTCACTGGAAACAAGAAGGTATATACACCCAATAGTTTTATATATGATTGCTCCTAGGTGACTGCCAGAACTAATACCGCTGCTTCCCAACAGTATCAACAATGGATCTGGGATGCCTTCGTGGCCATCAGTGAAGCCACTAAGACAGACAGCGGTTTTTCCTCCATCAGCAATGTCAACGCTCCAAACGGCGGGTCTAAGACCGACAGCCAACCTAGCTTCTTCTTTGCTGAGACCTTGAAGTACACCTATCTAGCTTTCGCTGAAGGTATGCTGCCTCAATGTTTATATCCTTTTCTATGCAGGGATAAAGTGCTAACGTGTTTTCTGTAGATGCCGACTGGCAGATTAGCCAAAGTGGAAGGGACAAGTTCGTCTTCAACACGGAGGCCCACCCATTCCGCGTCCGCAACTAGACTTCTCCTAACCAATTTCCTTTCACTGTACATATTATTCTTTGCGCTCTAAGACTGCCCGTCCTTTTCTACTTACCTCTTCTAATTCAGCGATATTATTACCTGCTCTTCTCTGCGTCTTTGCTCCTCTCTGCTCCCCCAGATCCAGTTCCTGAGTAGTAAGATTAATCATCTATTAATAAGCCAGGCCATTACCTCAGCCGATGACCAAGCGACTAAGCCTAACTGGCTCGGCTAGAAGCGGGATTGTCGCTGCTGAGACCGCGGCTAGCGTCTTACTGTCTATCCCCCACAGGGTCCCGATCGAGCAAGGAAAGCCGCCTAGAGCGTGCGCAGGGACGTTTGAGGCCGGTAGCGCGCGTCAGCATTCTCCTCCCATCACCAACTTCACCGGAGTCAGCATCGCCATGTCTGTCGTTACCTGGGGAGAGGCACGGCGACACCACATCACGTAACTGCACGCACGCCGACCCGAACGAGCGGACAAGAAAGGAAGGATCAGACGAAAACGAAGAAAAAAACCGGACGAGAGAGAGAGAGAGCCGGGAAGGGCAGAAGTGAGGAATGGAGGGCGCAGAAGCCGAAAGGCCAACATGGAGCCGGGCGTCGAGCCGGAGAGAATTCCTGCGCACGTATAAGGCCTGCATGTCGTGTCGTCAGCGCAAAGCGAAGTGTGAACTCGGTGGGAACAATGATCGCGGGATTCCGCCAGGCCCACCATGTCTACGGTGTCGCAGAGAGCAGCGGAATTGTCAGTTCAGCGAGGACCGGGCTTGGGCGCGAAAGAAAAAGAAGGGTAATTATATACACTGCTACCTATTGCCATTCCTCCCCGCCTTCCTCTCCGCCCTTCCGCCCTCCCGCCTGGGGTATTGTTTTTTCTTCTTTTCGTTTCTGCCGGATGGCGGATAAATGGCGGGAATTGGGCGGACAGGCGGGAATCATAATGCATATCTTAATGCCTTGCATCTTGGGGGTTGAGGGGCTGAGTTGTATGGAGTATCCGGCTAACGCTTATCTTGATCTTCTATATATAGATTCTACTTCGAATACATCTGCGCCAGAGACGTCAACTCCGTTTCCCATCACTACCCCTACCTCAACCAGTGTAGGACAAATAGCCGATGCTAATGCGGATGTGGAGGAAACCAACCAGCCGAACCAATCGGCTCATGATGGGCTATATTCTATATCGAATGCTGGGGATACACCATCCTCGACAGGACATCACGCTCACAACATATCTGGCACTGTTGGCGGCGCTCCCAATTCCAATACTAGCACTGCTAGCGGACATACAAGCATGCACTTTGACCATGCGGGCCGCGCTGCGCCTGCTACACCAGCGAACATGAGCAGTACCGGCAGCCTATCACCCGTCTTGACCTCTTCTACCAACAATAACCTCCATAGACGCGAGTATCGGGGCGGCTCATCAGATCGGCATCATGCTGGTGCACAGTCAAGCAGTTCCCACGGCCTACACAACTCCGTCATGCGAACTGTCGTGTCAAGTGGGAACGATGCGTTGAACATTCTATTCCAAGCTGCTGCACAGGAACAGGACAATGAAATGATGGATGTCGAATCTACCGATCGTCAACCATCTATATCGAAAGACGGTGGTGCTGGGGATGATGTTAACGGCAATGCTGGTGCAGGTACCAGCACAGGACAAGAGCATCCCTACTCGCAACATCAAAAGACCCAGTCCCATGCGGGAATGCGTACATACGATACCCCAACGTCAACTACTTCGTACGGAGGGTCCCCTACGTCTGACCCAACGCATCTATCTCACGTCGAACCAGAGGTTTTGGCTGTCTGGGATCAATGCCGCTTTGTTAAGATGGGCTGGTTCTCATCCCGGGAGGCAGTGACTTATGTTGATATGTATGTCTATTACCTTGATCCCTGGCATTTCTTTCGCCATGACCGTCTAAGCTAACTGTTTTCAGGTTTTTCAAGAATATGGCTCCTCTATCTCCTATCCTTTCACATTTCTACTCTCATCATAGAAATCACTACTGGCTCATCTCCCAGGAGCCTGTGCTATGCTGCACGATTCTCATGATCTCATCACGATACCATACCCTACCCGGAGTGGGTGGAGCATCCCGGGGATTCTTTATTCACCAAAGGCTCTGGCAGCACTGCCAACATTTAATAATGCGTGTGATGCTCGGCCAGGAAAAAGGCTCCAAAGCCAAGACTCGCACTGTTGGAACCATTGAAGCCCTTTTAGTGATGTCGGAATGGCATCCACGGTCCCTCCATTTCCCACCTGAGAGTGATGGATGGGACTCAGATTTGATGATGGATACCATGCCTGAACACCACGACTCTACAAGCCCGGACTCCTCGGTGTCTGCATCGAGCAGATGGTTAGAGGATGTTATTGAGCCTGCGCGTCGTTCAGATCGAATGTCATGGATGTTACTTGGCTCTGGTCTAACCCTAGCACATGAACTTGGAATCTTCGATACGGACGACTCACGAGCGAGAAGCCTTATATCGAGCCCTGAAGGAGAAAACCGGGGCTTCCCAGTGGAAGAAACCATGAATTTCCCTCGCCATCGTATACGCCAGTTGCTTTATGTTTTTATCAACCAGTTAGCCTCCCGATTAGGGTGCATGTCCCTGATGCCGCAAAGCTTGAACCACTCCATAGTTGCACCATCGTCACTAAATACCGGTATTGATGAGTGGCAGACTTTTATGAACTCGTGGATCGAGTTGACGAAACTAGCAAAATCTGTTACGGACATGTTCTTCCCATCTGCAACGTTCACACGGCAACAGCTGCATAGTGGCCGATATATTGGGCTACTAGATCACTTCCGTCCATTGCTATCTCAATGGCGGCAGAAGCATCTAGACACTAAACGTAAGTGTGGCGCACTACCTATGTTCTTTTCCTAGCTAACGGTCAAAATAATAGATCTTTCGCGGCCGTTCTGTGACATGATATTTATTGAATATCAATTTGTCAGAGTCTACACTAACTCCATCGGCATGCAGGCGGTGGTGGAACGTGTACTCAATGAGTCAGATCCCGACGTTGTAATGGATGACGTTCGCCAGGCGAACATGGACGAAATCGACTATGAATTCATTCAAGAAGTCATCGACGGATCATGCAGTTTATTGCAGAAAGTCACCACACTCGCTGAGAACGGTGCTCTCCGGTTCTCTCCGGTCAGGATCTTTTTACGCATCACAAGCTCATCAATATTTCTTCTGAAAGCACTAAGTTTAGGCGTTCGTAACGCCAAGCTCCAAGAGTCTTTAGATATCTTGACCAAGAGCATTCAAGCTCTACGATCTAGTTCATTGGACGATATCCATCTGGCATCCCGATATGCGACCCTGCTAGATTCTCTACTCTCCCGACTACGACGAAGCTTTGTTCTGTCAAATAAGAATCCGAAAGTTAGCCGGTCAACAACTCGCCCATCATCCGTTACCCCATTGCCAAAGACCCAGAATCCATCCCCTGCAACCCAAGGTCTGCAAGCATCGCCACAACAGCCACAGCAGCAGCAACAGCAACAGCAGCAATTGCCTCATCCTCTACAGCAAACCCAGGTACAACAATATTCTCCCGGAGAAGTTAGCTCTGTCCCTATGAACTCCTCCCTTGACGTATCGAACAATCCAGTCTTTGAGGATCCAATCTCTTCACTGAATGACATAAGTGCCGATGACTGGTTATCGCTACCATTTGATCCATCGATGGCACCTTTTGGAGACGGTGGCAACCAGGCTTGGTCCGGCTTTGAAGGGGCCAATTTGAACTTCATCTGGAACCTGCCTTCTTGAAGACCTAAGTTTTTCAAATGGAGACCTCACTTGTTTGATGTCAATACAAGGGTCCCGCCTGCAACTCTTCAGCAAGCCATATGCTTCTTAGGTTATAATATCTGGAGATGCTCGCCTTCTCTCAAAAACTGGTTTCAGAAGGCTACCTACCGTGGCCCGAAGCCACCCACCGTCTGGCACTTTGACGGTTATATATATACATGCACATATATCCAGCAAGCATATACGCAGTCACACTTTTCCAATACTCTAATATTTGAGTGTATTTAGCCACATACAAAGCCAGTTCAAGTACAGTTGCCTAATTCGTATGATTTCAAGGTCAGAACCCCTAATATGAACGTGACCAGCAACCCTGTTACTAATATATGCTCTTCGATAGATATAATCACATACATACCCTCTTATCAAAATTATTTTTACTGCGTGTACCTCTGCTCCTAGACGTTCATTTCAGCGAAATGAGCTTGTTTAATTCTTGAACTTTAACTATATTGATAAATAGATTCCCCCTGTGTATGATAAAGCTAATGAATCGCAGCCCAGCGCTCACTGTTCTTTCATGCTAAGAAAATGAAGCGTTATTTTCCCACCCCCTTTGGCGTCGACTCTCGTCAAGGCGTCTTTCCTGGTCGTTATATACTTGAAACCGATCTTCTCATACACCCTACGGCTGGCAATGTTTCCATCAAACATCGAGGCTCGGACTTCTTTTATGTTCATATGCTTCTTCCCCCAATCGATTACAGTCTTAGCTGCGATTGTCGTGATCCCGCGTCCTTGGTGAGACGGGCTGAGGAAATCTATGCATGTTTTATCAGCAATAGCTCCAACGATCGTTCGGGTATCCAGATATCTATATTGAAAGGGGAACTTACTTCCCATCGCCCACACGATACTTGCATCACCAACCGTCATTGCCACGTTGGCCTTGAATCTTGTTTCTCTCACTGCATCGTCCTCAATTTCGTAGAATTCGTCCCGCCGTATACCTATACAGCCTATAAGGGACTCCTTGCCAGTCTCCGGGTCTATCTCACGGATGGAATTCACTGGACAGCCGCTCAGGAAGAGATTCGTCGTCCCGTTTCCGTTTCCAATTCCGTTCCCGTTTGCGCTATTCTTGTGCGCTTCTATTTCCTTTATGATTTGCAAAGAGTTGGGTATGCTGACCGTCTCCAGGTATTGCCTTGCCATATCCACCGGGTATGGGTATGGAGGGCCTTGCAGCCATATCGCTACCTCGAAAATGTTGAGGATACCCGCGAGATCGCTGGCATCCTCGACCCTTGGGGGAGTGATGATAATGTTAGGGTGTCCGGGTATAGTCAGATACGGCTCGCCTCCCGGCCTGTCATATAGGAGATCAAAATCCATGGTTACCGGGCTCTCTTTCTGGTAAATGAAATCAGGACTGCGATAGAGAACCTCTAATAATAAAATGAATAAATAGATAGATAGACGTAAATGCAATCACGGAGCGCCCGTAGCCACACCCCGCCTTTATACGTGACTGCATCGACCGCTGCAGCTATGAATATATGAGTCAATCACCAACATGTTAGTTAGTTAGTTAGCCTGTAACTACGCCGTCGATAACCAATCACCAAGATGTTACGAGCCGGGGCTTAGCCTCAGTCTACGCAGCTCCGTCTTCCTTTAGATCCTTCCTGGCCCTGTAAATCAGGGACTCGCGATCAACTTCCCTGTCTATAAGAGTAGTTATGAGTCAAACAGTTGTCATGTCTGCTGCTTGGCTGGCGCATTCAGTTAGATATCACACACTTTTTACTCCGTACACAGGCAAAAAAGCATCCGTCATTAATATTGTTCTTCTAGTGGGTAGTTTTATTTACATGAATTTCGTGCATAATGGCCTTGTACCCTTGTACCATGGCTTAATGGAGGAGCTAGCCATCTGCACGAAGGAAGGGGGCAAAAAGAGGGAAAGAAGAAGCGGTGACCTTGCGCTCGGTTATTCTATTCGAGCCGCCTCCGCCCAGGGTCTTATTCGAGTAACAGGGCCCTTATAGACGTGTCGGGCGTGCAAAACATAATAGATCAAAGAGAAGACCACAACTCCTCCGAAAATGGCACAACTCCAGTTCATAGTTGTCACATCAACTTTGCTGACAAGTGGGAAGAATGAGAAGCCGAAGGCGATGAGAAGGAAGAGGATCGCCACGGTCTCAACCGTACTGGACCACCGGCCCATACTCCATCTAGCAGGCGGAAGCGGTTCTCCACGCCAGCGTCTGAGGCGAACGCAGGAGATGGAGATAATGTACGAGGACAGAAGCGAAGCAGTACCAAGGGATATAATGGCTTGGAACGCAACTGTTGATCCGATGTTGATCAGAGATAGCAGACAGACGATAAAGAAGCTGACGTAGAGGGAGTTGAGGGGGACAATGAATCGTTTATCGATCTATATGTTGAATGTTGTTAGTGATGTTATGATATATACCCTCATGTCTGCTGAACCTGTGGAGCAAAAACGCATACCTTAGCAAAGAAAGAAGGGAAAGGAATGCCACCGTCTCGGGCGAATGCGTAGAGCTGGCGGGACGTAGTTGCAACATTGCTGATGGCAGAGCACGCCTGGAGGATCAATATGAGGGATGTCATTGCAGTTGTTGCCCTAACGGACTGGGTGGCATGCAAGAAGACGGAAATAAAGGGGAAGCCGGTCTGATCTTTGAGGACTGTGTCAATGTCATACACACAAAAGGCGTATGTGATGAGCATGATCAAGCCCGTGGTTCCGTTCAAAATAAGGGTCCAAAGCATGCTCAGGGGCAATACTCGAGAGGCATCCTTGATTTCTTCGGCTGATTCCAGAGAGTTAGTCAATGTCAGGCTGTACCTCAATGCTGTAATAGGGGGTAAAAAGAAAATGCATACACATATGAACAGCGGAATCGGGTCCTATGTATCAAGGTTAGCAGTTGTCATGACTATTCGGGGGATTGTGTTCAATACCAATAAGAGCGTAGATAGGGGCCCCCAGCCCGACAAGACAGGCGAGACCATTATTCCCCCATTCTCCTCTATCGACCACATTCAAGAAGACATCTTCGGCCGAGTTCAATGGAGCCAGGACCCAGAGGGGAATCAAGACTGCGAAGAATCCAAATACGTGGACGAGGAGGATAACTCCCTCGATGAAGGGCAGCTTCTGCGCAAAGAAGGTATTGAAAATTATGGCCATAAAGGCTATCGCAATAATCAGCAGAGTGCCATGCCATCTCTCAGGCTGATAGTCTGGATTATTGATTGCAATAAGGCCAATGAGCATGTTCGCAACTGTGTAGGAGCAGCCTGCGATACCTGTGTGCCAGCCGAGCACGCAGACCCAGCCGGTCACATAGCTCAGGAATTTCTGGCTGCTGGCTGGCGCGAATTCAGACACCCAATGGTACTGTCCTCCAGAAGTTGGAGCCCTGTGGGGGAGAGAGTAGTATGGTGAGCATGGCAAGGTCTTCTATCTGCTGTCTGGGTCGGGGAGAAGGCCGTTGGAGACTCACATTGATGCCATCTCGGCCATGGACAGGATCACGAACGAGAAGCCAAACAGGCCGCCGATGTAGGTATATATCATGCCGCTCAGTCCTCCGTTCACTAAGCCGGTGGTGCTGGCACTGTGTGTAGACGGACTACATCAGCTTCCCATACTCCATCTTCTATGTATCTCCTCTCCTTCTTGTGGTGACGCTGAACGCACATCATGACAACCTCCCAGGTACACATCAGGACGGCCGCGAATCCCAGGACCGACACAAATCGAAAGTTTCTCTAGAAAAAGCCATCAGCCGGTTATTCAAAGAGGAAGAGAAAGACGAAGAGGAGAAACCTACGTTTAACTCCTGGTTGTTGCCAATCCGATACATGTCGCGCTTGTCTTGGAGCGTTCCGCCGCGCATCGAGGAGAGACTCTCGCCGGCCTCCTCGACCGCTGGACTGTTGGCATCTGAGGACAGGTCATGTTTGATCTCGGACGTGAATCCCATGATGACGGCGTGCCTGACACTGCTGATGGGCAACGGACGAGAGCAGAAACAGCAGATGCGAGAAAGAGGTCCTGGCGGGGGTCGTCCTTTAAAAGATGGAGATCATTGCGAGAACCTCGCACAAAGCCCGCCGACTTGCAGATTGCCGGACGAAAACAGCACCGAGATAGGTGTGGAGGACATCGTTTTTAGCACTTAGGAGGCTCCAGAACAAACGGACATGTTCTCCCTTCTGGGCTGGGCAGGGGAGACGACGAGGTGCCTGCTGGTCTCACTGGATGGTCCGGGTATATACATACATGCAGCTGCATATACAAGTTCCCGCTCGCAAGGGGGGCAGACAGGATAGCCATAGCTAGCTACAGCATCCATGGCTTTGCGGCGAGTCCGAGTATCGAAATACAGCAAGGATACAACGGCAGCAGTCAGGCAAACCGGGGGAGACATGCCACCAGCAAACGACTGGGTATATCAAGGACATGCAGGACATGTTCCGCTGCAGCCAACATCTGCGGTCACTCTGCGCCCAGAGACACGGCGTCAGTCTTCACCAATGAACAGCAGAACCGGGCCCAGAAGCTTTGGCTGAAAGGAAAGCTTGAGAAGCTTTTGCAGGCTGCGCAGAGTCTTTCTTGTTTGCCTTGTGCTATAATGGCATGGCTATGGGGCTTGATCCCAGCCATGTCAATCCAGTCTGTGCTGTCGTGGGTTTACGAGGATCATCAAACGGCATCTCAAATTAGCTACGAGGGATGGCCTGCCAATGAGAGAGGCCATAGGACTGCGAGACCCGGAATCCGCGCGCTATCCCGGAACGACCAGAGAAGATTTTTCGACTTCCCTGCTATAATATATGTGTCGTAACTACCTGTTGCCGTTCCGTACGCCAAAACTTCTCCGCCAGGAAACAGCACTCTCCCTTTTCAAGCTGTTAGCGAGTGACTTAACTAGCAATGGGGAGGAAGACATGCTAACTAGTTACAATGATGTCGATGGCCTCACTGACTAGTCTGCTAGAACTTCCGGTCCGACCCTTCATGTAGGTCGCGTACGACCGAACAACTTCATCGCAGCTTGACATATACTTAAACATCTTAAGCTTAACAACTAACTAACTAGTTAACAGTTATTTATTTAGCTTTCGGCTCAATGATCCTGACTTTAGGTGGCCACAAGCTGTCCGTTGGGCTTTGTTGATCGTCTTTCTTTGTCTGATGGCAGACAAAACGCCAATCCACCACTTTGCCGTCTCCCTCCAAGCCAAAACTATTGAGTAACCATCTCCAGCCAACTCTTACAATTGAAGCTCCATTGGTGCGATGGGCCGATGGACGTTACGCCTGGACGATATCATGATTGCCCGATGCATTAATAACAGAATTACGGGGTACACACCCTCCAAGTATTATACGGGAAGAAGGCCGCCTGCCTGTCTGTCGAATGTTTGAATGGCCCCCTTTACCCCCTGCCAGGCCCATGTTACCATGCTCTGATATTTTGGTCCAATGTGCGATGTTGTCTATTGTTCCCTGGGTGCATACATGCATAACGCTCTATGTTAATGTAGGGTCTCAACTCCCTGGTGTCCTGTAGCATGGATGGGATACTTTCCGATTTTGCCCTGCTCGCTAATTAACAAGGCGTTTCTAAGATATGCGTTATCTCGATGAGCCCACCAGACTTACTGCCCATGTCTTCTTGATTCATGAGAGCTAGTTTTGGCCATTTCTGATGTGATCGTTCATTTCTGATGTCGGTGGAGCGCATAGTCACAACAATCCCCAATCTCTCTACTTCTGACAAGAGAATATCTGGATACTCTTATTATCACCAATTCAGCTGTCTCTCGGTGAAAAGAATAGAGTACAAGTGAGTTTTTTTTATTATTAAAAAAAAAAAGGAATGGACCAGAGCACTGGTAATATTCGACCATCGGCGCACTCGGAAAATACAGAGAGTCATTACTCCTTCTGTTTGGCTTTGCCATGAAGCCCCTGCGTCACCTGAACAACAGGACTGCATTTGTTACGGAATATTTTCCACTGCTCCTATTCGACTGGTGACTCCACCAGCGACGTGGATTTACAGATCATATATACACGGAGTATTGCATTTATCAGTGCGCCTCTTTTATGGAGTCCTTCATACTGTTCTTCCTGATAAACATAGATTGGTGATATCAGCTGGCGTTTCATCGCCTGGATTTTTCCAGGATATAACTTCATGCTATGGGACTGTGTTTTGGGCCTCAAATCCAATCTTCGCATTGCGCTCCCGGGCTTGAGAGTAATGGCAAGTTGTTAGTTATTAGAACCCGATAGCTAATGGAAAGCCCATCTACTGTCCCAGATGGCCACCGCGCCTACAATGTCACTGATACCGACCAAAGTGGACACATAGTTATTGTTTCGACACTCCTGATGTCGTGGATGGTGTTGTGCTTCTTTATCCGGATATACATTCGCTCAGATATCAACGGACCTTTTGGACTGGATGATCTGGTGGCAGGGATAGGATCGGTATGTTATTCTTGCTTCTAATGCCTCCTAGATTAGCCTGAATAACTCTAGTTGAATCACCATAGGCACTAGGCATTGTCCATGTCGGCGTTTTGCTGAAGGCAGTCAGTCAGGGAATAGGAAAATCGAAAGAATACTTGCGCCCGACTGATGTGAATTCAGCTGAACAGGTAAGAGCTGTACCCCAACTTATTATTCTTCAACAGTATCAATAAAAATTGAAGCTAAATCTATATACCAGACTTACTATTCCAGCGATATATTGTTCATTCTGGCTCATTCATGCGCCAAAGCTTCAGTGAGCTTACTCTTATTCAGGTTGGGACGCGACCCTCTATACAAACGCGGATGTGCCGCAATTGCACTTTTCATAGGGATATGGGGAATTGCCGCCACAGCCACCATGTCCATAAAATGTGACTTTTCGAAACCTTGGATATTGAGCGATAAATGCAGTCAAATCGTTAGTGAAATTACCCGTCCTCAAATTTCCGTGTGTCCTTGACCCTGCTAACAATGATTTTCCTTTGTTTTTTGATAATAAGGAGTTACGCTGGCAACTTATCACGGCTTTTGACGTTTTACCGGAGCTTTTAATGTTCGGAATGTTGGTATATCTCATCTGGGGATTACAGATGGTGATGAGCCGAAAAGTCGTTATAGTAGGCGCTTTTGCGTGCAGGCTCCCGTATGTTTCACGTCTTTCTAGGGCTTGGCTGTTTTACCGGAAGCTAACCTTGGTTTCTACCGAAAATAGCGTCGTTGGATTCTCTATATTTCGACTCACCACGATCAATGGTGCGGTAGATCTGCAGGACCCGACCCTTTCGATGGTGCCCTACGTTATCTGGACGGAAATACTTTTGCATTACAGTATAATGGCGGCCACGATACCCTGTCTAAAGCCGTTTTTCATTGCGTTCAATACCGGATGGGGCCAGGGTAGCCATAAAAGGACCAGCAGGTACCCTCAATACACTTCCGGAGCCAGTTCCAAGACTGGTACTACCTTTTCCAATAAATTTGGAAAGATAATAGGCTCCTCTCAGGCCGATTTCCGGAATGACGCTTCTGGAACAAGATGTTTATCGCATGCTCTAAATCGTGAGGAAGCTCCTTCTATTGAGAGCCATGAATCGCAGCGGATGATTATCCGGGAGACTAGGGGTTGGACAGTTGAACATGAAAGTTGGGAGATGAGCAATTATGGAAATACACGCCAGGCTTGACCTGTATGCGGTAGGGATAGCATGAGGTAATGGAGTTTGGTATTAGGCGTAAGGTCTCGACTATTTTCGTAAGTATTCAGCAAGGTTAGTTAAATCTATATGATATAATTAATTCGTGGGTTGTTTGCATAGTATTCTTATTCTATCTATGGCATGTTCTCTTCTCACCACTATGAGCTGGATTTTGACATGATACGATATGCCTGATGACCAACCCCGCCACCCTTCTCTCAAACAGGAGGATAGTCCGAGATAATTTCAGAAAATTACCCGACAGCTTGGGAGACGTGGTATCTCTTGCCAGGATCCATGTAGGATACATGCATGGCGATACTTTAGAACGCAGAAATGGTAATTGAACTCTGATAAGAAGATCGAAAATCCGTTAGCTATACATTGTTACGTAAATGATAACCGAGATAGCCTTATCCCTCGGGCAGCCATTCCCGAGTTTCAACACTGAAATCTTCATAGATTTTATTGTCATATAGAGGTGCAGTTTGTGGCCTTATTATGCTGTCATTTTCCTGGCAACACACTGAAGGAGTTAAGCGGGGATAATTAAATCGTTAATTTAGTTGTTTAACTAGTTACTAGGTACCTAAACTTAGCTTCGCTGGGCCGGTGCCTTTTTCTCTCTCCTGAACTTTCATAACTTTATTGCCCCTTATTCCGACCACTACCGAGACTTTCTGTGGACAGCGGCCTTCAATTGGGCATGATCAAGGATAAGTAAGGCTTTCTCCTTCTATAATTATAATCGCATTGCTACCAGCCACTGCTCGTGACAAATTTGACAGCGAGCACAGCAAAAACCCAGCCAGTGTGAACAGAATCCGAAACCACATTCCACCCGCCTTGAATGCTTAACTAACTTAGGTAGGTAGTTAATCAGCAAAAGGTTTTCGTTTGCGTAGATTTTTCGCTCCTTTAACACGGCCAGATTCCTTTGTGCAGAATGGTTCGTTTGGTCATTACCCGAGTCACTGATGCAGACTGGGACCAGCTCGTTGAGGTCCAATTCAAGGCATTTGCTTCCGAACAATTCTGCCAATTTGTCAATGGAAAGGACACCCCCTTAAACCGAGAGCGGTGTAAAAAGAAGTACACTTGCCATGAGCCGGAATTCTGGGGTGGTGCGCTGTGGCTGAAAGTTATTGATGCGGATGAAGTCCCAACCAGCCAGGTTAAAAGCAACGGGAATGGAAGTGTGAATGGGAGCGGAAACGGCAACGGAAACAGCCCGACGATTCTGGGAGCTGCACTTTATAGGCTCAATCCAAATTACTCTTCCGAAGACTTAAAACGAACCGATCTAGAGCCCGAGAGTTTCAAATGGCTGGATGATCCAGAAGAACGACGAATTGCAGTGACAGTTATCCATGACGTTATGGACAGGAAAATGAGGTTTATCAGAGAGCCACACATTCGTAAGTCTAGATTTCCCTTTATACGCGTACTTTTGCCTAACTCACATATGTAGAACTTTCTATCCTTTTCGTTTCACCGGAGCATCAGCATAAAGGCATCGGAGGTTCTCTGGTAAATTGGGGGGTCCAGCTCTCCAAACAAATGATGCTTCCACTTTGGGTGGAATCGTCAACTGCGGCCTATAGTCTGTATAAACGCCATGGGTTCAAGGAACAAATCCGCTCGAAAGTCATAATAGGATCCTGTGATATTGAATATTCAATTCTAAAATGGGAGCCCGAACAGAAGCACCAGCCTGTGAAGGGTAAATGAAGTATTTTGCTTCCGAGATACGGAATGATTAAGAAAGTGTTCAATATATATACATTGTGTCCATAATAACCATCACGATGCACTGTTAATACTCATTAGCAACAACTAGGGGGGGAAATGCGCCGTCTCTTAATAAGTGGCTGTCCATGTTAAAAAGTAACAGCTTCAATACTAATTAGTACTCCATACTCTCGTACTCTGATCATCTCAGTCAAATTCTCACCAGTCCCTAGTAATAAGTTCAGCACCTAGCATGCTGGCCATAACTGTGAGTAGCATCTATGGATTCTAATATTGCGTACCAGAAAGCAGCCGAGGCTCGGCTCTCGGCCCGACCCGCAATTATATTATATAAGCATCGATGAATACACATCACGTGATTGATTATTAACCTTACCAAACAGTAATGTAATTACCAAACTCTAAGTTTATCTTTTGCGTTTGACGCGGTGCAAAACACTTTGTGCCTGGGCAGTCGCGTTTAGTTTGGATGTCAAGTCAAAAGAGAGAGTGAGCGAGACGAACATACACCACCGCCGACGTCAACCACCGCAGCCAGGCTCGATAAAAGAAGGAGATGCACCGAGAGCACGCTTTGATACAAACAGGGACCCTTTTCGTGCACTGAGCTGCCATGTATCTCCCTCGGAGCCTAATTTCTCACCTCTATCAACAGCTGCTCAGGTCGCATAACCCATTATCTCCTCCGGTCTTGATTCTCGTTGCGTTGGAGCCAGATGCTCTATGTGCTTGTCGAATCCTTACAGCGCTACTAAAAAGAGACTATATACCTCACAAAATACAGCCTATCGCTGGATATGGTGACCTTTCTCAAGCTGGCGCGGAACTCGTGCACCCAATGCATACATCGAACGGCGGTAGTGGAGGGGTTGTGGTTTGTTTAGGTGTGGGTGGATTGGTTGATTTGAGCGAGACATTGGGCCTAAACGTGAATAAGGATGAGCCGGGAGACATGGGAGGAATCGACGTCTGGGTCATCGACGCGCGAAGACCGTGGAATTTGACAAATGTCTTTGGAGGAATGGGTGAACCAGCTACGCCGAGAGAATCTGATACCTACGATAGAGTTGGCGTTGACGGAGTGGATAGGGGCCGCTTAACCGATATGTACAGACCGGGCAAGGGAGGCATCATAGCTTTTGATGATGGTGACATTGATGAGGAGCTTGCTATGGAACGCGAAGCGTACTATACTCTCGAGACTCTTCCCGAGATTGGCGAGGGAGAAAGTGACGACGACGATGTTGAATCAGATGAGGAGGTACAAACACAGGGTAAGAAGAGGAAATCATGGTCTGGCCGGTATGACGGTGATATTGCTGCATCTGATGACGAGGATGGCCGCCCAGCCCAACGACGGAGGAGTAATTCTGTAAGCTATTCCTTACTGTATCAACTGCTCAGATCGATCTACTAACAATTTCATAGGGGTCTTCCATTGCCTCTCCCCTTAGACTAGGAGGAGTAAGACATGACTCCTCTCAATCCTCTCGGTCCGGCTCACCAGCTTCCGATTCTCTATCTCTAATTCTCCCAAAAGAACCTTCGACACGCACGCTACGAAAACGCTTAATCCGACTTAAACGAAAACATGAATCTGTTCTTCAAGCCTACTATTCCCTTGGAACTTCATATTCGGAGCCTATTTCATCTATATTGTATTCTCTTGCATCTGAGCTTGGTCGTGATGACAATGACCTGCTATGGCTTGCTATTGTGGGTGTTTCAAGCCTGGAACTTTCTGGGCGTACAATGTCCGGTGTGGGCATATCAGATGCTTCCGAATCAGGAGGCTCAGCTGGATGGGGCGGACAAAGGGGAGAACGCATCCGACAAATACTACGAGACGAAGTTCGGCGTCTAAACCCTCCAGACGATAACGAGGCTGGACGAGAAGCACTGAGGAGCGAAGTAAACGGGGTCATACCTACCAACGCGCGGTCCCCAACCGATACCTCCATTCTACTCTCCCCAGAACCGCGTCTCTTATTGCTACGACATTGGTCACTCTACGATAGCATGCTGCATAGCCCATATCTTGCCCCTCGACTGCATGTTTGGAACGAGACCGGACGAAAGCGGCTACGAAAGCTACTGGCAAAAATGGGTGTCAGCTTAACTCAATGTCAGCAGAATTATACCCATATGGATATGGACTTGAAACGTGATTTACGCCAGAAAATGCTTCAATATGCACCCATGTACGGCATGGAAGGGCTGGTCCCTCCTGCGTCCTCTGGTGGATATTCGGGGTCGCGTGAAGGATGGGGCTTTGCTCGTTGTTGGGGATGGAAGGCCTGTCTGTCTGCTACAGATATCGGTGTGATACTGGGATCTATACTCGAGGTCGGCTCTCTAGGTCCATCTACAACTGTTTCGCAGGCCTTCTCTTCTTATTCTAGCGAAGCATTGACCGGTGCAACCCAAGCAGCCAAGTTAGGGGCTGACAGTGCGAATGTGCTCTCTCGGTTTTGGAGTGCATATGACGCTCTAGCTCCTACCTCGGATTCACCTACACAACTCCTCGCAGCAATCCCCCTAGCTCAACACCTCCACCGAGCAATCTTACGAACGGGAACTGCCCTTCTCTCGAAACATCAAATTCGCCATCTTCGTGCTTTCCGCATTGCTGTGGTGAAAGAGGGACCTGACGTTAAGCTCTTTACAAACCCAGGCGCACTCACAAAGCTGGCCTTGTGGATTGGTGAGGCTGTCCGTATACAAGAGAAGGAAAAAGGAACTGGGATGAAGGTTGGGAAAAGACGGGCAGCAGGCACGCCGCTGGTTCTCGCTGGCCTGGATGAAGACCGAAATGTCTACGTTGTAGTCGGAACAGGCGGAGGCGGCGGTGTCATTGACTTTGCAGCCATGGCAAAACGACGTGAGGAGCAACGGAAGAAGAAAGAAGCTCGAGAGAAGAAAAAGGCTGAGCGAGAAGAACGACGAGCCAAAAGAAGAGCAGAGATGCAAGACGATGACGATGAGCTGGCTGAAGAAGCAGAGTCCTCCGAATCGGAGACCGAGTCCGACTCAGAGTCAGAACCGGAGCCAGACAGCTTCAGCAACAAGAACCTGATACGAAATCGTTTCGGTATTGCGTTCCAAGAGGTTGTCCATGAGACCAATGCGAGAGTACGAATAGACAGTTTCGAGCATTGCGTGGTTGAGGTGCAAAAAGAGGATCTCGGGGCATTCCTTGAGGCGCTCAGCTTCAGGAGCGTGGTCGGATGAGACCAGTAGACCCATACTCTTGATGTTCGTTTTACCTATTCCGCATGCCTTGCAACGACGTTCTGTTTCTATTGCTATCTCCCGTGTTATTTCATTTGCTGCGTTGGAGCGTTTTTAAAAAAGCATTTTTGTCCGTTTCTCTCCCGTTTATTGTCCTGCCCTTCCCTGTTGGTTGCCTCACCAGCAGCAAATCTTCGTTCATTTCAAGTTCTTCCCTTGACATTTTCATGAAGCTCAAGTTGGATGGCGTTCGTGTCTCGTGCTTCGATCAAACTGGCCCTCCCAGTTTACATTCTCTTCGCTCTGCTTGTGTGTTTTCTTTATGGCCCCCTTGCACGTTATTCTACCCGTTTTCCGTATGACCTTCTTTTTTTTTGGAAATTTATGTTGACTCTTAATGTATATACTGATCTAAATTGTGGATAGGGTTCATGATAAGCAAGCAGGTAATGAACAGGCTATTCTTCTAAATTGTGGTTGTTAAATAATAGATAAATGAGCATATTCTACTGCGTAGAGATATTGTCAAACGCTGAACTAAGTTTTATATTAACACATGTAAACGGGTTATCATCTAAAAGTAGAGAAAATAGTACAGATCAAAGCAGCCGAACCTTTCAGCGCCTAACGTTTATGATCCTCCCAGAAGAGACCCAGCGAACCATACTCCTCCTATCCCAAGCAAGAGTGATAGGCCAATAACCCGCTTGCTCCAATAATCGGTATCACGCATTTTCATCGGCCCTGCCAGTTTATGAATAGGAGAGCTCGTTTGTGATGGCGAAGCGGGAGTCTTTTGGTCGACAAGAGAGGGGTTAGTGGTATTCCCGACGTATTCTTTCTTCATTTCTTTCCACTGCTCTACCAACTTGGCAATAGCCACAAGATCTTCCTTCACAGAAGGCTCCGTACCATTCACACTACTGCCTCCTTCAACCTCCACTTCCTGGACGTTGCCGAAAAAGTCCATGACAGTCCTCAATCTACCCTCAGCTTCACCACCAGGGAACAGATCCCATCTTACTCCAGGCTGGGAGTGGATCTTTGACTCGTCATACGAATCAAACAAGTCACCTAGAGTACGCTTCGAGTTCGCGCTGGTGACTTGTGTTTCGAGGAATTCTAGAATATAATATGTCCACCGATCGATGACAGCAACGCCGACGTCACTATCTGCATGGTGTGAATAAGAGGACTGGTCTAGTTCACTTGAGCCTGTAGCGATTATATTGGGAGAATAGAGATGCGTGTACATGGTATTCGCCTGGCAGGTATCAATCATGAAGAGCAGCTCGTTGTATCGTTTCTTCTCCCACATCTGCCCAAACGCATCTGCCAGGTCCCAGGCTCCAATTTCCTCTGAGTCCTGGAACTTGAGAAACTGATCACCACCGTGTCCGGTCATATAGACGAGCACATTGCTACCGGCGTCTGAGCCCAACCTTTTACTCTGCGGCACGTCGTCGCCCAACCTATCGGTCAACAGGCGGATGAAGCTCTCCACGGTGACCTCGTATCCACGGTAGTCGACCTCTATGTTGTCGCCGTATAGGTCCAGCGCACGATCCGCGTTGTTATATACCGTCCCAGGGAAGGCGTTTCGAGGGTTACATGCCATGTCGTCCGGCAGCATGAGAATGATCTGGGAGTCCGGGATCCCAAGACGCTTCACCGTCCGGTAGAGGGAGAGCACATTGGCGAGATGGCGGTAGTTGAACCAGAATCGAGAGGTCGACACCAGCACCGCCCAGTTCGAGGTATGCGCCGCTGAGGAGACACCGCTGGTAAGGAAGACCGCGAGGAGGGCCGCCAGAAGGGGGTAAAACAGCCGTAACCCCATCTCGATATCGACCCTGCAGAACAGTAACTATCACGGCAGCGTATTAGAGTTGCGTCTCATCTCATCTCATATCACCTCATCTTTCTCCTGTCCTGCGCCGAAAGGACAAGTTGAAGTCGATGATAAGAATAATAAATAATAACAATAATGCTATCGTTAATTATGCAAAAAGACGACGTCAAAACTTCCCCGGCTTAGTCAGCGTGCGGGAGTGGCCCAAGCTTTTCTTCCCCCATCCGTCCCGTTTGGGAAGTTTGATGAGACTTCAACTTCGCGTTTCTTTTTCTCTCTCTCTCTTTTTTTTGATATCAAGACAAGACGCGGATTTCGCTTCATCCTCGCTGTCGTGCTTTGGCCGGTCGAGCATCCGCCCTGTGTTCCCCGTGTTTGAGCGTTCCGGCGAGTTGATAGTTATTCATAATCCCTGTCTGCTTGCGACGATCTAGCTAGTTAACTCTCTCCTCATCAGCTCGACCCTGCTGCCTGGCAAGACAACAAACGCTCCTCTTCCTCTTCGCCAGCCGTCGACTCGGCAACAGAGATTATTGCTTACCTCTCCATCCGTTCATCTCACGAGCGTGAATAGCCTGGCCTGGCCGTCTCTTCGCCCGATCCTCTCGTTTACATCCGCCAGAGAGCTACGGCCTGTGGTAGCTCAGCTCCTGACATATACCGGGCGCAGTTCCTGTTTCCAGCAACGAAGCAAGGGTTTTGCTTATTGTGCAGCTTCTACAGCGCTGTCTAAGTAGAAACGATGACAAAAGTCGAAGAAAGAAACCATTCAACTGTTGAGATGGAGGGTTCACGTCTAATGAAACTTCCCTTTGAAACCATCGAGGCTATCTTCTCTCATGTGAGTGTGGTAGCTCGTATACCTATAGGCAGCCATTCGTTTGGCAGCCTTTTACTCTCTACCTTGCTGTTCACGACTGATACATGTTGTGGCCGTGTTTTAGGTAGACCCAGAGGATCTCGTCAGCCTTTGTTTGGTTTCAAGGTCTGTTAGGGAGTACGCTGTATCTCGGCTCTACCGCTCTCTCGAATGCGTTCTCCAGCCCAAGAGTGATCTCGAGCACAAATGGCCCATTGACCGCCTCGCAAAAGAATTGGAAACCTTGACAACAAGCGATTTCAACTATGCGGCATATATCAAGTCGATATGTCTAGACACCGCACCGCTTGCCGATGATAACGACTATCAGTTCCAAGATCAGATAGCAGAGCAGTTTAAATATGATAACCCCTGTGGAAAATTTTTCAACAACCTCCTTCTTGCGTCAATCAAGAAGATATCAACCCTGGAATCCTTTCGGTATGGATAAATTTACTTTATACTATTCATAAAAGAGCACTGGTTACCTCTTGCAAATTATATCCGGCCTTGTTCTAACTAATAGTATAGATGGAACGCACGCCTTGAACTCAACCCTGCAGTCTTTGCAGCCCTTGCAAAGACTCCAAGTTTACAGCATGTATGCATTCGAATGCCCGCCGGTGTAGAACCTATTCAGAAAAAGGCCGCCCCAGCTCCTCCACCTGGCCCTCAGGCGCAGCCACTACCCCTTCCAGTCCAGCTCAACCAAATTCATATGCATCCAGCACCCCCAATAGCATTAGTTAACCACCTACCTCATAACTCCACAGCTTCTCGAGACAAGTTCAAGGGCCGCAAATACTGGGATCCAACTCAGACTTTCTCTCATTTTACCCGAATAAACTCCTTGGAAGTTCTAGAAATGGACAATCTCGGGTATATTGATGAGATTTCAAAATGCATCCTGCAGTCGTCCAGTACCCTAAAGCACCTGAAGCTATCGTTTTCAGAGAGACTTGCTCTCTCAGCGCGCAAAAAGAAAGATGACGAGGTTTCGGAAACAAGCAGTGTTCAAGATGAGGACGAGCTCTACCAACCTCTCCCACCTCCACCTCCTCTAGGCCAACCTGCGGCCTTTACTTCATCCAGCTCCAAGAATTCTGAGGTTCGCCGTGAACGTCTGGCTCAGGAACAGGTGCTTAGTCGTCTTTTCAGTTTAGACATAGACAAAAATACAGCGTCACACAAAGAGCCAAATGAGCTTGTTGACAATGCTATTACCAGTACAAGCAACGGCCTCCAGGTTAGGGATGATGCAGACCTATCCCTTATTAATGATTTAAAATCGATACTGGAAAAGCTTAACACACAACAGCCGAAATACCGAGCTGTCATAGCCGAAATTGAGAAGGTCACGGGTCCTTACCAAGACTCTGAGAAAGAACCGGAACAGTCAAACGCTCCACCTGCTGCCTCTTCGGGTGAGAATGGTGGCGATAATGCTGCGGCGACCGATGGCAGCAAGGAGAGCAAAGAGCATGAACCGAAGTCTAGTGACACAGATACCCTTACTACAGGCGACCCTGAAGACACGGATCTAGAGAAACGTTTACAAAACCTTGTAGACATGGAACATCCTGATGACATCAGTGAAGGAGAAGACCAGGAGTTTATCGACGAGATGATCGACAACGCACCTCGCATCAAGGCAATGACCAATGGGACTGGTCGCTTTGGCAAATCAAAAGGCAAAGGGCTAGCGAATAAGATACCAGTCGATGATGACGATCGTAGCACAAATGAACACGATGTTATTCATAATTATGTTCGTCAACATCATGGCATCGCTCTCGACAGTCTTTCAATTTATTTGGTCCCAGTTAAGGCCTCCATCCTTTGTCGATGCATCAACGTCTGGACCCTGAGACACATCTCCTTGCTCAACGTTGGTCCCCAGAGGGCATTCTGGGCGACTCTGGAGAATCTAAATAGGCATAATCCCATTCCACTTGTCTCTGTTCACACAGACAACGTGACTAATCACCTACTTTCTTTCCTCAATGCTCTGCCACGCTTAGAGGAGCTGTTTATGCTAGAGCGAAGTGCCCGCTCTAGAGTAGAGTCTTCTACTCCCAAATCTACCGTTACAGTTGAAGAGATGCGCGACCTTGTGCTCACCAAACATATGGGTACGCTAAAGCGGCTGATGATCAGAAATGACAATGATTTAAGCTGGTCTTTGGATCCTGCATCTGTTCTACTTATAGCCAAAAATGGCCACAAGTTGATTGAACTGGTAGCTCACTTCGGCTCCCGATCCTTTGTAAGTTTTGTTTCCCTCTTTCAATTCGTTTAGGTTCTGTTACTAATGATTTTTTCCTACATTGCAGCACATACTGATGCGGCATTTGAGCACCATGAAGTCGCTCCGCGTACTGCATATTCTTTTCTCGGAGCCTGATTACTGCCTTAGTGTCCTGGACGAGGTGCGGGAGTGTGCTATTGATAACTTTGCGCGCTACTCTTCCATCAAGGACATCTACATTGGCGTGAGCTATGCCTCTGGTGGCCCTGTGCAAACACGTGGCACCTCTATGAAATTCCGTACTAGAAGCAACCTGACAGCCAAGGAAAGCCAAGCAGTTGACTCCAACAACAAAGATGCGGATGAAATGGATGAGGAGTTTATCTGCTCTAACCCATCAACTTTCGTAATCCTCTCGGAGCTTGCTCAGTTCGAAGATGTACCGGGAGTCAAGGTCTGGAAGAAAGAAAACTGGAACTTGATGCTATGAAGGAGTTGTGCCTCATACATACTTAACCAAGGCGATGACATTACCCTTTTACCTATGTATCTTCATTTTTCTTCTCCTATCGATATGTTTATGACTTTAGACCCTTGCCACAATTCCCCTCTACTCCGTATTTCAATTTCTCGAATACCCCCAATCAGCATGTCTTATCTACTTGGACGATGTTCAGTTTAGCGAGAAAGCAACCTTTTTCATATTGTGCTCTGTATCAATTCCATCGTTGCTCGAATAGAAATTGGAATCTGGCGGCTCAAAATCGGCCCCACATGTCAGCCCGCCAGGCTCACGGTGACGGAAAATATATACTCCGGATAAGACTCTTATCGCACGGACCCCACTCCATTACAGGCAGCATTTTATATGACTCTTTCTCTGTTGAAGTCTTTAGACTATCATATTCTCGTGGTATAGATCTCTTTTGCTACGTACATTCACTAGAACTCAGATATGGCGCCTAAGAAGGAGAACGCCAAAAAGGCTGCGGGAAATGCAAGAGTACGATCCAAAGAAAAAACCCCCCACTACACACGAATGAGCTCTGTAGTTACCTGACGCTGACTTTGTGATCTATAGAAAGCTGAGGCCGCAGCAGCTAAACAATCCGCCGCAGACCAGAAGAAGGCAGCCGAAGAAGACAAAGAATGGCAAAAAGGTGCAAAGTCTAGTGCTAAGAAGTACGCTTTTTCCCGTACTATCTCGAACGACGCTCATCCATTAACAACCTTGCCAGGGAATCCGCCGAAGCAAAGAAGGCAGAAGCAGCTCGCAAAAAGGCCGAGCGTGACGCTCAACTAGCAGAAGAAGAAAAATCTCAGCCCAACAAACCCAAAGGAAATGCCAAAACAGCCCAGAAGAAATCTCGAGGAACACTTGATCTCGGACAACTAGATGCAGACCCAACATCCAGCAAAAAGGGCGCAACTTTGAACGCAAGTGGTATTGATAATGCACTTGATGCATTATCCCTAGGCTCCAAAGATGCCCTGAAGGTTGATCGACATCCCGAGCGAAGATATAAGGCTGCCTACGCTGCATATGAGGAGAGGAGATTGCCTGAGATTGAGCAGGAACAGCCCGGCCTCAGAAGACAGCAAAGGATTGCCCTTATAAAGAAGGAGTTTGAGAAGAGCGAGGATAACCCATTCAACCAGGTTAATGTTGCCTTTGATGCCACGAAGGAGGAAGTAATTGCGGCCAGAGAAGCGGAGAAGGCAAAGATCGAGAGCCGTTTGACGGGGAGATAACGAGGCACCCGATCTTTTGTGGGGTGTTCAAATATTTCTGGAGCGTTCAGCACCCTCTGTATTTTTATTCCATTGGAGGTGTGGCTGATATTACAACACAGTGAGGCATAACCATTCTTCCTACTTCTATATATCAATAGGTGGCTTCAACGAGACGCCAGGGTGAAATTTTGTAAAGACATAGTTCCATTAGAATAAAGCTCATTCTGAACTAATAAGCTGCATCTTCTAATCCCTATTCAAGGTATAATACACTTGTATTCATAAGTAGAGGTCATATCAGACGTGGTATTACACATCTCTAAGCTAGGAGAGTGATCAGCAACGAAGGCTAAGTTCGTAAAACCGGTATCATCTTCAGGGGAGGTATCAATTCGTAGGGCAAGTCAAGTCGCCGCTAAGTAAGCAAACGTAGTTTTGATCTATTTTAAAAGAAAAGACGAAGCCAAGGCATCCAAGAAGGGGTGGGAAGAGTGTATGACGGAGTGACCAAGAAGAGGAAGTCCGGCATAAACAAAGATTGAGCCAGTTGGAATAACATAATAATGGTTCCAACTCCAATTCAAAAATATATCTCCAGGCATATTGTGATCCAATAACCAAAGGATATCATAGACATCTGTTTGTTTTGAATGGGTGATGTGCTATGTTAGGCAGTGAAGACTATGCCATGACGGCTCTGGCGTCCCAGACACAAAGTCTCTCATCCCATCCACAGCTTGCGCACCACCCTTCACTCCCAAAAAGACACCAGTCTATACCCGTGACAAATTCTGTATGCCTCCCCATGCGGCCCAGCTCCCTGCCTATAGTAGATATCGGTCCGCTTCTTGTAAGATCTGCGTCACCAGCTGGCATTCCTTCTGAGCCATCTGTCCAAACGCGGCAGGTCATATCATAACCTGCACTAAGAAGGACATGAGATAAGTGAGGTGACCATGATACTTTTCGAATTGCGTATTCATGGCCCATCATGGCGGATAAGGGCCCTTGATGAGGAGCTCGGATGTCAAAGGTGCGGATAGTTCTGTCCACGCCAGCAGTAGCTACCACTGAGGGTCTGTATTTATTCCAGTCGTGTGTAAGGGCTTCAGATGGAGGGACGGGGCCTGTGGCAGGTGTAAAGCCAGGTTTTTGAGGCATGTTTGCTCCATGAATGGGCATCTGCAAAGTGAGGTGGTTTGTTGCGGCTGGGGTTCGTAAGTCGAAAACGCGTAGGTAGGAGTCTGAAGCCACGCAGGATAGGATATCGGGTGAATGAGGCGAAAATGCAGCAGAGTAGGTGCAGCTGTTAGTCGGAAGGGTCAGCAAAGACTGAGGTCTATCCGGTGTCCAGACTTTGACTGTTCCATCCCAGCTACTAGAGGAAAAGCGGTCTTTGGCTACTAAATTCCAGTGAACTGAGAAGACTTCTCGTGAATGCTCTTTCCATCCTTGAACTGGGAATTCATTGACAGCGATGTCAAATAACTTGATACTGCCATCTCCTGACGCGACAAGCGCTTGGTTCTCATGGATCTCAGACCATGCAACATCATAAAGAGCATCTTGTGTAGTGTAGCTAGACAATAAGGAGGAGAGGGCAGATAGTTAGCTATCCATAGAAGAAGATAATAGCCTAGAGGCAGGGCCTGAGAGTTATAGAAGTAAAGAACCAGGTACTAACGATTGTTGTGGGACGATCCCCTGCGGCGTTAGATTGAGGATGTAGAAGCGGCCATTTCCAACCAGACCGAAGTTCGAGGATGCGGCAACAGCAATACGAGAGTCGAAGAAGGGAGAGTATTTGACCGCGCATCCGTTGAACCCTTCGGTGCGGTACTCGAGCATGGTGCCTGGCAGGGGGAGGAACTGGAGGAGATCTAGCTCTGTGGGGTTAAACTAGATAGTCGATGCGATAGGTATCAGCGTCTCCAGCTCATGGTGATGCCTGTCTAGAGAGAGTCGGTCATGCAGCTCATCCTCCGTCTTCCTCTGTCCGCGTCTGTGTCAGCCTCTTCGCCTTCGTCTTTGCCGTCGTCTTCTCGATATCAAATGTGTCGCGGGCAACAACGAACTGAAATAAAGAAAGCGAGGAAGAAGCAAAAAAAGAAGCCGAGGTATAAAAATATCATATTACGTCATCAAGATGTGCTTATGTCATGTTTACTATCACGTGATATCTAAAGTTCTCTCTCCTTTTGCGCTTCTTGGTTCTTCTCGTGTTTCACGTCTTTCTCTTCCATCCATCGACGCAGGAAAGCAGCGATCTCATCACTGTTACTCTCGAGGAAGAGCATATGCCCGTTACCCCGTATGCCAACATCGCCTAGCTGTACGTGATCGACTGGAACCCCAGCCTGTTCCATGTAACGGACAACACACCAGTCCGTCGGTCGATGGAAAGAAGCTTCAGCAGTCAATACCAGCGTCCTTATTCTCTTCAGGTTGGGGAGTTGGCGAGGAGGCGGGGAGTCTGCCTGGATTATGCAGCGAGATTCCGGCTGGTCATCAATTGTCTGCTTGACTATCTCTGTGTTAGGGTCAACCACGGCTGGAGAGTATGTCAAAGGCGCGTTCGTCAGTCCCCAGGCACGGCTATACGGGCCTTTATAGATCAGATTTTCAAATGGAGGCCCAGCTGGCTCTAGCGCTATTATCGAATGGACCAACTCCGGTCGAGCATCTGCAATGAGCCAGCCATGAGCAGTAGCCTGTGAGTGCGTCAGTAGGATCACTGGCCGGTCAATACGGTCTAATAATGCGGCCCCCGCGCTTTGAATCGTAGTCTCCTGTTGAATTTGGGACTTTAGGAACTGCACTGTGGATGCATAGTATGCATCGAAGATGGGATCCCCAATCACACCCGAACCCGGCCACTGGGTATGGAGTTCAGCTTCAGGCCACAGCATATACTTTGCTGTTGCAGTGAAGAACTTTTGTATCATCTCTGCTGGGAGGGCTGCCATTGTGCCGTTTTCCGGGATCCAGGGGCTGCGCCCTCGAGACGTCTGATCGACAATGTAGCACTCATAGCCGTGTTCAATGAAATATGAGGCCCAACCGCGCCCTCCATCAGGCTTGTTGAGCCAGTTCTGCATGAAAGAAAAAATAACTCACAGTCAGCCAATTCTAACCCTTGCCCACTTTGTAGGCTATGCACGAAAACTGCGTATAAATCGCCTGTAGTTGATTGGGGTGCATCGACCTACTGTCCCTGTCTGAGCCTGACCGTGCAAGAGCACTATGGGGTGCTGTTTTGTCGGACCCTTGGCTGGCACCAGGTGTTCGACATACATCTGATCCCTGAATATGTGCTCCCCGTTGCCGTTGTCCGCATACTCTCCGCCGACGTAGAGATACTTGCGGATGTATGGTATCTCACCTTGTGACCAGCAGCCACCCTGGGCCAAGAAGAAGGAGAAGAGGGAGAAGAAGAACAGGGGTAAGATATCCATGGCCGGCTTGAGCACACTCAAGATAGATAAGCTATGAGATCTCGGGACCAGAGGACAATGGGTAGGTCGACTTTGCGTTGATGGACACCTGAGCTGAGGTTAGACGAAGTGCAGCCCGAATGTAAATGCGTTGGACTCGTGACCTGACAACTACCCTAGGGGCCTAGGTAATTATCGAGTCCACTAACGAGTTAACGGACATGCATACGTCCATCATCCAACATGCATGCGTCATGCCAACGGCTGAGTCCGTTCCTAGGACGCCTTGGGCCGTAGTCTTATCGCCGGCATGCTCGGATCTCAGGCTCTACGACTAGGTGGTTCACAATGCCGAGTGACTCTTAGGCAAGTTAGTTAGGCCGCTTGCATATGGTTATTATTAAATGCGATCATCATATGCTAAATTTAGTCCTAATTGGTAGTTTACTGCATATCTTACCGTACAAGCTGCAAGTCTTGATATGAAGATTTAGATTAACACCCGGCCGCACCTTGAATGCTGTTATTAATACGTTGATGATTTGTATTGGTTACCAAAGACTTTGAAGTGTTGATAATTGAATCTTCAATTGTGTAGATCAAAAGATCGAAAAAAGTTAAGCAAAGCTCCCCAAAGCCTCTCAACCTGCTATGCCCATTTGGATAGATAAAGCCAGAAAGTAGTAACTAGTAAAAACGATGCATGAGAAAAACACTAACGGATAAACCTCCACCAGATTGTGCCTTTCTATTGAATTGAAAACAATCTTGCCCCCTTCATATAGTGATACAGTCTCCCTTCTGGAGATCATAACAAACGGAAAATAAAAGATATAATGAAAAAGAGACGGCAGAGTGCATTAAACGAGTATGGAAAAAAAGGAAGATGAAAAAAAATGTAGCAAACATATGAAATCCGAACTCTTTTTTGTTCCACCAGTCAAACAAACTGTGAAAATGCCCAACAAATCAGTTCCTACCCACCCGGTAATAGCAGAACAAAACAAGATAATGGTAATGATCATCACAGATTAAGATGAAAATATAAATCGAGCTGAAATGCAAGGAGAAATAAAGAAAAAATGGGTATATGCGAGGCAATGGCTTGGGAAACAAACGAAAATAGAACATGATAGCGCTTGCATTGCAACTCTTCTCGCTCAACAAAAAGAGAATATCAGCGCTGCCAAAGGTACGGACATCGTGAAGCTCGTGTCTAGGTGGGAGTTTGGCGGTAGGTTTTAGGGAGACGTGGTAAGAGGGAATGCTATCGTAGTCCGGATATGGCAGCTAATTAAGCCTTGGAGTCGGGAGCAGACGGAGACTTAGTCTTGTCAGAGTTTAACTCTGATTCCTCACATTGCAGGCCAGCTTCACAGTCATCCACATCCATTTTTGCCAGCTTTTCGGCATCTCTTTGCTGGACTAGCTTAGCATTGTCTGCTTCTATCCAAAAGCTCTCAATGGCACCTATCGCGCAGACTAGACCACAGGCCCACCACGATAGAATAGAGAGCCTATGCTCTAAGCCTCTCGAATGCAGGAATCCAGTCACAGTTGGGCCAAGGGCTCTGCTTAAACTAGCAGTGGACGCTGCCACGCCATTAATGGATCCGAGCACGGTGGTCGATGGAGCAGAGTTGGCAAGCAGGATGGCATTTGACGGGAAAGCGATAACGTGAAGTGTGATCTTGCAAATCAGAGCGAGGTATGCTGCGGGTAATCGTAACGCTTCCGGTAGGAGGACGAGGTATGGTACAGCGAGGTAGAGGATCGGCCAAACACTGATGACAAATCGGTAGGTATTTAGGGTTCCAAAGGATCGGACGACGAAAGGGAAGAGAACAAGCTGTGCTATCATAGAGTAGATACCCTGTACAGCAAGCATGAATCCAACAGTTTTAGTGGAAAGGGATAAGCCTCCAAGAAATTTGAATGGGAGCTCGACTGGCACGCTGGAAGCGGGGGTGCTCAAAAATACAGGCATGAGCTGATCAAAACTCACGCTGTGGCTGTTAAAGAGTTAGTAAGACAAGCTTTAGATTCAAAAGAGTTATTGGAGCACAACTTACTAGGCGAGAAGCCCATAGCCCAAAATGATATATTTCACTTTCGGAGTGAATGCCTTGATAAACCCTTTACTCTTCTTCGTTTCAACTGGCAAAGCTATTGGTCGCTTTGGAGCCGGGGGCTCTTGAGCATCAGGGTCTTCCAGGCATTCATAGCCTGGCGGGGGGTCGTCATGGTATAAGAATGGCTTAGCGTCCTCGTCCCCAGTGCCGCTCGTATTCTCCATACCCCTTGCCACATCATCACCCCTGAAGAGTTTCGCCACGAGGTACTTTCCGAGTTCGCGGCCCCGGTCTCGTTGGTGTCGCTTTTCGGCATGGGTTTCTTCTAAGAAAAGAATGCCAATGGTAATACCAGCAAGAAGAATCGTAACGCAGACCAGGTTCGGGAGTAAGAAGGGATATTGCTTGAAGATGCTATCTTCAGGAAAAAGCGATGGATAGCTGTCACATGGTTTAGCCAAGGCGCCGCCAATCGCAGGACCGATGATCGATCCGAGACACCAGACGAATGGCATAATCGAATAAGCCCGCGGTTGATGTTCCTTATTCGTGACCAGCTCCGCGACTGTGGTCTGCAGGACACCGATGTTTCCGTTGAGTAAGCCGCCGAGAGCTCGAGCCATCAAGGCCATCGGAAGGCTGGAAGCAAACCCAAATACCATCATACTAATGGCCGTGCCAACTAGACCCATAATGAGGACCGGTTTCCGGCCGATAGCATCACTCACGCGGCCCCAGAGCATACCAGTGGAAAATTCCGCTAGAGTAAAGGCGGAGGTAACGATTCCGGCATAGAAGGCAATTTTTCGGTCGTCGGTCGTGACATTGAAATTTCCAACCATATAGTAGACATATGGAAATATTGACATAAACGCAATAGGTTCGCATATCCGGCAAAGACCTAGGGTACAGGGTCAGTATGACTCTTTATGACGTAACCAGAGCAAGCCGTAGGGAAACTTCCGAACGGATGTGTTGACTTCCTGACTTACCAAGAACGAAAAGCTGCTGTGTAGGAAATGGGGTCTTGCCATCATCGGCTTTGGCAAAGAGCCTTCGAATGATGGGGAGATTTCGAAATCGTACCATGACGCCGGTGAATTACTCGATGCGATATACAGCAAAGAAGAGGGAGAGGAGAGGGTTGCCCTTGATTCCCCCTCGTTGTGTATCAATCCGGGAGGAAGTTGTTAAACAGGTGTTGTCGTTCGTGATGCTGATAGTTTTGTATGCATCCAAGGAGAGCTTGAAAACGGGTGAAGTAGAGTAGCTATAGATAAAACGGCCACGAGACAGCACAGAAGCCTAGTAGATATCTAGCTGTGTGAAAGAAAGGAAGGTGCAAAGCGGAAGAATGATGATTGACGGTTGCAGGCAGGAGGAAGGAGTTTGTCAATCACTTTTATTTCGGCGGATTTAAGGCTGTTTTTCACCTCCACCTAGAAGGGCCGCGGCTTTTTAACAAGCAGTGGCAAAGAAAAGAAAAGCAAACGTAAAAAAGGTAGATTTGGCTGAAATCAGAGCAATCAATCCAATCCCGGTGATCGTGAAGAAGACAGGGTGCCGGGATTGTAAGCAATAAACGATTGTTAGAGTTGGAGGCGGGTATTTTAGGTCAGGAGACAAGGTAGTTGACAATGCACATGGCACGGCCTCCTTTTAAAGCTTTCCAGAGAATCGGGACAGGGCCACACCACCCGCTTATCAAAGCAATATCTAATCCAATGATAGTCACCGGAAGTGGCAGAGTCGGAGAAGGGAGTCAATCCTTCGGACGGGCACTCAGGTGAGGCGTTGAATCGGAAGAAGCGTGGGTTGGGGCGTGAGTGAATCAACAAGGAGAAAGAGGAATAGACAAGGGGTTAGGGAGGGAGAAAAATTAAGTCGAGACGGAGCAAAAGTAGAAAAAGGAATGGGGAGAGGAGGGCTGATAAAAGAAAAGTTAGAGGCACCGCTGAGTATACGAACGATAGCGTCTCTGTATCCAAGAGAAAAGACGCTACTTCTCCGTACTTATATGTATAAAATCACCAGGAGTAGCAATAGTGGGTGTTAAAATTAACAAAGTAAGTATTAATAGAAGGGTGAGCAAACCTAGAGAGAGGTAGAGAGTTTTGCACAAGGTTTCGGGCTATCACATATTTGCAAATATAATAACCCAAAGAAGAGGCATGGCATCGTTATATAGTCTGTTAGCGTCAGCTCCTGCACTGGGCAGAGAGCAGAGGCAGTAGGCAGGAAGGCAGATAGCCGGCCAAGAAAACTGGACGCCTGTCTGCTAGGCCCCAAAAAGGAAGAGAAAATATAAACTGACTCCTCTCATTTTCTCTTTGCGGCGCGACGAGTGGACCAACAACTCCGGTCTCCATATCCACCGGGAGCAGCTCTAGCCTTCCCAGCCGAAAAGCAGGGAGAGGAGGGACAGGCAAGGACGCGGTGGAGCCGGGGAAGAGGGAAAGGGGAGCCCAGGTCTAAGCGTCTAGAAGGCACTGCATTGGACGTGTGGCGTCTGTGGAGTCGCATCGATCGGAACTGGTTCCCAAAGTTTCTTTTTTTCTCACTGGCGCTCGTTGCTTTTTTCTTGTTATTTTGGATTTCTTTCGACAGATGCCAGGGAAGGGAAAGGCGAGAAGGCCGGTCTTCACTTCAACAGACCCCATATGATTGGCGAAGAGCAGATGGACGGCTGAGGGAGAGAGGATCCCACCAGCCGCTTGGGTTGGATGATATAATTTTTGTGGACAATACGCAGCCTGGGTCGTAACCGAGCCCAAAGCTTACGCTTGTTCGTCATTAAGAGATAATGAAACGAAGGATTGCTGTTGATGACGCTGAGCGATGCAGATGCAGCCAATGACCAATATGATTATTTCTCTTCCTGCGGCCTTCGTTGAAGTTCGTTTCTCGCAAGTACTTCCTTAGCTCAGAGTTTCGGCAATCTGATTTACGCAAATCTCTCTGTAACGGGCGCCTCGAAACTGGGCCCCCACATGCACACACGCTCACACGAACATGCATGCAGTATGACGATGCCGTAATACAACGTACAGAGCATGCCGACAGGGCCATGCTCAGTTCAGCTCATCTCGACCAGCGTTCGTGGCACCGTTGAGCGCGACGGAGCAGATAAGAGCGCATCCGCTGCATATCCTCAGTACTGGAGGCATGGCTGCAGCATGGGAGAGCAACAGCTCTGGTCCCAAGCAGTTGATCCCCAGCCGCGTCTTGTGTGCCGTATACGGAGTACACAGCACCGCACGCCGAGCGGAGATGATGTTGAAAGAGGGCGGCGGGAAGCAGGTACCGACAGTCTGGAGAGAGTTTTTTCCCAGCCCAAGGACGAGGACGAGCCGTGGGTCATGTGCCCCCCCTGGCCTGTGCTGAGTCAGCGAGGCGCGCCCTGATGTTTTCGTTCGTTTTGCCGGAGCTGACAGCATGGAGATTAGTTCGTGGACAGCAGCGCAAAGCCTATATTACGGTGAAACTCGGCGATACTCAGTGAGGCGTGGTGAGGCTGGTGTTTGTTTGGTTGTCCTGAGTCGTAGTGCTGCCATGATGGGTGAGCTGTCCGTCAACGTGATCGAGCTTCGCTGAGACGGCCCAAAATTCTAGCGGTGCCAGGGGGTGGCTGAGAGCGCGAGAGCCTGCCCATGATGTCACCACCACAGACTTGGGGCGTCAAGCTTTCAAGCTTTTTTCACTTTAGGAACGCCGGCTCCCACTTCCACTCGATCCTGGGTACTCCCAGTGATTGGCTGCGGAATAATCTCCGACACAGGGATCAGAGGGTTGGGTCTTGCCCCTTCACATCATTATTTTGTGATAGATGGGAATCCGAAGACATGGTACAGAAATTATCATCGTGTGATGTATCCAGGGGGAAAAGTTCTCCTTCGCAGTATCGATGCATTATTTGTCTGCTCTATCTCTCGTCGTCTTGTCATCTTCCTTTTCCCTTTACACCACCACGCAGCCTTTCTATCCGGGCTGTAATGCAATGCGATCTCAAGCAAGTTGGAAAGTGACCTGATGCCAAGGTAGGATCTTCGTTCTGGTGTTGCCTTTGGTTCGTCGTTCCTCTGCCACTGCTTTTCTTGTCTCTTGTTTGTTTTCAGTCTTCCCCATCTGAACCAAAATGTCATTGTAATTGTCATTACTAGTTCAAGGCCGACCAGGCGCTGTGGCTCCGTTTATGGTTGGGATCTCAGATTGAGTTTTTCCAGGGAGAGAATGGCGCATATTGAGGTTATGCGGCGATAGCTTAACCATGATTTATCATAAACTCGTACTCATATACCCCGACAGGCCTCTGCATATACTTATGTGGCCGATGCATGCATATCATCGGGCCCTGCAGAAGAGCGGGGAGGAAGTGATTCGCAATTTCAAGTGCCCTGTGCTCCCTCCATGGTATGGTGGCTTTCCCCATCATTATAACTCCGCAAGTATTTGTCATGCCAGGTATTGGGTAAGGCGCAAGACGGTAGGGCGGAGATAATTGCTTCTCTTTGTCCTCCTGTGCGACTGCCCGGCGACTCTTGCGACGGTTGATAGAATCCGCGCGCCTATGCCCCATATAAGCGATGGGCCCAATCGGTAGTTTGTGCCACAGCTTTACCCTTGGCCAAGTCTGGCTTTTGCGATCGCGATTGGCACGCTGCGGCCATGCCGTTGAAAAACGATTTTCCACAATGGCGGGAGGCCCAGCGACAAATCTCACTAGAAATCACAGGGATACCCTTTTCCGTAGCCAAAAAAAAACAAAGGGTCCCTGTCTGCCGCAGGTCGTAATTAAGTAGCAATAACTCGAGGGAGAGCAGGAAAAGAAATATGAAAGAGTGTTGCTTCTTTTTCCCATCCGATCTCAAAAGGGGTGTGTAATGGCATCTGTCGAAATTGAAAATGTTTCCATTTTCCGTCTACTTCGTACTGTACGGGGGCAATCTTGTGGGAATTGACATAATGTAGCATCTTAATGAGATGTCGGAAGATGGTCAATCATAGGCTGATTCGGAGAAGAAATGTTTGCTTTTAATTCCCTCTCCCATCCATTCGACTCTCATTTGTCGCCTTGGCCTGATATTTTTCTGACCAAACGCCGCAACTCTCTGTGTCTCCACGCTCTAGTGATTTGGTGTCTTACGCCAGTTCTCTCCTCCATACGGAGTACGGAGTGATTACACTGACAGTTGATAATGGCGGTGAACGATAAAGCGAATGATGAAGAACGAATCTAGAGGCTCATCCACCAAACTCGTCAAAAGCCCTGATTGGACAGTTTGGATGGTAATCAGGCCATCCCATTCTCATATTCAACTCATATTCAAATGATACCCTCTTTCAAACTGTGTGGTATGTGTGCGTGTGAGCTTTTTTTTTCTTCTTCGTTCCCTTCCGTACTCCGTATCATGGCGCCGGCATTTTAGCTGTGCCTCGGATTTTGACACGACATGCATGATGTATGGAGTTGGCGCTGTTGAGAAAAAAAGAACGTTCATGGGCAGACAAGATCTGGTGACAAAACAAAACGAGCGGGTCGGAATCTTGCGTCGAGCCCAATCTTCTCCCCTTCCCCTCATTTGGATATTTTCCGAATGCCTGCGTCTGTGCCGCTGTTGTTGGAGAGTCGATGTTTGATGAGGATCGCCAATGCATACTCCGTACGGAGTACACGCTGAGGCATTTTGCTGTAAAGGAAGAGTACTTGTCCTTTCCCAGACAATAACGGAATTACAATGGCCGATAGTATGACGAGTGTGCCATACATGAAGCACGAAAGCAGGCCTGCTGCATGTTAAACCGGCCCAAATGACGCCCTCGTGGACATCCCCAATCCTCCCACTCCTGGTTGGCTCCTAAAAAAAACGATAGAGTTCGGTTCGCATGTTTGGGCGCACTTATTTTGATAGGAGAAAGTCAATTGACGGTCCGTACAGAGTACTCCATCCGTAAACTGCATGCTTCTGCCCCGTAATCTCGCTCCTCAAGACAAGTTCGGGCTCCGATGAGCCTTCGCCAGGGAAAGCTGAACAACGATTATAAATTATAACCCTAGAAAGGTAAAATTGGCTCACTTTCAATGCTTCTTCGGTGCGCTTGGCTGGCTGGTGGCCGATATGTTTCACATAGATATACAACTAATGGCGGAAAAAAAAAGCAAAGGAGACAAGTCAAAGTCTTCTTTATTTGTGTTATTTAGTACTTTGCTTTGTCAGTTCGTACTGCGATCTCTCTCGGCGAACCCTAACAGCGATCTTCCCTTAGTACTCTGCATTGGTACAGCTTTGATGGTGATGATTCAACTAGTACGGAGGACTTACTTTCAAGCAAAAGTAAACACAGTAATGGACATGGGTTATCCTACCCACTATTAACCTCAACACTAAGCTCAGAGGCGAGACGACAGTTTATTCCGGGGCCATGGACAGGGCTCGAAGTCGGCGTCAACATCTGGCTCCAACAGACCAACAATCCTTCAACCCCGGTCCCTCCATCCCCGGACGAACGAAAGATGCTCCCTCTCACCCAGGCCTGGCCATGGGCCGTCTCTCTTCGGTCCGTAAGCCATGTGAGCACTCAACAGGGACGCAGCTTGTACTCACCAGCGCCGGTACGTAGAGAAGACTAACTGTCGTATCGTTGTGAACGTCTTTGGTCCGGACTGGGGATGTCAAACTCCCGCGAAAAGCTGTCGTCGTCGTCGTCGGGTCCCTGGCCAGGGAGTCACGGGGTCTCGCGTAGCTGGTGACTAAGAAGGCAACTATCAGGTTTTCCCCTTTTTTATTTGCAACTAACAACGACCTGACAAGCTAGCTAGCTAGCTAACTAACTCCCCCACGTCCTATCGGTACGGAACGTTACTTATGAAATATATTTCCAGACTTATACATATTATTGAATGCATGCTGACTCTGTTAACTCTGACTAATTCAGCTCTGGAAGAGAGACGCTCCACCCTAGCTTTGTTGTTTATCAGAGAGGCGCGCGAGTCGCGGTGATGGGTCCTCCCCTTAATAATGATAAAAAAGAAAACAGAGTAGCTGGCAGCGAGGACGAGGATGCAGTACGGAGTAACTGAGGACGAAAAAGGGGAGAAGTACGGAGTAGGCTCTACGGAAATGACCTCATCCTGCTGACCGTCGTTCTGCTTGGCTACAGACAGACAGACCGCGATGATTGATGAATGCTGGGCTGGCTGTTGTCCCTGTCGACAGGATAATACGTTGCTGGGGGAGACAAAGTACCTGTATGGTCCTCTCGTCGCCTGCCTGGTTGGCTCATTCTCCATACATAAGATATCTGTGGCAAAGAGCAAAGGTGCCCAAAGAATATGAGCCAAAAAGCGAATAAGAAAAAGAGAATCTCGCCCTCAACGAAAACCCAAGCTGCTAGTTATGCACTGGCCAATGGGTTTATTCCATTCCGTTCAATTCCCGAGCCACAAACTAGCTCTCGGTGACCCTTTTAAGTTGGCAGATATTTTGGTCCAGGCGGTGGATGGGCCAACCACCAGAACGCCATCGTAAAATGGATTTCGACAGATCAAGAACTTCCATCCATCGTTTGGACTAAAGCATTGTGCATACCTTCCTTCGATTAAAACTGCCCTGAAATCTATACGGCGGTAGAAAACGGGCTATAATTTGTAGGTACACCGTAATCGTCAGGGAACAAGAAAAATTCAACAAAACTGCATTCTGATGGCGATGCTGGTCAAAGTGGTTTGTTCTTCTTTTTAACTGCATGCTGTACCAGTGACCTGGCTGCCTCCAGGGTTCCTTTTTCCCCCCTCTATTCTGTTCCTCCCTTTATATTGATGTATGCTATGGTGCAGATGACCTGGCACGATTGCGCGACCCGTCAGCGTCATCCTCAGCCCTTGCCGTTCCTTTCTCAGCCTGACGTACAGAGTACAGAGCACTCCCTACTCCGTACATGATAGCTGATTAACTATTATTAATGTAACTCTGCCATCCTGGAGCAAGGCTGGCGGAAACGGTGAAGAAGGATTCTGCACGTTGTGCCGCAACCCTGGTATCAACACATTCGATTTTGGAATAGTGGCCACTGTCGATTGAGGCTCAGAATCTCGGAAATACAGTCTCACGATATGATTACACTTGCAGTCATGGGCCAGCCAGCCCCCATCTTCTTCACACGTTCGCAGTACGTGTCACTTTTCTCCAGAAGGGTTGTGTTTATTTTTTCTCTCCCTCCCTCAGCTGTTTGCTCGAACTCCTGGATGCCTAAAAACTATCAACCGGCCCCTCCTTTGGCGGCCTCCATCCACTATGCTTCTTCTATTGGTGCAATCAGTCTCATTCTCTCATTTCGGCAATCCAGCAGCAAATCAAGGGACACCTTTAGTTGGCGGTTCCGGTTGTTCCACAAGGAGCGGCAGGGGACACGGAAAGCTTCCAAGCTCTGCATGGCTCATCCCTGTGAACTTGGGGGAAAGCCCACACAGACTGACCTTCACGGACGAGCGGTACTGGTTCCGTACAGCTTGGCAAGGGCAATCAAAGCAACTCTCTCATTTTACGTTTTGTTATGGAGCAAATGGAAAATGCCTTACGGTCCTCCTTGCCCTGATGGAAGACTTCTCCGAATAAATAATGGATATACAATACATATAATCCGACATCTCACTTTTAGGCTTCCTGAAGGCTCTAAGGCATACGGAGTATAATGCGATCCACCCTGCTTCACATTTTTCGCCTGTCTATCTCTTACCGTGGCAGGCGGGGATAAAAAAAAGAAGTGAGGATGAGCATGTCCAGGCATCTCTTTGTTTTCATCCCTTCCTGCTCACATGGACATTTTCCTGAACAGTAAGATTCCCCCGTATGCAAAGTGGAGTTAGCCTTTGCTGGATCCCTAATGCCCTTTTGTCCCCATACTTGTTCTTATTTTATTCGAGAATTCGTTTGCCCGTCACCGCGAGGAATATAGTCGTTATAATTCGGGTTCGTTAATACGTACTGAACATAGCGCTGAGTAAGAACAGTTAGGCTTTGATATAAAGATGCTGTGTAAAAGAGACGACCTCGTTTCAATGGCCTCGCTCGCTCTGCTTCGGCTAAAGCTGTCACAGGTTGCGCAGCCACAGCACTCCTCGAATGTCGCACTTAGCTTGAGTCTCTAGACCACATGTAGCCTTTCTTTCTAGCTGTGAATGGAAGTCCTTCCTACGCTGTCAATACTTCATCATTTCGAGCGTTTCAACAGACCAAAATACTGTTAAATTCCATTAGTAGTGGACATAATCAAAAACGTCATTACGTAATGCATACAAAGCTTGGCGGAAGGCTTTTTTTGGTTATCATCAATTTTCAATGAAATTGGAAGTCAGGGCAGGCAAAAAGAGAAGACTCGGGGTTCGGGAAGATAACAAACAGACATTTGGTTCCTCCCCTTTGACCCTGTGATACGCAATCTTCATTGCCTTCCACTATATGGCCCAGCTCAATGGCACTTTGATGCCATTTCTTTACCCATGTTTGCTATTCAGCCCAACTGCCAATTTAGCTCCTAGGAGCGCGTTGAGAGCTTCCAAATGCCTTAAACACTTTCGATGGTCCTCCTCACTCCCTACAAATAATAATATATCCGCGCCTGATCCTGGGTCTCATTCGATCGGCACGAATGACTTTGATCTCGAGAAGAACCGTCGCCTGAACCCGGCTCCATCGGACTATGGACGATCGATATTCCAAGACCGATGTTCTCTTACCGTCCACACCGGCTCAGGAGGCTCAGGATGCGTTGCGTTCCTGCGTCTGAAATATTTAGAGCATGGCCCTGCGAACGGTGGTGACGGCGGCACGGGAGGAAATATACTGATACAGGCCGTTGAAGGGCAGACAAGTCTACACAAGCTGGCACGAAGAGGCGTGATAAAAGCTGGTAGAGGCAAAAATGGGAGAGGCAAATCGCAGGGAGGAGTACGAGGTGAAGATGTCTTGTTGCAGGTTCCTGTTGGAACTGTGGTACGCGAGGTTGAGAGACATGACCCTGTGGCAGAGAAGGAACGAGAACTGAAAGAGCTCACTCGGGAACTCGGCAGCAGGACAAAAGCCCTGCAAGCTATAAACTCACGTAGAGATCAGTGGGTGCTATATCCTGGCTCTCAGCCGTCTGATTACTTTGCAACCGATTTCCCGGAACTTGGTCCGCCCAGAAGACCCGATCTTGCAGCCGTACAGCCTGCTGCGCCAATATACCTTGATCTTTCCAGACATATGGATACACCGATTGTACTTGCAGCAGGTGCTGTAGGAGGCCTTGGGAACCCACATTTTGTGTCTAAGTCCATTGGCAGGCCCATGTTTGCTACAAAGGGCGAACAAGGGATGAGGCTCGAACTAGAGTTAGAACTGAAATTACTTGCCGATGTAGGGTTGGTTGGTCTGCCGAATGCTGGCAAAAGCACTCTATTACGCTCAATAACCAACAGCCGGACTCGTATAGGAAACTGGGCATTCACTACTCTGTCACCTAATATTGGCACTGTTGTACTGGATGATTATTCCCAACGCAAGGCAAGGCTGGCAACTCCAGGACGGGCTCCGCGCCCACGGTTTACAATTGCAGATATACCTGGTTTAATTGAAAACGCTCATTTGGATAGAGGCCTCGGGCTGGGATTTCTCAGGCATGTAGAGCGTGCTGGAATCCTTGCTTTTGTGGTGGACCTTAGTGCGGGAGATGCGGTGGCGGCCCTGAAGGGTCTATGGAATGAGCTTGGTGCATATCAGTCTATGCGGGACCGTGAGCTTAGCTTGGATACCCAGTCCCGACTGTCTCCATGGACTCCAGTCACTGACAACTTGGACGAACCACGAGTGAACGAATGGATGGGAGACGAAGGCCATGCCAGCACTCCACCCCCACCGGCAAGAGACTCGTCCCTTCAGCCTCTTGTATATGCCAGCCACAACATCTACTCGAAACCATGGTTCGTTATTGGAACCAAGGCTGACTTACCAGGCACCCAGGAGAATTTCGCAGCTTTAAAGGATTACCTTGCTCAGGTTGAGAAAGGAACTGTTGAACATCCCTCGAAGCAAGAAGATGCATGGCGGAATCGGATATTTTCCGTTCCCATCAGCGCCATCAATGCACAGGGAGTGAATGTCATCCCTGAGAGGATTGTGCAACTCATGGACGGTGCATATTAAACGGTTTCTTGTGCATAGCCATATGTATCATATAAGTTTTTTACGATATAGCGTTGTATAGTATTATCTTTCTGTCTCTACTTGGCCCACTAGCTCTTAAGATCACCTTGAATTGTTATCTCTTTAAATTGTTTCTGTAGACCTGGATTCACTCTTGATTGATATTGCCAAGCCTGTTAACTATAAACTATTCTCAACCTCCTAATGAATATTTAACTAACACCTAACTTACTTCGCACGCAACCGGCAAGACACAGCTCTAGAGCTCGACTCTCTGCGAGAACAATGTCGAGCAGCAAGCTACCGAAGGTCGCAGCTCTACGCAGACAGCAGCTTCGACTTGAATTGTGAGTTCTCCGCTTTGTTTCTCGTCCTGCGTGCGGAATTCCTCCTGGTCGTTTGTTTGACTGCCAGTTATGTCACGAGCTGATACGAACGACCGTCCGCAGCGCGAGTATTAAAGTATCTCCTCCAGTTGGCATATACGTGAGCCTTTCTCCAAGCGATCCGGCCCTCTGGTCTGGGGTACTGTTCGTCCAGAAAGGTACAATTCTGTTCTTAGCTAGGCTGTCTATCAATCAATGTTTGAGTCTAACAATGACATAGGCCCCTATGCATCAGCTATTCTTCGATTTCAAATTCGGTTCCCGCCCTTATATCCTGACCTTCCTCCGCTCGTAACGTTTACTACGCCTATATTTCATCCTCTGGTCGTACCTTTAACTACACAGACGTACTCAAACCGGCCGTCTGACCTGGATTCTGTGACGGGAACAATCGAAGAGCAGCTACCGCCTGGTGGGTTTAGCCTACGACATGGGTTTCCGCACTGGTTTGTAAAGACGGAGCGGAGCACTGTTGTCTCCCCTTCATCATCACGCAGGACAAGTGGTCAGAAACCGGGGCCTATTGGGGTTCATGCAGAGCAGGGTAATGATCTGGTAGAGAGTAACACTGATGAGATTATCACTCGGATTTCGTCTCTTCCATCTGACGTACGGGGCCCGAAAAGCCCTGACACTGCTGATGTTACCGCTTTGGATCTTCTGGAGTATATCCGTTCGACATTTGATGACGAAACTGTTTTGGATTCAATCTCACTGGAGGCTACAGGGTGTCCAAATGCATGGCATGCTTGGAGAGCGCATCGTCGTCAGCCACGAGCCGCCTCAGTAGCTGAACGCCGATCCAGCAAGGATGCAGGAGTCAGTTCTCCTTCAACGCCTGGGCGCACTTTAAGCCCAGACAGTAACATACGGAGAAGCAGCCCGCAGGCCCGTTCGCCCGGCGAGTGGAATTGGGAAGGGGTCTGGCTGAAGAGAGTCAAGGAGAATATTCATCATAGCTTTCTCGAGTCGGTACTATTTGGCAGCTCGTCCCGCGCTGGAAGTTTAGGGGATGACATGGTAAGGACAGCTGTTTCATACATGTTTTAGACTGCCCCTTTCCTTCCATTTAGTTATTGACTCAATATTCTACAGATCCGATTTCAGAAGCTGGACCATAGTGTCCTGACTAAGATCAAGGACGAGATTCTCGACCTTCAAGAAGGCCAGGCTGATCCCCGACCTTTGGCATGAAGTTCCTTTCGTCTTTTCTTCTCTCTCTCTCTTTTGATACCCAGCATGCGTCTGCTTTTCTCTCTCTGTTGCTTAGCCTTGAGGATATATCTGTCACCTACAATTTGCCTGCATTTTCTTGCTGTCTCCTGCTGCTTTACTTTGTTTTGGCTCTCTCCCATAGATCCACGGCTTCCGGAATATTATTCCCCGGGCTGCTCCTTCCAGCTCCCTCAGGCGTGGCCTCCTATTTGAAGAAGATATACATATACGCATGTATGTATATATCTGCTGGAAATAAACATCCCGGTTCATGTTGGACTGTATTATTGTATAATAATATGACTTTTTTGTCTGAAATTTGACCAGCGTCGGTGCACATAGAAATTCGATATACACGGCTCAGTTAGCCCAGTTTGTCCAGTCCCCTACAGGTACCCTAGTCCTGGAATATGGTTCACTCGCAGGTGGTCTCAGTATACTCGAGATGCAACTAGCCAGACGAAGCGAAAGAGACCGAACTCTTATCATACTTGGCCTAGTATTCGTGCCTATAGCTCTTCTAGTCGCTATTTTCATTAGCGCTCTGGCATGTGCTGAGTATTGGAGCATCCGGAACAACCGCCGCCGTGTTCGACGTCGACATAAGAGAAGCCGATCTGACCCTCCGTGGTCCTTCGATTCAACCAAGCAAAGTGACTCTAGTGAAGGCTATTCAGATGTGTATCAGAACGCAGTGGAACTAAAGGAGCACGTCTAAGGGCGTGAGACTCAGGGACTTACTACCGAGCCAAAGTCAATATCATACAAAGGAAACTATTCTAATTTTCTACCCTTGAAGAAACTTGACTTAGGACCGTTTATATTTTCTGAATCAACACTTCGCGTGACAGGCGATATTGGCCAAACGAGACGCGTTACAAGGCATGGACTCCACGCACAGTTTAACAAACACGCCAACTCCCAAACCGCTGGAGATATCGAAAATATCAGAATACTCAAAGGCAAATAAAAACGCTGCAGATCTAGGCAAGCAGAACGCCTGCTCGCCTTGTCGTATACCAAGGAGACGCTATTCCCATGTTGTTCGCCCTCCCCTTGTCCCTCTATCAACTACACGGAACGCGGTGAAGAGCAATAAATCTATAGCTGTCAAACCAAACCAGCGTCCACAAAAGCCTACAGCTTCTCACTTGAAAACAATGGAAAACTCTACCGCTGTATGTTGATCAAACGATGTTTCTGTCATACTAGCTGCTAATTCCCCCCTGGTTTATTAGGGAAAGGCCATTTGGGACGGCAGGGCGTCATCCCCAGACGTACGACAACGCCAACCAACTTCAAAAGGAGCAAATATCCTGTCTCGTGCGATTCACGCGCTCGATTTCAGGAGCCGTGAATGCAGCGGGAATGAAGCAGACAATGCAGCTAGAGCACACGGCTTTAGGCTTTCTTCTTTACAAAAGACATCGATTATTCGGGGGAAAGGGTCTGAGTTTAATTTGAGAGCGCACGCAAGTATGAAGACAGAGAAAAAGTCCTGTGATGGGCTTTATGAGAAGGCTCAAATCCATAGGCATCAAGCTCCCCCGTTCATTGATGGTTACTCCCAGGCTTCCAAACCGCATCACGATGCCATTTCCACCTCCCGCATTCCCCGACATATCCCTATCACATCAGCGGCTATCGCCCTATTGGCGAATTCTCTGAAGTCCAGCCCTGTACAAGATAAGTCGATGTGGATATCTGCTGTAGTCACAGCTAATATCAATGACTCTACGGGGAGAACGAATATAAGCGGACCATCCGACTCGGATATCCCACTAGATGTCATGATACTAGTTGATAACTCGTAAGTGGCTAGTTTTATTGATCTGCCGCCTTTCCATGACCTAACAAAATCTTCTAGGGCAAGGGTTTCGGAAGAAATGTTGAAGGCCGCGTGTAGGAACGCATTTCAGCTCGCCTCTGCCCTAGATGTACTTATAGACAGAATTGCTATCTGTTGTATATCTCCTGATCCCACTCAGAACTTGAATATTCTGATGCCGCTTTCATCTTACAGTCTAGACACTGTCGAGATTTTATTTCGATCACTTCCAGCGTTTCAGCTTCCTCGCGGAGAATCCAGCAGATCTCGTTTAGCAGGGGCTATAAAAGAGGCCTCCGGCTACCTTATTCGCCATTCAAGTAGAGGAGCATCTTGCCATATGTTCCTTGTAACTGCGGGAGCTACAGTACTGATTCCAGGAGAGTCTAATGGTGATAAATTGCGCTACCATACCATATCGCCCGAAAGCGCTATGATGATTAGTAGCCGTCAGTCATTGGAAGGATGGCACGTTGGGACCAGTTTTGGTGGCGATGAGCAAAGTCCCATGGACATCCAATTTAAGAGCAAGCTGCAGCTTGCTCTTCAACATCTTAGGATAGGTGTTGATTCAGGATACCTCCGTGATCTCGAATTGCGGCTTGAAGCGGGACCAGATTCACATATTGAGGCCATCCTTGGAGACACAAATCGGAGTGTACTTCGACTAGGCGAATCATGGACGGTTTTAGTTAAAGTGAAGCCTATTCCTGGGTTGGAAAACGTTTTCAGTAGTGGCCCTAGCACTGCTTATAGTGATATTGAACCACATACGCCGAGCGAGTCAACCGTGGATAGAATGATCGATCAACTTCAAGGAATGCTCAAACCAGCGAACCACACTCCAAACACCGAATATTATATCACTGCATCCTTGGAGTATAAGCACTCAGCACTTTCAGAGGATACCATTCTTGTAACAAAAAATAAATGCACGGTTCCGAGATTTCGCAAGGCAGTTACATGGGGTGATGGTGTGAAACCTCCAGCCCCACGAAGCAGTTCTGCAATTGGCCACCGCCAGATCATAAAACCTCCAATGGACAGCGAGACGATCTCAGTCAAGAAACGCCAACAATCTGCCAGAAATATTTCTGGAAACGGTAATCAAGCAAAGAAGCTGGAAAAAGAAAATGTGGCCTCTTCTATGAGGGGAAATAGTTTGCCATATAGGGACGAGTCCCCATTTGGAAGCATGAATCCATACAAGGGTATTTGCAGGCACCCTGACCCCCTAGTGTCACAGCAATCCTTGGACAGAATTCCCGAGCACGGTCACTTTCATCGATTGGAGGACCCATTTGCTCGAATACATTAATTTATGTCAGTATTACTCGAAGCGGGGGTTCTGCTGTTGGCCGTTGGAACGTATAACAAACACGAAGATGAGCATGATGAAACTGTTAAGGGTCACATCTAGCTACAATGATTCAAGGAAACAAGCATGAGAGGTTAAAGATAGTGATATTCCTTTGTGTAGCTAATAAATAATAAAAAAGCCGTTTGGCCTCCCATTCAATGTGTTTTCCAGGAAGGAGTGTATACCTATCAATGCACTTTGGTACGATTCTCATCCCAAATTGGTTCCCCATCATCATCAAATGTTGCCCACTGGAAGAAAGAACACGACTGTTTCCCTGGTGCGTAACTAGAATAACACATCCACATGTATTTCCCCCGGGTTTCCTTTTTCCGTTGTACGCAACGAAGAACGCAGGGCATGTTACAGCGGCATCGTGGGGTCCTCTTCGGATGTAGGGAATCTCTATACCATCGGTAGGTGATGTTAATGCGTTTATTACCGGCAACAGGGTGAGGTGAGATGGTTTGCGCAGGAGCAATACTATGCTTCCATTCCTCCTGAGTTTCAGCATGCATTACCAAAAGAGAATTATGGGGCAGGTGAATGGAGATTTGGCCCTGTATATCTGAGCGGGAAGGGTCGGGCTTTGGCTTCTCCAATTTGTCAATGACTAAGTTATGGTCGGTGTTCTGACCACCTTCTCCGCTGGTGTTTTTATCAGGGTCCTCATCTTCATCGTCAGGGGGAACAATCCTGCGCACTCGAAACTCTCTAGCAACACCAAGGCTCAGGCTACCAATGACAGCCCTGGGCCCTAAGTACGTTAACTCGTCAGAATGGTATCCTACGCTTTCTGTGGGGCCGTCATAGCAATTGACAAAAGCAGCATTTGGCTCCCACTCCTTGGGAGATTGGAATTTCAATTTTTTGCCATTTGGATAGAATGTCCTCACACGCTTCTCAATTTCCTGATTCACAGCCTTCTTAACAATGCTTGAGACTCTGCGTAGTTCTGGCGTCACCTTGCGCACATCATTTCTGAGGCTCCCGTAGTATGAATACTGGGACTGTTGCTCCCGTAGTTCTTCTTCGGTCATAACATAAAATCCTGCAGAGTGTGGGCTTGATACAACATTGTCGAATATTTGAAATTTCTGTCGATGGAAAGTTTGTGACTCTTCTAAGAGCTCCTTCAATAATGCTGTCGCCTCGTCGGGAGAAAGAAAGTTATGTATCACTGTACAGGATGTGTATCGTGATATATCCTCAGGGGAGTAGAGATGAAGAGTTTTGCCTTTCCGAGTTGGAAGGAGACCAGGAGAACCAATATCTCGATCAGAATCTAGCAGTATTTTGTAAGACGACAATGAACTTTGTATAGATCCGGAGTTGCTGGTTAGCTGCTTGGCTTTCTTCCTTGCAATGCTATGTTCAACAAGCGATGAAGTAGTGGCTTCGATGGACCCTTCATTCGCTATGAGAAGATCTAATAATTCTCCCGGCGGAATATCCGGGAAAATAGAGGCCAGCTTAGCAAGCTTTATATCCGTTGAATCGTCTTCTTCATGGATTAAATTCACAGTATCGAGGCTCCCAGCATTGTGTGTATCCCTTGAGCTGATGGCGGTAGCCGTGGGTGGTGTTCTCTGCCGCTTCCTTATGATGAATTTATCCATCTTGTTGGGCGAGCCAAACTAAGAGGCAGGCAGAAGCCCATCTTATAGTTATAACTTATAAGCCCACTTGACTCAGTTCTTCATTCTCGTATTAGTAATTAAAGCTTGATGGTGATGAGCCTAAAAGTTAGAAAGCCGGATGCTCTCGGACGCATGGTATTCAATAAAGGAGTGTCTTTACATCGGTTCTATCCCACCCTCGTTTCTTTCTTGCTTTTTTTGCGAGCCGTTTTGATATCAACAAGAGAATCGAAGTCGTTTCTTTAGACTGTTACTAGTTAGTCATAGATTATGTAATAAAATGGATTAATAATGATAACAATTTATTGCTTATTTCAGCATCACTACTTTGTTAGATAGGGGTTTTTTCTTTTATTTTTCTTTCTTTCTCTTGTAATGTATACTATCAAGTCGGTTTTATTCCAGCTGTTTTATGCCTTTGGGCTTCACGGAATACTTACGAGCTATATGGTCTATGTATATAGCTAATGACTACGTTAAACGAACTCATAACTGCGGCAGTATCCTCAATATCGGCGCCCGATCCCGATGATCCAATTCGGGAATGCTATGGGCACGATGTTGGGAAGCTAAAATCTGCACTCTTAGATACCCCAGATAGTGCACTCCAACTTGCTGATGCAGAACTAAGGGTATTTCCATTTAAGGATGTGAAAGTTTGTTGGCGAAGGCTATATACTGATGCCAGCCTGGTCAAAGTATGCCAACTTTTACAGAAACATATCGATTGCATTGAAAAAGGAGGCCGTATCATGGAAGCCACGGTGGATGATGCACCGCAAGCGTCTATAGTTCAAACTTCGGACAAGGAAAAAAGCGAATACACGGAGAGCAACCCTCCCGCTGATTATCCTTGGGTATCAGACGTGATCCATACCCTGGATAAAGCTGTTATAATGTGTGGTGCTCCTCGCCGTACAAGACTAATAGAGGACCTTTTATCTACGTTACAAGGAAGTCTTCACTTGGATTACAATTCCTCATTTGCATCGTTTACATTGCCTGACCAAGCTGGACTTTCTCAATCACTCCGTTCCCGGCCGACCAAGAGACAGAAACTGAACGAGATGAATAGTTTATTTCCCTTAGATCATGCCCCTCAGCCTGATCTAGAGCATCCTGTTCCTCGAGTTGCAGGGCTTACGTTTGAAGAGTTCACAGAACATATATGGAATATACGGACACCAATAGTTATTACTAATGCCATCGACCACTGGCCAGCTCTCTCATCACGGCCGTGGTCGTCCTCTCTATATTGGGCAGAAAGGACATTTGGTGGAAGGAGGTTGGTTCCGGTTGAAGTTGGGAGGTCTTATACTGACGAAGGCTGGGGCCAACGGATTATGCCTTTTGCTGATTTTGTAAAGGACTACCTATGGCGAAGCACCAGTTCAACTAGCGAGCAAACTCAGACAGGCTATATGGCGCAGCATGACCTTTTGGCTCAGATTCCAATGCTAAAGGAAGATATTTGTATTCCCGATTACTGCTACGCCGAACCACCCGAGCCTGAACCAGGAACTCCCCTGCATGAAAAGAATATGCAACGAAGAGACAATGGGAGAAGTCAAAGTGAAGTTAAACCAGAGATAAACTCGGAATCTCATGATGGAATAGCGAAGGATAATGTGAATAAGGTGCCGGAGATAGAATATTATGACAATGTGGAAAATGAAGATGGCCTCAGTGACAATATCACCCCGACGGACCCCACAATTAATACTTGGATAGGCCCTTCGTGGACAATATCTCCTTTACATCATGATCCATATCATAACATTCTTGCTCAAGTGGTTGGCACCAAATACGTTCGCCTCTATTCTCCTCACACGCCAGCCAGCCAAATTTACCCGCGTGGAAAAGAAGTTGTCAACCATAAAACCTCAGACACATCTAGTATAGAAAGGAAAGGGGAAGCCGATCAAGAACAAATAGATATGTCCAACACATCTCAAGTTGACATATCAGCCATCGAGCTGTCTCCAGCAGAGGCCGAGACATGGAACGAGCTTTGGCCTGGCTTCCTCGATGCCGAATATATGGAAACAGTTCTGCGAGAGGGTGAGTGCCTATACATCCCTATTGGCTGGTGGCATTATGTTCGGGGCTTGCAGGCTGGGGTCAGTGTTAGCTTTTGGTGGTGTAAATAATAGGATGATAATTGCTCACTGAGGTATGCCATTTGGCTATTATCAAGTAGTTATCTACAATGTTAAGTGCTGTATAGTAGTGTACTTTGTTTAATTGCCGCCTATCCGCTACCCAGGTACTTCATACTATATAGAGACCAATATACACCCTAAATTCAACGTCTCAATACTTTCAAGGGTAGTACCTAGAAAGAGCAGCCATAGTCAATTGATAATAGCCTTCTTAAGTAGCATCAACATAACGGCGGAAGGAAACACTAGAAAACAGCAGGAACGAATTGATAACAGGGAAGTTGATAGTACGTGTTATTTTCACAACTCGAAGTAGCTCCTTGATAGAAGGGATTTACCAAGATGGAAGGGATTCCCTCAAGGGATAGTAAATAAATACAAACAGCTTCTCTGCACTGAAACTGATTCCTTTTCTCAATCTTTACATCCATCATGAATCAACAATCATCGGTATGCCATAATTTTTGGCCAACACAGTACATCAACTTTCTAGCCATGCCTCTGTCAAACATGATAATCATCCGATGTTCAGGGGAAAGAAATCGGAGGCTACCTCTCGGTATCCCACAAGATGAAGGTAGACGATGACTATCCGGTTGTTCTGGTTCCAATATACTTCATATCACCACACATATGCCCGCAAAGGTAAAAGGAAAGGCATATATTATCCATCCCTAAACCGGTGACTATACTCAGAATATAGTACTAGCCAAGAGCTATCCAGGCTTGGTTCTAGAATCCCGCAACATGAACCCCCTCAGAACAAATGTCATCATTGGGATATCAGTAGGATGATAAGAGGCAAATGATTAGCTCTACCACACTTCTGAGCCAGGGGCAATGATGAGTTTGTGTTGAGTCTATGATGCCGGCCTTTGGCTGACAAGCTTGTTTTTCTTAGGAACCCTCAGAACCAACGTCATAATTGGGATACTGGTAACATAATTAAAAGGTAAGTGATTTTTTCAAATGGGCCTTCCGCCTAGAATATATATTCGAAGGGTCTGGGATGCCGCGCCCTCAGAGTAGAGATTATTATAGGGGTAAATCAGGGGTCAGTGAGGGAATGTTGATATGGGCAGTAAACAAGATAAAAATAAAGTAGGTGTAAAATAAAAGAGGTATGGTGATAAAAATGCAGCGTTCCTGCTCTTGAGATTCATCAGCATCTCGTCAACTTGTCGACCTCCGCAGGTGTATTTTTGGATATCAATAATAATGGCGCTGAAAGAAAAAGGATATATCTGAAGGCTGCATATTGCACATTTCCGGTGAAAGAGGAGACAGACTGATGATTTGGGACTGAGCTGTAGTGCCTTTGGTATAAGGATAAGGTATCCCTCTCGCTCATCCTGCCCGAGAGTGGTCGTATGCCCGGGTTATGAGAGCAGCGATGAGAACTTCTGAGTAGTAAAAAAAGGGCATGATGAGCGATACAAACCAAGTTTCGAGATGGTATAGGCCCTCAGAACAGTCCCAGTGAATAAGTTATAAGACGTGAAGACGGCACTAGTCAATACCGTCTATGTACAAGATAGACACTGGCCATTTCATGACTCTCGATACGAAGGTGACGATGCACCTAACTAATATATGAGCCTGTGTGATTATGTTGAACTTAAGATGGGAGTGTTAAAGTATTAGTTAAATACTAATCGGTTGGTTTATTTTTCGTGTGATGTTCGTCATCGGCTTAGACCTCAACCGTTAACCAGCCCCGGAGATTTGTGGTTTGGTCAGAATAACAAAGTAACTACGGTACCTTAAATGGAACTGTTGGTAATTGGTTGCAACTTGCTACCCATCAAGAAGCAAACCGATGGTTACACAACTTCCTAGTCAAATGCACTGCAACGCTAAAGGTGTTCCGTCGTCAAATAACAGGCTCTAGGGAGCTCCAAGTTGTTTGTCTATATGAAAAGCAGATCTATAGTCTGTCAAATGCCCAGGAACAACACAGACAAGACCATACATGGACAATTGGAATATCTGGTAGTGAGTACCGTGGGAAAGCAACGTGCTAACCTTGTGAAAAGATGTATCGTAGAATATTGATAACTACCTAGGTAGTCCAGCTGTACATAGAGATATCCGCGTTCCTTGGGGAACGTTCTTTGTTGCAAGAACATGGTCGGAGATTGACTAGGTCTCCTTTCCAGCTCGTGGCGTTACATTGGATCTTAGCCTCCCGGTGAACAGTTTGAAACATATGGGGGTTATTAGTCATTTCTTCGGTGCCTATCAAAGGCTGCATCGTGACTATAGGCGTCAGACTGTCTATTTGATAGACAAGTTGATATCTGCAAATAGCTTTGTTTAGCTACTATATAATTAGAATATTTAACTATTAACGAGTTAGTTATACCAGGGATTTTGCCTTGTTACCGGGTACTCAGTGCTCAAGGGATAACTTGATACGGCAAATGCAAGAATCAATCGTCAGCAAATGTACCCCTGAAAGCCTTGCATTAGCTTACTGTACACGACCATGGAACACATCACAAGAACATGGTATTCTGCATCTCACTCCCACCGTGCTCTTGAACTTTCCAGTAATATCCAGGAAGAAGTGCATGCCCTGGTATATTGCTGTCTCCCCAATAGGTCAATTTCGAAATGCTGAAATAGATGCTCATTCTTTCATTTTAAGCACACGATCAAAGGACTTATTAGGAGTGAGAAGCCTAACCTAAATATCACTTCCGTGAGTAGTCAAAATGGTTAGAATCAAGCAAATAACAATTGTCTCTCTTCTGGTGATAATACATCCGGAACTATATCCCCGTGCAGCGGTACCTAAAAAGTGTCGTCAAGTTAATTACCTGGTCGATAAAATGTTGAAACACCGCCGTTTGGGGCTGAATAAGTGCACGAGTAAGCAGGGCCGTCATGCACTCCTTGACATGATTGGATTCCATGAAGTGGGTAGACTGAAAAGTTTTATCCAGAGCATATGTTTTTTTCTCAAATAGACGGTCGAGAGAATTTTCAGCCGCGCTTGAAAATGAGGGTATATAGCTCCGCTTATGCCAATTTTTAGCCCTGTTCGGAAAGATCAGCCATGCATTTGGGTTGAAGGCAACAATAAGGCTCTTCGGGACTATCAGTTAATGGGTTTGTGAAAAAGAACCTCTCACGAATCGAGACAGCGCAACGCCGAGACAGCGCCCCCATTTTAGTATTTCGTCCTCCTCAAGCTTTTGCGGGCCTTGACGGCCTTGAGTCGTGGGGGCATGAGCAAGTTTGCTAACCGGAGAAGCTGTCCTTGTTCTGAGCTACTAGGGCGTGTGAAGAAGAGATAGAACCATTCTGCCTTAGCTAACATAGTTACTTAACTAACTACGGAGTACCTGACAAGCTAGTTGCTTGGCTTGCTGCGAATCGAAGATCAAAGAGACGCGGCAGTCATATAGAAGCTGGAGTTAAGATAGGGTCTGGCATTATTTTGATATTTGTTGTACTTGGAAGAATAAAAATAGAACATAAGCCGTAGATCTGATAACAGTGAGCTGTCTGACATAAGCAATCAAAAGGGGTAATATTGGACATCTCTGCTTCGACCATCCACAAACGACGCACAAACAACACACAAAGCAACCTCAAACTGAAGATGAATCTTCCAGAGAACCAGACGATCTGGCCATCATTACTTGATCAACCTAGCCATTCAGCAGATATTACAACCTGCGCTGAGGCTGGGGAGAGAATCCTATCGAGCTTCCGCCTGGGTTCCCTGGACCCGCAAACACGATTTACACCAATAGTTCGAGACTAAGGCCGGTGATGCGAAGCAACGTTGGTGATGGAACAGCGTCCAAACCAGGTAGGTCCACGCAGGGGAGCTGAAATGATTGGCTTTCATGCCTGCAGCTGCAGCTGCCTCTGGAATTACAGTTGCTGATGGGCTTGTTTTTGCTTCTGGTCAGATCCAAGAGATGCCGCTTTGGAGTCGGAGAACGGACTTAAGACGTAGTGTCTTGCGCGGATAATGACGTTACAAGATGCTTCCTTTTCCAGGCCAAGGCCTCGCCAGGTCATGACGGCTGCCTTTCCCAGCACATCAGGCCGAAAATCCTCCATCGAGTCTCAAAGAGAGGTACGGAGTAATGTTAACCTGCTACTCAGGCCGTCCATGGAACAAGGCCTCGAGACGTCCCCCTTTAAACCGGGGTTGTGAGAAAATGCTTGGCGGGCTAGTTATTTATAGCGGTAGGATATTTTTTTAACTAATTGGAAGGTTAGCCCGGCCGGAAATCGGTGCCGGCCATATATTGAAGCCTCTTCATGCATCTCCGGATTGCCAATTTAGCGGTCGGCACAGGAGACACGTGTGGGGAACCTCGATAAACACGGCCATTTTATCTACTTCCCCGGTGGCCTGACATTGGATAACTCTGGGAAGAAAAGCCGGCCATGATCAGCGTCGGATATCTTGACCGATGCTCGAGAGCGTCCTGGCACGAAGCCCAAACAGAGGGGAGATCCAAAGATCTTCGGAACTTCGGGCCTTATGTTTCTTCCGAGGCAGACGGCTCTCGTATACTTTCGTCCCTCCCATCAAATTCCAGAGGCGTCTTTCGAGCCTCCAAAAAGGAAAAAGCAGAATAATATAAGAAATAACATGCACTGGGGACGTTCTTCTAGAAATTGTGGGGATGCGTTCCGGCATCAACGGCCGCAATGTCAAACGAAGGGCGTGCAATTTCGACCAATCGTTCTCTTATGTCAGCTCTGATTGACTTTTCTTTTCACGGCAACCTTTCTCCCCACAACTTGGACGGCTGACCACGACTTGAGAAACAAAAAAATCAAAAAAAAAAAAAAAATCGCGAAGAAATAGCCAAATAGGGACCGGGTTGCGGCCTAGTCATCGCAAGCTCGCTACCCCATACACCTGCTGACTTGGTGCGCAATACTATGATGCGCCTGGAAGCATCTTTCTTTGGGAGAGGGTGATGCTAGTCACTTCCTGCCAATGTCAGGGGGAAGACGCTTACTCGGCCCCTCCCCGAGAAAACGCCAGGAACGGAGTACAGGAGAAAGGACAGTAACTACAACACCCCCTGGGACGGGTGATACTGCGAAATCTCGAAACATGTCTCCCTCAAAATAATTAAATCAAATAAAGGATGGACGAGAATGACCAACCTGGAGTACTTCGCCCATGGGTATTTACATTGGCGGGGATCCCGCTCCTCCAGCTAGCGCGGCCTCTGATGTCGCACATCCCTTGCCTATAAATATAGTTTCCCTGTCTAGCGCCAAAAGCCTATTGAGGAGAAAATTCTCCATGATCACGAAGCGTTGCTCTGAACAAACCCACTGCACCAAGCCTCCGCTGCGCAGAAAACGAGAAATGTGACTCAAGCCAACTTGATGATTTTCAATCATTCCTTTTCTCACTTTCTTTCCCAAAATACCCTCCTCCCAACTTGAGCATGTTTTGTCTTGTTACAGCGATTTTCTGAGGAACCCCGTCTCACTGCATAACCCTCTGAGAAAGATACGAGAACAAGACCTGGCCATCTGTATTGGCTGGGTAGCTTATTCCTCTTTGGTACTCCGAACGGCTTGTTCGACATTTTGTAAACTCGATCACCAGCTCGTAACAACCCCCCAGCCATATCCAGCCCATTGGTCTAACCTGGACTGTGTGGATACTTTCATCTTGAGCTGAGAAGGTCGACCATCTTATATAACAGTTCTAGCTCTTCTCACCATGGAGTACTTCGACTTTGATGAAGCTGCTCGACAGAACGGCGAGATCTTCCGCTACACCGAGGTTGCTGATCAAGACTTTGGCAACACCGCGCCTCATCCTGCATCCTCTTCCGGCCAACCTGGCGAGACACACCAGCCCTCAGACCTCGATGGAGTCTATCCTATGCACCGTGTGAAGGACCCCTGCTACTTCTGCCGTTGTATGGGACTGGATTGTGTCGTTGCTCAAAGGGGTGTTATGCAAAACGCCTGCACTTGTTGCATTGCTTTATACCGAAAGTGCAGTTTTATTCGTCCTCCATCTAAAGAAAATAACGTCGATACTCAACAATCCGGGTCTGAAACCAGCTCTACCAAAGGACACTCGTCACCGAGCCAACCACCTAATCCTGGAAACATTATCAATCGGTCAAAAGATATAGAACAACCACCCAGGAAATCCGGGGTCAGATTCTCACTTAAGGCCGTCAAGATCCTGAAGACCTGGATCTCAGAGCACGCTTCTCATCCGTATCCAACTGACGCTGAGAAGGACGAGCTTAAAGAGAAAACTGGGTTGAACCGAAGCCAAATTTCTAGTTGGCTGGCAAACGCACGTCGAAGAGGAAAAGTACGACCTCCACCTCGCAGTACTTCTCCCTACCCCGGGGCGATAACCATCCCTGGAAAGCGTCTTCCTCCTGGGGTTGATATCTCCGAGCTCAACCCCCTCGAGAGATGGAAACATTCCCCACCGGAAAACGAAGCAGCTTCAGCTAGAGATATCATTCAGGCCATGGCTACAAGTTCTTTCATCTCTCACCTGGAATCTGATTTCCCTCATTTAAAATCACACTCACGACACACTGATTCTAGCAACGACGATTCTTTCTCCAATAAATTAACTGCACATTCAATTAGCGGCTACAGCGCAGATACCAATAAGTCAAGTCTATCCGACATGTCATTTGCTTCAGCCTTCTCGCACCGTTCGCGCGGCTCATGGAACTCGACTGAAAACCGTGAACGTCGTCGTCGACGTCATAAATCCGCAGCGGCACCGAACCCTTTTCAGAAATCTAGGGTTGCCCGAATCTTCCAATGTACCTTTTGCACGGATTCCTTTCCAACCAAATACGATTGGCAGCGCCATGAGAAGTCGCTGCATCTCGCCCTAGACAAGTGGACGTGTGCACCCAATGGTGGAATAATCACTAATGGCAGTGGTGAGCTTGTTTGTGCTTTCTGTAACCATCCTAACCCGGACGAGGACCATCTAGAATCACATAATTTTAGCACCTGCCAGGAGAAATCTGTCCAGGAACGGACATTCTACCGCAAGGACCACCTGAACCAGCACCTACGTTTGATGCATGGTGTGAAACTCGCCCCATGGATGGATGCCTGGAAGAGTACGACAACTAAAATAAAGTCAAGATGCGGGTTCTGTTCGGCAGCCTTCAACACTTGGAAAGAACGTGTCGACCATCTTGCAGCACATTTCAAGGCTGGGACCGAGATTTCCCAGTGGCGGGGTGACTGGGGATTTGAACCACATATTGAGGAGTGCGTTGAAAATTCCATGCCTCCCTACCTTATTGGGCAAGAGAGGAACACGCTAGATCCGTGGGTAGCTTCCAAGGCCTTCAACTTGGCAAAGTATGGACGCAATTTTAGCAAAGAACACAAAGTGGCACCAAGCGAAGATACCGGAATGTCAGCACTTGGAATGCCCTTTCGCACAGATGCTAGCTGCTTCCGACGATTAGAAAAAGAGCTTTCCGCCTACATTGCGCGGCTCTTTGATGAAGGTGTCACACCCACCGATAAATTACTACAATCGAAGGCTAGACTGATTGTTTATGGAAGTGATGATACCTGGAACCAAACCTGTGCAGATAACCCAACATGGCTGAAGGTTCTCAAACGGAACAATGGGCTTGAAGACTCCTCGGATACAGAAGACATCAAACTTGAAGATCTAGGCATGCAGCCACCATTTGCCGCAGATGGAGGTCTACGACAGGCGCCAGCTCATTCCACCAAGCCTCGGCAGGCGCTGTCGGGGACTTTATCTCCCCCGTCTGGCTTCGAGTCATCAACCACCAGCAATCCAGCAAGCATTGCGGGTAGCACTAGGAATAACTCAGACTTCTGTTTCAAAGACGGAAGCAGGAGCGGAAGCAGTGTACAAAATTACACCCCTTCCCCTGGCTCCCACAGCCCACATAACCTTAACTTTCCAAGCCCTATGTCCGTCCATTCTCATGGGGTGAATAACGAAACCGCTGCAGTCGACCCTCTCTTAGAGATGGGTTTTGATGTCGACTTCCTCCAACAATTGAATGATGGGTACGGCGATCTTGGCCGTGTGATTGATAGCCTCGAACTGCAAGGGCTTGGGTACACTGGAGCCACCCTACACAACAACGGAGTGTTCAACATTCAAAAGAATAACAACAACAATAACAACAACAATACTTTCGACAATGTCTCGACTACCGACTCAACGCCTGTCACTCCTCATTCCGGAATGGCTATGACTTCGCCAGAGGCAATCTACAACATGGTATCTTCTGGAGGATCGGTTGAACCTGTATACATCCCAGGAGCCTTTGATTCTTTGTCTTATAATTTCCAGCAGACTACAGATGGCTACAGGGGGGAGTTGAACTGAGTATATATATACCCGTGCTGGCATGATGGATAAGGGTTTACGGCGCATGATGCATTCAAGAGGGGAAGGGGATAAATGAGATAACTACCTGATGCATTTTTTTTTTATTTTTCTATTCATGTGAGGTGTCATATAGATGGCCTTCAATAGGGGTGGCTATTGTTTTTGTGGACATATTCTGTGTGTTGTGCCTATTCAAATATAATGAAATTGATGTCAAATTCTACCCTTATCCTCTCACTTCAATATTATAGCAAACAGACTACTACCCACTATCTGTCTTACTCCTGGTAGTCAATCTATCTATCTCCCAATAGCTTAGATCTTCTGATATAGTTTGAGCAGAAGAAAGATGGCCCCTCAAAAGAGACATGCAGAAGAATCTCTAGCGTCTTGCTCCAAACAGGCAAAGATGCAAAGAGACACTGAAGAACAAGAGGATATTCCAATGGGAGAAGGGTTGGACATTAATACTGAACTTAGCCGCAGTGACCACCCTTCCTCTAGCATTCATAGAGCTGTAAGGCGGCCAGAGAAAGAAGGTATGTTGTTGTGTATATCAGTCTACGCTTCCCTATTCCCCTTTTCTACAGCCTATCGATGTAGATAGATACTAAGGCATAATAATCCTGCAGATCGGGAAGCAAAGGATGCTCAGATCATAGAGGACTTGGACACGATGAAGCTGATATTCCAAGAGGCAGCTCGATATGCCAGCTCCGTCGCCAAAACTGAACCGAACGAGCGCGAGCCGTTTAAGGATACTCAAGTCTGTTCAATGCTAGCTGCGTGTCCGGAGAAACTCCTATCCAAGATCTATGCTTGTAAGAGACTGTTCAGCCTTTCCATCAATCTTGAAACAACTGATCTAGTTAGCTAACCTCGTAACTACCTCTCTTTTGTCATAACTATAGTACGAGAGATAGTTACTGGCCATGCAGGGCGCCATAGCATGCTAATTGAAGACATGAAATTCTGTGAAGAAGTCTGCAATATCTTGACCCGCGGAGAGTAGAACTGACAGCTATGGACGTTTCTATGCGCTCTCTGATTGCTGAGAAGTCGACTGTTAGATATTGGTTATGTGGCTGTTCAAGTTTGGCAGAGGGACTTTGGTATTTGGTAGACCCCCTGGAGCAGCAACTGCTTCCCTTCCCCAACTGCGGCTGTCTTGCCTGCAAAAACGCACGACTGGACTCTAGGAGCATCCCGTCGTCCTTCCATGGGCCCCTGATAGACACCTTCGTCACTAGCCAAGTAGCAGCCAATCCACTTCTTTTTGAATGCTCTGCTTCCACCAGCTATCAAATAAACTCGAAGCCTCCCAGTCTTTTCTCCGACAGTTAAATAACTAGTTACTGGAAATCCTCCGAATAAAAAGCAAAGAAGAGGAAAAGGAAAAAACAGACGAAAAGCCAGTGCCTCGAGATAGATATTGATCACAATAACTGTAAAGTCGCAGAGCCTAACTGCCGGCTCTCGTCGATGGAGTTGGGTGAACCTTTCGTATAGCCTACATATTTAATACGCGAGCTAGACAGGCGGGAAAGCGACCAGACAGCCCGTCCGCCGATGCTCGAACCCCCAGCTCCATCAACTTCGACTCCCGCATCTTCGTCCGCTCTAGCAGCTTCAACACCGAGTTCTAGTGGCTTCAAGAGACCGAATGCGCCCAATGGATCCCCCGGCTCTGCTGCCACGCTGGAAGTGACCGCTCGCTCAGGATCTCGACAGAGTAAAAGCTACGACTCCTCCCCGCTGACGACGACGCCGCCGTCGCCGCCGCCGCAGCAGCAGCAGCCTGCAATACCAACCATGAGCCGTCCTGGTACCAGTGCGAGCCAGAAGTCGATCAATCTCGAGGCACAGCCTGGGTCTGCGACCTCGCATTCCACCTTTCGAAACGTCTCTGCCTGCAATCGCTGTAGAATCCGCAAGAATCGCTGCGACCAGCGACTTCCGCGCTGTCAGTCCTGCGAGAAGGCAAAGGTTCACTGCGTCGGCTACGACCCTGCTACGAAGCGTGAGATACCGAGAAGCTATGTCTTCTTCCTCGAGTCTCGTGTTGCATATTTGGAGGCCCTTTTGAAGGAGAATGGCGTTGCGTTTAGGCCGCCCGAGGCGCACGAAGGAGAAGGAGACGAGCTGCGCCAGGCCGACGTAGCGCGCGCGTCCGCGGCAGCAGCAGCAGCAGGAGGAGGAAGGGATACAGCGCATGCAAGGGAAGCTGGGACAAAGGATAAGCTGCCGTTGAACAACAGCAATGAAAATATACCTGGAAGTGGTGACGCAAGGGTGAAGCGTGAGCCGACCAGTCCTTTATCAGTGGCAGTGAAGGCAACTACCAGGAGCAACAGCAGCCTGTATAGCAGTAGGAAATCATTGACAGACGATGCGAACAGACGGATTGATAAACTGGTCTCCAGCGTTGGGATGGTGCCTGTCCAGGGCACTTCAGACCCGAGATACCTGGGCTCTACCTCCGGCATTTCCTTTGCTCGAGTGGTTTTTTCCGCCGTGAGATGCTCGGTGTCGTCCAGTGTCTCTGAACGAGGATCAATACGGCCGGGCTCCCGTCGACAGTCGGCTGCTGCCAACGCGAACAAGAATGGTGGTGATGGTGCTTCGGGCGGAGGCATGCACTCGATGAGAGACTCATATTTTGGCTTGCAGACAAAGCCGATCATGAAGCAGGCGCCTTTCCCAGACCGCGAGGTTGCCCAGAGGCTGGTCAATCTATATTTTGAATATTCAAATGCTCAGATCCCTATCTTGCACCGGGTCGAGTTCATGGAAGTCTTCGATCGGGTATACGCCATGGAGGAAAAGCAACGCTCGGCTCGGGATCTTTATTTCCTGAATATCGTCTGTGCTATCGGAGCGGGTGTCATTTTCGATGCTAAAGGGGACAGTGAGTCTACGTCTCAGGAGATGAAGAACGAAAATGATACGCGAAGTCCGTCTCCTTCACCAGCATACAAACGCAGACGGCTATCAAATCAACAGCACCAACCAGAGGAGTACCATGCCTCGGCTGTTGTTCATCTGGAGTCGTGCCTGGGATCTTCTTCATCTACGGATGGGTTTGGCGGAGGGTTGGAAGAACTACAAGCTGTCCTGTTGTTAGCCAGCTTTGCCCTGCTTCGGCCAGTTGCCCCTGGGCTCTGGTACATCGCCGGCGTTGCTGTGCGGCTTGCAATTGACCTTGGCTTGCATCATGAGGACGGGACCGGCGTTGACTCGATCGACGAAGTTGAAGTTGCGCGTCGTATGTCTCGCATGGACAGCATAGACGAACGCTCGTCCGAACAGGTCAGAGCAAAGCTGAAAGTTGATCCTCGTGAGAGAGGAAGACGAGAGTTCGTCCGTGACTTCAGACGAAGGCTCTGGTGGTGTGTCTACTCATTTGACCGGCTGGTCAGTACCTGCGTCGGCCGTCCATTCGGTATCACTGACCAGGTCATCACCACCGAGTTTCCGTCCCTCCTTGATGACGAATATATCACCAAGGCTGGATTCGTGGCAGCACCCCCGGGGGCTCCTTCGTACAAGCTGGTTGCTCACCATTACTTCAAGCTGCGCCTCCTCCAGTCTGAGATACAGGAAGTCCTTCAACATCAACAGGCAATGCTAGCTAGGAAAAATGGCAGAAATCGCAACAACTCGTTCATGCATACAAAACTTCCTTCTCCTTTCTTGCAGAAGTTCGATAGCTTCCGTTCCTGGCGAATAGACATCCACAGGCGTCTCGACGAATGGATACAATCGTCGCCTAAGGCTCATGAGATAGGGGTGCAGTTCTCGCTCCAGTTCTTGGAATTGAACTATTGGCAGACTCTTATAAGTCTGTATAGGCAGAGCTTGACTGTACCAAAGCCACTGGCCTCGGAGAGAACGCCGACAGAAGATGTATCGAGCCCCTCGCTAGCGAGTGTTGAGGAACCGGAAGACGAGGACGATGTTTATTTAATGGTTGCGGAAGCAGGCCAGAAAGTGCTGAGAATATACAGACAGTTACACCGTGTGCGGCTCGTTAACTTCACCTATCTTGCAACTCACCACTTGTTCATGGCAGGTTAGTCTTCCCCTTGTGTCTGGTGCAGGTTGAAATAATATATGGCATTGAGCTAACGCGCTTCATTAGGCATATCGTTTCTATATGCTATTTGGCATTCGCCTGCCGTGAGGAGTAGGCTTGTGAGTGACGTCCCCTACAGTAGCACTAAATCAGTATTATTAACGTTGATGATAGACCCTCGATGACGTTGACTTCACTGTCCTTGCCGCAACATCTGTGCTAAAAGATTTGATAGAGAAATGCCCACCTGCTGAAGCATGTCGGGATGCATTTGAGCGGATGAGCAAAGCAACCGTTCAAATGGGATTATCGACCACTGGCTTTGGCCAGCAAGTAGGTGCTGGTGAACGGCTTTCTACTCACAGCCTCAGCGCTCAATCACGGCCACAACATCAGAATCACAATCAAAATTCCGATGGGCAATACTTCTACAACACACCTGTCTACAAGCCTCATCCTCAACACCCGTACTTCCATGGCCCCAGGTTCTCTCGAACTCTGGATCCAATCCCAGAACAGCCCGCAGGCCCCCGTCCTGCTGAACCCAGCACAGACAACCGCTTTAGCATCAACAATTTTCTGTCAAACCCCGTCGATTCGTCTCGGACTGGAAAGACACAATCTTCCTCGCCCCCACAATTCCATGACCACCGCGATATACCCAGCCGAGCTGCTTCTACCACTCCTGAAAAACGGTCACCAAAATCCGCCTCATGCCAGCTAGAAGAGCCTTTCACACCTAGCCAGTTTAACAGCCAGCTACAAGCTGCATCTCAACGCCAGCAGCAGCAGCAGCAGCAGCAGCAGCAACTACCACCACCACCATCACACCACCCACCTACGCATAATTACACATATACCGACCCCTTTGCGAACCGTACTCCGCAGCCCAATCCTCACCAGCATCAGTTCCACTCCCCACAGGCCACTAGCCAAGCAGGAACACAGTTCTACGTCTCTGGACTTGACCTTCTGAACAGCCCTTCTCGTCCGTATACTTCGGACAGCCAGGTAGTCTACACCAGTGGCGAGGGAATAGACATCGACTTATCCAGTCTTCCGCTTTACTCACCTGATAGCACCCACGGCGCTATGACAGGAAACAGTGCCCTCGACCTAGGTTTCGGAGTAGGCACGGCCGTTGATTTCCAGCATGACTGGAGCGAGAATACCGGCTTCGACCTGTTTGACGGCCTATTTTTCGGTGGGGGAGGGTGATGCCATACATATATATATACCATTTCTCGAACAGGGAGCAACGTTTTGATGATTAAAATATGTATATAGCCACGACGACGATACTGCAGATCTAACGCCGAGCCGGTCTCATTTCTGTCTCTCATTCTCTCGTTCTCTCATCTTCCATCATTATCTTAGTTATATAGCAAGCTAGCTCGTTCGGTGAATATGTGAGATACCCCCTTCTCTATCCTCTCACCTTGCCAGCCTGTCTCTCACCCACATTAATCTGCCCAGTAACGTGGCGAAGATCATAAAAGAACAACGCAGCCACACATAACACACTAAAATGCCCAAGGCCGCCCATCATCTGCTCGGATTGGGCATCAGAATGCTCAAATGAAGCTGGAAATCCCCTGGCTGATCGGTGGGCTGCAGACTCAATACAACCATAATACGACATCCAGCGCCAAAACTACGCCAAAAGCTGCCAAACTTACCAATATTACCAAGCTTACCATACCGATCTTACAAATCTTACAGCGATAAGATCAGCTTTTTTATTCTGTTGTTTACAAAAAGAACTTTTTGACGTTTTGACAGACGCGAGTCAAGGAGAAGCAAAGGACGAGGACGAGGACGAAGACGAAGACGAAGGGACGCAAGAGGCAGAAGACGGAGAAGCGAAAAGGCAAGACGGCTGTCTGTTCGATCTCTGAGCTCATCCTGGTATGTCATGCACCAATCCTGCCCTACAGCTTCATCCCGTCCCCTGGGGCGTACTGCTACCCAACACCCCCCCAATCACACGGCGTCCACCAGGTTTTCTTGACCAGGGAGTGCTGACAGGTGTCTGCTTAAGCATCACTACAGCTCTTTAAAAAAGGGCAAGCAGCGGTCGTCCTTCGTTCGCTCGGACTGACCATCAAGCTCTGTGCCTGCGTGGAAGACGGCGGCTCGTAACCACCGGCAACCCGATACAGCGATTACCAGGATACGCAGAATACACAGAATACACAGAAAAGCACCAAAGAGAACATGCTCTAAGGGCGCGGCAGGCAGACACAAGATGATATCATTACCTTGAGAGTGATATATTTCTTTCGTTTTAGCAGCTTTCATCGTCGATACCAGAAACCGCCCCCAGCCCGGTGGCCGCTGGCTACCACCAAGAAGCAGCAACGATGGTGAAGCCGGACGTATCGAGAGACTACTATGCCGACCTTGGAGTCGGCCCTAATGCAGACCAGGAGGAGATCAAGAAACAGTTTCGGAAACTTGGTGAGAAAGAGCCCTACGCGGCTGGCCCCCTTGATCACACACCCTGTGCCACAGAAAGGCTAATAGTGAACGTGAATTTGCGGTGCCATATAGCTCTAAAGTACCATCCCGATCGAAACCCAGGGAAAGAAGCAGAGTATAACTCGAAGTTCCAAGCCATCCAAGCTGCACACGAGATATTGGTCGATCCCCAGCTGCGATTGAAGTATGATACTGGCAGATTGAGAGCTGGCTACGGCAAATTATACGGGCCTTCTCGAACGGCAACACCAACGCGCCAGGCTCCTCAGCAAGCGACCTCGAACCCCTTTAGAAAATCGCAAGCTAACTACAATACCGCCCCTCAGTATGGAAAACCGGCCAACGCATACTCGGGGGCATACCCACCGCCGCCTCCGTCTTCAGGAGCCCAGCGATATGCAAGCTACGCAAAGGCAGGCGCACAGAAGTTTGATAAGGTATATGAAGAGTCCCGTGCCAGAGCTGAGGCCTTTCAGGGGTTCCAGGATATGAAGAATAAACAGCCCCAGCCTCAGATGCCTGGTGGATGGACCAACTTTGACCCCCGAACTGGGCGTGCTCAGGAGAAACCGGCTTCCAAACCGCGCGCAACATCACACCAAAGAGGCCAGTCAGCATATCATGCCTTTGCAGAAGAGGCACGCAGAGCCGCAGAGACGCCTACTCCCGAAAGATCCAAATCAACAAAGGCAAAGAGCGGATTTGCACCTCGGACGGCTGGAGGAGATGAGCCCATGGCAAAGTGTGCCACTTCATACTACAATCTCCGGGGCGAGAAAAATCGAGACTCGGATCCGATGTCTTACTTCTTCTCGTCAGCTCCGTCGCCAACTGCGAAGAAGCCACAACAAGCATATGATGACTCCTCTGACCCGCAAACACCTAACCTCCACAGAACTAGCAGCAGATATGCCACATCCGGCGGAGAGAGGACCTATGTACCGAAGGCTAGTATTAACCGTTCTGCTAGTGTCCGCGAAGAGACAGCCGCACGACCCCAGACGAACCCGCCCAGTCCGATTAACCGTAGCGCAAATCCCAATAGACGGCATAGTGCCAGTCCAAAATTGAAGCCAAATAGACAACCGGCCTTCTCCGCATCTTCATCTTCATCTACTACCTCTAGTGAAACAGACGATACAGACGAAGTGATCTTGAACTTCCGTCCCAAGGCAGTTCCCCGAAGCAGGCGCGCGCAGAACAGCTCTGGATGGAAATCGAATTTTCCCGACAATAATAACAAGCCTTCAGCAACTGGTGAGAGCCCATTCGGCTGGGCAATGGGACCTGATTCATGGCTCTTTGCTGAAATCGACGGCTCCCCAAACCAAATGCCCTCGAGCTCTAAGAAATGGAACTGGCATGCTAACAATCAACCCGAAGGGTATGGCCCGAGTACGTTTGGCAACGACGCCCCCTTTTCGCACGAAACCCGCCGCGAATCCTCCATGGGCCGCACGATCCCCCCTATGCCTAATGTGAGCTCTTTCAGAGCGACCTCAACGGAGGAACAAAGGCCAAGTGCTGCAACCATGTATGACTTTACCCCTACATCTACCCCTACATCTACATCTACCCCCAAGCCCAAGCCCAAGCCCAAGTCCTCAGCCAGAAACTGGTCAGAGCAATGGGGGTTCTCCCCAAAGTCTGGCGCTCCAGCTACCTCCCATATTCCACCTCTGTGGGCTTACCCTGCCAACATACTCCCCAACTTGTTCACTGTCCCTCAAACGATAAAGGAAACAGAGAAAGGAGCCGACGAAGATGAAGACGATGCGAGAGGTGCCGCCTTCAACACTGACGATGCAGGGAGGACGCCACGAAAGTCCTTCTTTGAACATCGGGCATTCGCACCAAACACTCCGCTGAGCGCAGAAGCTAACTATTCTACAACCATACACAGTTTCGACCAGCCGAATAATGGTAACCAAAATGCTCAAAAGGAAGGCATCGCCAGACATGCTACGTCAAAGAGCAAAAGCCATGAAAACTTCAACTCCGGGTTTTCATCGTCCGAGTGGAACTTTGCCTTTTCTAACAATGCGCAGTTCTTCGCCCCAACGCAGGGTGACTCTCTGGGAGCAACACAGAATAAATTTGGCAACAGGCCCCGGTCTCATTCCCGTCCTACAACTTCTCAATCTAACGAGTCACCACAAAAGTCTACCAGCAACCCTTTCGGTTTCAAGGAAACTAAAACAGACACCCGGCCATCGTTATTTAGGGCCACCACCACTTTCACGGCTGAGCAGCTGCCTGACAGTCTGAACGAGAAGACCTGGAATATACCCACAGCTCAAGATATGTTCTTTGGTGGCCAGAACAATCAAAAAGACTCTAAAAAACCGACAAACGAGCCAAAGCCAGTCAGAGTAAGCTCGGAAGCAGAGGAAGAAGAGGCTACTTTTTCACCTCACGAGATATTTGGAAACAAGAGCACTCAACGCGAGTCCATGGGCATGGCTGATGAGATGGACGTTGACGAGGAGCTGCCCACCGTCAACGTACCGAATGGGCAAGCGAGCAATACTACCACCAACAACAAGCCCAAGTTCCCCATGGGCCCAGCATTTATTCCATCCAGTAAACCAGGGGGAAAGCATGAGCTGTTCAATTTGGCAAAGCTGGGACTGGTCAACCCGTTCACAGCGAGCAACTCCAAGGGCATTAATGACCTGAAGGACCTAAACTCATCACTTCCATTCGAGTCCAAGGCGAGCAGCGAGAAACCTTCCCAGCGGCCCATCCACCCGCGGGATCTGTCGTTGCCAAATCCGCCGAAACCACCAACACCACCTGCGATGATTGGGGCCCCGCCAGTTCCTCGGGCGGTCGTGGAGAAGCAATCTCTACCGCAGACTCCGTGCGATATCTACATGATGCAGATGCAGGTCTACATGCGCGAATGGGGCCGCTTCAACTGCACCATGCTAGCCCACTTTAACGAACGGCAGCATCTGGTGGAAACGGCCATGGCCCCTGGCTGGATGCGAGCGGTAGGAGACAGCAGCCGCGTCAAACTAAACGGTAGCAACGGCGACGCTGGGGATGTAGAAGAGGAGGACCTTCTCGTGGGCAGCGGCAAGGCTGGCTATAGCGAGTATCTCCGGGGCATCGAAGAGGACTTTGTGGTCCGGCAGCATTGGGACGTTGCCTGGGAACGGCACCGGGAATGCATCCTGGATCTCGGGAAGGTGCGTGAATGGCTACGCAGCGGCCACGGCGACGGGCAAGGCGCATTTCACAATCCCGGAATGAAGATGCCGGCCAACTAGGACTTTGAAAGTTTGACATTCATTACTTTGGGTGTTTTTTTCCTATCTTTTCCATCATAATTAACAGGGGGCGGCGACCAGTCGGATTTGGCAGCTCTTTTTCCTTTATCTTCATCTTTTACATACACATTGCCCTGCATCCTATTTCATGACGGGGGTGGTTTGACTATTATTTCTTCTTCTTTTTCTTTTACCAGGACATATGCCAGGTTTGCCTGACCATATACTCTTATCCCCTTCGGTTTGCATGTACGAGTACGTCATGTTCCTTTGCTCTTCTTTTTGATATATGTCTCTATCTTCCCGGCCGGCGTTTGGCAGAGGTGCCGTCTTCAAGATACCACAGGCGTTAGTTACAACTCAGCAGCTCTAGAATAATCAACTGTCTGTCTGTCTATATCGCCGTCTGTCTCGTTGTCTACCAATATCGTAGCCCCCTGAACAAGGCCATCCAGCTTCTTCTGCCAGCCACGCACAAGAGACAACTACGCCTTCCACGCATCCAGCGCCGTAGAATCACCTTCAGCCACTTCTTGACCTACCAAATCCGCCATATAACAAATAATACAGAACCGTCTCTTCCCTTCGTCTGCTTCATCTTTGTATCCTCAATCTCGGCTTGGCTCCGAAAAAGCGCAAAAAAGCGTATTTTTTGCTTATTTTTCTTTCCTTTGCTTTTTTTCCGTCATCCCACCAAAAAAGCCGAATTTCGTTTCATCGTCTTCGTCTTGTTCGGCTTTGCTGATATTCTGTTTCTCTTCTCTCTCTGTGTATTCCTCTGTTTGTCTCTGTCTAGTCCCTGGACGACTCGCACTGCTCTGCAAAATGGTTACAATTGTGCTTGGATCCCAATGGGGGGACGAAGGTCGGTCCCTGCTATATAGATCATGATCATGACTCAATGCGACAACCAACTAAAAGACGACGAAGAAGAAGAAGAAGAAGAAGAAGAAAAGAAGAAGACGATGCTGATATTTGATTTCTCCTGGCTACAGGCAAAGGCAAGATCACGGATCTTCTCTCGCAGACGGCTGAGCTTTGCTGTCGCTCCGCCGGTGGCCACAGTGAGTAACAGATACATCCCACCTCGAGATACCCTGCACGGATGGCTGGCTGGCTGGCTGACAGGAGGATGGACGGACAGATGCCGGACACACGATTGTACACGATAACATCACCTACGACTTCCACATCCTGCCCTCCGGCCTCATCTCGCCGACGTGTGTCAACCTGATCGGCGCCGGGACGGTCGTCCACCTGCCCAGCTTCTTCAAGGAGCTCGCCGCGCTCGACGGCAAGGGCCTTGCGAACGTCCGGGACCGGGTGTTCATCAGCGATCGAGCCCAGGTCTGCTTCGATCTCCATTCGGTGGTCGACGGCCTGGAGGAGGCCGGGCTTGGTACTCGCAAAGTAGGGACGACGGGCAAGGGAATCGGGCCATGCTACAGTGACAAGGCCGCCAGGCGCGGCGTCAGGGTCGGCGATATCATGGTCGAAGGCGTGCTGGAATCCAAGCTGAGGAGCCTTGAAGCCGGCTACCGGAGACGGTTCGGAGAGCTAGACTATAATGTCGAAGAAGAGATTGCCAGATTCAAGGTACATATCTCACTTTCCCCCCTTCGCCCTGTCGTCTGTCTGTCTGCCTGTGTGTGCGTGTATCCTGAGTCTAACGGCCAAAATAGGAATACCGGAGTCTTCTGAAGCCGCATATCGTCGACCAATTGGCGCTGCTCAAGAAGTTCGAGGACAAATCTGCCTCTATACTCGTCGAGGGCGCCAATGCCCTCATGCTCGACATCGACTACGGCACCTATCCCTTCGTGACGTCTTCCTGCACCGGCCTCGGCGGCGCCATCCAGGGAATATGCTTAAACCCAACCTCCATCAAGTCTATCGTCGGCGTTGTCAAAGCCTACTGCACTCGCGTGGGCTCCGGGCCTTTCCCTACCGAGCAGCTCAACGAGTTCGGTGAGAAGCTGCAGGTCACTGGCCGCGAGTTCGGTGTAACCACCGGCCGCAAGAGACGCTGTGGCTGGCTGGACTTGGTCCTGCTGCGATACAGTGCCAGAATCAACCACTATACTGCTCTCAACCTGACCAAGCTGGACATCCTCGACGACTTTGACGAGATCAAGGTTGGTGTTGCCTACAAGCTCGACGGTAAGGAGCTCGAGTCCTTCCCTGCCAGCTCAGATGACATGGAGAAGGTCGAGGTTGTCTACGAGACCTTGCCTGGCTGGAAGTCGACCACCATGGGCGTCTCCAAGTGGGAGGATCTCCCCGTCAATGCACAGAAATACGTCGACTACATTGAGCGTTCCCTCGGCGGCATCCCTATCAAATGGATTGGAACCGGCCCTGCCAGAGCGCACATGATCGACCGCAACTAGGCTTCTACTAGACTTCTATCTTTTTCTTTCTCTATTTTAACCGCTTTGCTTCCTTTTTTTCTTTCTCTCTTTTTCATTTTACTGGGATTTTGCGCATATCTTGAGGGTACTTGAAGAGTTTCAACACGCTTAGACAGGGAAGTCCGGGGTTTACGCCAGGGGCCAGGGACATCACTATAACTCACTAACCAGTGACCTGCATAAGCACATATCTTTGTCTTAGTCTTTCTCTCTAGGATACTTTGGTCAGTACGGACTTCCTATGGCTTAGACGAAGTACACGGGCGAACAAGCGATTAGGGACACGGCAGGACAACAGCCTGGGGTTTTTTTTCTACATAATTAAACAATATCCTATACTTCTACCCGCTCTTCTGTAAGTAAATAAAAAAAAGCATCCATAAACAGTCTATAACCGGTTATTTGTCTGTTTCATGTCCCCAGCCATGCATAACTCGACCATCGAGCATCTTACGCTTCGCTGCCAAACACCCTTTGGCGCCGCTTCTATTCATAGCATTCACCCGGCGCTTAGAGCTATTGAAGCTGCTGGCCATTCACCAGCCTATTCTCCAGTCTGCGAGCACTTCTTTTATTGCGGATCTTGCCGTCATGGCCGTCCTGCTTGTGTCCTCCAGCTTCTTCAGCTTCTTCTTCTTCTTCTTCTTCTTCAGCGTCTCGCAGAGCTGGTCTCTTCAACTCCTCCTTCTCTTACACAGACACCCCCTAATACCATAGCTAATACCATAATATTCCACCCTAATCTACTAATACTACTACTACTCAGCTCAATCATCTAAGGAGGTATATCATCTATCCATGCGCCGTCTACCTTGAAGTCGAGTTAACTGACCTGCTGCTAGATCACCAAAGGCACCACCCAGAGATGGAGATCTCCAACGACAGCGGCATGCATTCACGGATGCGGCTGGAGCAGCTGGCTGCTGATATGGGCGTCTACATGAACATGAAGTTCCCTCGCATCTCTCGCAAAGACACATCGTCGTCCTTCAGCCAGCAGGACAAGGACGCTGCGGAAGCGCTGGCGAAGCAGAAGCGGCTGGAGGCCTTCTCAGCCAAATCCCATGTCTTCAGACGGACCCCGAGCAAACGCAGCTTCAAGCGAGAGGAACTGTACTCGGCCATAGACACGGCCATTAGAGATGATGCCTCGCTGGGCATGCTGGAGTACCTGCTTACCCAGCTCAAGGAGACCAAGTCGAAGAAGACCTTCTTCAGGACCCAGGAGAAGAACCCCATGGCCCTCGACATGACCGACCTGCTGAGGCTCGCGACAGAGAAGAGAAACTCAAGCTTCCTGGAGATCCTGTCTCCTCACGTTGATCAATGGGGGCTTGATTCTGCTCTCGGCCTCGCAGTCGCCAGCATGGATCTACATTGCATCAAGGCGCTGCTGCAGAATGGAGCCGACCCCAACTCCTGCCACCAGCAGTTCGTCACAGCTGTCGGCAACGGGCATGTTGCCGTTGTGGAGATGCTGGCTGGAACAGAAAAGAAACTTAGCAGCTCTTGTTTGGACGAAGCTCTTCCGGTGGCCGTTTCCATAGGATCTATGAGACTGGTTATGTGTCTGCTGCACAACGGAGCAAACGCAGATACAGATCAGATACTGGAAACAGCCGTACGGGCTGGCAGACTTGACATTTCTGCTGCCCTTGTCCTCGCCAGTCGACCTCCTTCTCGAGCCTCGCTTGACCGCGCAGCAGGCGTTGCGTACCATTCGAAAAATCTCAGCTCCGAAGAACAGGATACCGTGTTGCAGTTACTCCTTTGCGCCGGCGCAAATGGAGACTGCGTTGCAAGAGCTCTGGTGAGCGCCGTTGCGGCCAACGATAAAAAATCTGTCTCTCTCATTGTCTCTTACAATGGAAACATCACATACAACTCCTGCGAAGCCATTATTGCCGCCATCAAGGGAGGAAATCTACACCTGCTTGATATCCTGTTCAAGGGCGCCATTGACCCTGAATCTGCCTCTACAGCACTATCTCGAGTTCCTGAAGTAGAATCAAACCTATCCCCTGTTAAAAAGCTCTCCATCATCGCTCACTTTGTGAAATGTGGTGCTTATGGAAGCCCACTACATCAATGCCTTGTGGATGCCGTGCTTAAGAACGAACGAAGCTTGGTGGATCTGTTGGTTCGGTCCGATGCGTCTGTTGACTACAATGAAGGCCATGCTCTACGGCTAGCCATTTCAGCCGGAGCACTCCCTACTTTCAGAAAACTGATGGAGGGAAGACCCTCTCAGGCAACACTCGGCCATTGTATCGGCTTGTTGCCCTCCTTACAGCCACGGCTACAGTACACCGTTGCCCAGGATCTTCTCGCAGCTGGCGCAAAGGGAGATGCAGTCAACAAAACACTTGTTGGCGCTGTGATGGGCGAATTCCCCGCTGAGAGAGAGCAGCTTATTGAACTGTTTGTAGCCCATGGCGCAGACGTTGATGCTCAGAACGGGAATTGCCTCGTACAAGCCGTGAAGATAGGAGACGTTGTTGTACTAAAGCTGTTGCTGCAAGGGAGACCTTCCTCCTCTTCCCTATCACGAGCCGTTGTTCCAGCAGTCTCTTTACGAGACCGAGTACTACGTTTCTCCATCTTGGACCTACTGCTTGGCTCCAGGGAAGCCAGTGGACCACAAATCAACCAGGAGTTGGTTACATTGCTCAAGGAGAACCCTCTCGATATCGTTGCCGTCAACTTATTTCTCGAAAAGGGTAAAGCCGATATCAACTCTAATAATGGAGAACCTCTCAAACAAGCATGCCGAATGAATGACCCCGAATTGCTTAAAATTCTTTTACAACACCAGCCTTCTGTCGATGCGCTTAATGCAGCCCTCTCCATTGCATTGGCGTCGCAAGACACCTCAGCTCGGTACAAGATGTGCCAAAGACTTCTGGTTGCTGGTGCCAACGGAGAAGCTCTGGATGCTGGCCTGGTAACTGCCCAGCAGAGCGCACCTGCTGATCCTCGTCTTATTGAGCTATTACTGTCATTTGGTGCAGACGTCAATTATAATGGAGGAGCAGTTATTCAGAGAGCAATCGATACCTCTGATGAAAGACAGTTGGCGTTGCTGGTATCCAGATTCCCAACAACCTTGACACTCACCCTTGGCTTAGAGCGGCTGCTGAAAATCGATACCAAAAAGAGGAATGAGATAGCCAAGATTCTCCTGGATGCCGCTCAGAACCGCATCCCAGAAATTCTTGACAGCTTACTCGCAGAAGCTGTCCTTTTGGATAAAGGAGACATAGCCTTCTTGAAAATGCTAATTCAATATGGCGCTTCTGTAAATTACCAGCAAGGAGCCGCCATTATCAACTCTATCAAGGGACGACGATTTGACGTCTTCAAACTGCTATTGGACCAACAAGCTAGCCAGGGAGCTTTGGAAGAAGCATTCAAAGCATGCTGGGCTTTGAAAGGTGCAGATCGCCTGTCATATATTTCACGGGTACTCAAGGGTGGCTACAAGGGTGATCTGATGGATTCAGCTCTTCTTGAAGCTGTCCAGGAGACACCATGCAGCCATGAAGTAGTCAAGCTACTGCTCAAGCACGGAGCATCTGTGCATTATAACCGAAGCCAGAGCCTGGTTCATACCGCCATGGCCAAAGATACCCTTACTTTGGGCCTTCTCTTGGAAGCCGTTTCGGACAGAGCAGGTGTCACATACGCCTTTGGCAAGCTGATATCCACCGACACTAGCAACTGGATAACCAAAGAAGGATACTCCACCGTGGAATTTCTCCTTCAGAATGGAGCTTCAGGAGAAGTTTTGAGCCTTGCCTTGGTTGCTGCTATCGAAACCTCCGACACCAACCCAAGATCCCCCAGCTTTGTGGAGCTATTCCTTCAGCACAATGCCAATGTGGATTACCAGGGTGGACGTGCAATTACGGCCTCCATTGCTATCGGAAAGCCTCATTTAACTAAGGCAATCTTGAAATCGAGCACCTCCAACCAGAACATTAGGGCCGGCTTTCTATGTATATTCAGCTCTGAATTGACCGAGGATGTCGCCATTGAACTATTCGATATTTTCACCCAGATGGACCTGGACATTCAAGCGCTAAATGGCAATATATGGTCCCGGAGCGTTGAACATGAGGTTCCCGAGCCTATTACATTCCAATGTTTGAGAAAATGGCCTCGGGGTTACAAGATGCTCAGCCGCCTACTAGAAGCTGGAATCCATGTAGACACACCAATATCCTATGTGATTGATGAGGAACACGGCTTCGAGCAGGTTTCCCTCTTGTTATGGGCACTCCTACAGCCACAACAGCTAATCAGCCCATACGTATTTGAATGTCTTTTAAAGAATGGAGGTAAGTTCCCACTGTATTCTAAAGTTTGCTGAAGTTATACTAACGAGGTATCTCTACCAGCCGACCCTAATTTTCAAGCTACAAGCTCCATGATGACTCCATTGCTAGTTGCGTCAGTCGACAGATCTCCAGATATTATCCGGAAACTCATTCAGCACGGCGCAGTCGTTTCAGTAATGGATAAACATGGTGTAACGCCTCTTCTCAATGCCAGTAAACGCGGCCAGCTGACTACTATGCGTTGTCTTATCGATGCAGGCGCTATGGTTGATGACGGTAGCCTTCATGAAGCTTCAAGAGAATTACAGTCCAGTGCCGTTCAGCTTCTTTTGGACCACGGACACAATCCGAACTTCCCATCTATGCTTCACGATGGACGCTGTGCTCTTGCTGAATTATGTTTTAAGACGGAGTCGCCTGGAACATCACTGGTCAAGACTCGACAGACAATTGACGCCCTTATATCAGGAAAAGCTGACTTGACCATCCATAGTCAAGGGAAGCCACTCATCTATCATGCACTTGATAATCCTACATCATGCATAAGCACGACTACTGCATTACTTGCAAGCAAAATGTGGCGGTTGATCAACAATGATTTCAATCATTACACATGCGACGGATACGTTTACTCGCCATCTACCTACGTTTCTAGGAGTCTGGCACAAAGTCCATCAGAGTATGCTCCTGAACTGCTTCGAATTCTCAAAGCCAACGGCTGTAAAGACGTTTTCTACAAGTGTGAAGGATCTCAGCCGCCTGATATGGTCGGTGCGCCTCCTGAAGTCATCGCGGAAGAGAAAAGACGCAAAAACCGCCTACAGCGTATGCAAGAACAAGAAGAGGATCATCAGATATCCCTCCAGCGTGAACGTGATGCTGCCGACCAACAGCATCAAATAATGGCTCGTACCCATCAACTTCGCACTCTACATGATCGCGAGACTGCAGATGAACGAGATGCAGCAGCTGAGAGATCTAACAGACTCCAACTTCGCCTAGAAGCAGAAACAGCTGCTCAACGCCAGCGATTTGCAGTCCAGCAACAGCAGGCAGATCAGGAGCAGTTGCGTATGATGAACCAACTTCGTCTAGAAGCTGCAGAAAGGCAAGGGAGACTCCAGATTGAAAACGACAAGATTATGGCCAATACCCAACATAACCTCCTGGAGGCTAAGATGGCCGTCGAGTCGAGGAGAATCAAAGAGTTAGAGGCGGCCAATGAAAGACAGTACCATAGGGATTCGGACTTGCTTTCACGTCAGGAGCGGATACTTGCTGATCGAAAGGCCTTCATGGTGGCCTCTCCAGGTGCTTCAGGGGAAGATGGATCTGGTTTGTCAATGCCAGAGCCTCAACGACAGTTAACTTACACAGGTTCGGAGCTAGATTGATTCGATCACTGATGGGCTATTTTACCTAATTACAAATTTGAATGTGCATCATTTCAATGACCTTTGATGTTTTTATTGCTAGAATTTTGTTTCGGAGTTTACCATTTGGTTGCATTGAGATAGCTGTAGTCCTTTAAATGAAAATATACCAAATTGAGGAGTTTTTTTGTAATTTTGATTGAATTATTAGTAGAGGTATCTCATGGAGTGGAATATTTTGTCTGAGCCTTCATCCCGTCTATTATACATAAAGCCGTGCAAGTAATGATAAAGAAACAAAAAAAAGTAGAGAATACATAGTAGAATGAAATATCAGCCCAGCTCAAACAAATAAACGCAGCCTCAACCAGAGTGATAGACACAAAAATATTAACAGGTATATATCAGAAGGGGTTGTAGAAATACATCCAGAAGAAAAGAGAAGTAGAGTTAAAGTAAGCCTCGCGTTCGTGTCTGGAAATGAGCGCCAACTCCGTCATAGCAAGAGACACCCTGGAACACCGTTTTGTTGCAGTAAAAGCGCAGAGAAATAGAGAGACAACCTCAACGCCTATAACTTCTTATCCATATATATGCCCAGGTGTCGAGGGGAACGGTGGGATATTGCAATTCATAGTCGAAAAACGACTTTCGATGGCTCTAACAAGCCCTTTGGAAGGTAGCAAAGGCTGCGAGAGGAAATTTTTTGGCTTAGGGGTAATCTATTCCCGACGTAGGTCACGCAGGGGTCGATTACTCCCAGAGACTATTACGGCGTCTGTCCCCCTGATATCCACGGCGGTCAGAGCCTCTGTTTCGACCGTAATCTCGACCAAAGTCGGACGATCCACCCCTGGATCCTCCACGGCCGCCATAGGATGATCCGCCTCTTCGGTCAGAATATCCGCCATAGCCGCCGCCACCACCTCTCTGGCTACGGTTATACCGGCCCCCAGAACGAGAAGGCGATGGCTCTGGCAAGTACGGTGGTTCGGGATAGCCCCAGATGGAGGTAGCAAGTTGGTGAAGGAGGCGGCGGGATTCCCTCTTGTCGTACCTCGACATCTGGTTGTTCATGGCGCGGTATGCCTTCTGCTTGTCGTCGTCGAATATTCGGCTAAACTGCTTTGAAAGTGTGTCGTATACCGAAGCAATCGATTCGCTGAACTGTGCTGGGTTTGTCAAGTCTACACTTGCGGACTCTATGGACGTGTCCTCCTTGATAGGAAGGCTTCTGAGCTTCTCTCCAAATGCATCAAATTCAATGTCAGGGAACAGAATCCAGCCCTCTCCGGTTTTATCGGCTCGTGCAGTACGTCCAAGACGGTGGATATATGTATCCGTATCGTTAGGGACACCCATTTGAATCACATGGGAGACATTTGGGAAATCCATGCCACGAGCCGTGACATCAGACGAGAAGAGAATTCCAGTAGTAGCACGGCGGAAAGAGTCAGAGTTGAATGTTCTCTGTGCCTGGGTTAGGCGAGAGTGCATCTCGATGGTCTGAATACGAGGAGCTCGACCGGTGTAAAAGCTCTCCAAGTCCCTGCACAAGGCAGTAAAGGCACGACGAGCAACGCTCACTTCCGCAGTAGATCCATAGTACACTACGGCTTTGAAAGGCATTGCGGTATCCGGATTGGCAGCATGGGCCTGGACAGCTCGTTTAGCAATCTCAAAGAGGGCAGGAAGCTGGTTCTCAAATCCTCTGAGGAAGACGGCCCTCTGGGGGACTCTCAAATGTGTTGGTGTCTCGTCACCAACTGTGTTGACGAATGTGAAATCAGGCTTGAGCATGCTTCTAGCAAGGCCCTTCACTGAGTTTGGGATGGTGGCAGAGAACATCAGAGTTTGTCGGTCAACCTGTGAACGGCTTGGGAAGAAGGACTGGATACGTTCAATATCAGGTGCGAATCCAATATCGAGAAGTCGATCGGCTTCGTCAAGGACAAAAGCTTGCAGCTTTGGGGCAGCAACTCCGCTAGCAGGATCAGAGAAGAGATCCATCAGACGACCAGGAGTTCCAACCAGGATATGGCAACCTTCTCTTTGAAGTCTCATCAACCCTTCTCTTTTCCGCGTTCCTCCCACCGCAGTTTGTACTTTGAGACCTGAGCCACGGGTGATCTTTTGCGCCTCAACGGCAATCTGTTCTGCCAATTCACGAGTCGGAGAAATCACTACTGCCCGAATATCTTGTGGTGACGTAAAACTTCTTCGCAGGTTGCCGATAGTAGGGTCTTGAAGAATCCTGTGAATAACTGGGAGAAGGAAGGCAACGGTTTTGCCAGTTCCAGTCTTTGCTTGCGCGATCCTAAGGCAGAGGAGTCAGCAGTGTTTCATTATGAGTGGTGGGAAACCAAGGTTTGAAAGGGCCTTACATGTCAGTTCCCTGAATGCTCTCGTTGATAGTTTGGGCTTGAACATCAGTCATGGTCTTCAATCCCATTCCCTTTGTGATAGCATTAATCAATCGCTGGTCTACCACGCCCTTCTCTCCCAGCTCTGCAAATTCTGTGATCAGTGCTTCCTCTCCAGCATCTTCAACTTCGATCCCAGCGTTCGCAGTGCCAGCTGGAACGCGGAACTGAGGTGTAACATGAAAGTCTCTCGAGGTCAATAGGGGCGCAATTGGAAGCCTCCTAAGGGAATGTTTGGCCAGGGTCGAAGTAACTGGCAGTCGTATAGCGCATCGCTGGAAGTTGCGCGAGAGCAGATGTCCGAACCGGACAGACATACTGCTGGATGGTTGATAAAGACCTCGAAGATTTGGTAGTAGAATTGTACGATGAAACGTAGAACAAGCAGATTCAAAATCCTACAGACACTATTCTTATCAAGCTAATCAAGAGAAAAATGAATGAATTATTTGATCGACGTTGGATTTGATATCGAAAGAAATTTCAATTTACGTCGTTTTCTACTTTTTATTTTTATTCCCATTGAAATTTTTCTAGAGCCAGTCACGTGAGATCCGCGATAAGCGCGATAAGGAGGCGATAAGCCAGATAAAGAGGACGAAAGGAAAGAAGAAAAGAAGACCGTGACATAGATAAAGATGATTGCTATAGATAATGACGAATGATCTTGGGGAGCACGTTCTGGGAGATGGCAGGCTATATGTGGGATTACGCTGGCAGAGCGTTGCTAGTTTGTTACTGCTAAGGTAAACTCTAGTTACTGCAAATGAGCGCCGTCCATCTCTCTCTCGACCACCTCATACAACTGGAGACCGTTGAAATATCCAGCAAACGGCGTACCAATCGTCTTGAAGGTGTACAGGGCGTCTTCTTCCGGGATCTTGACAGTTTCAATGCCTCGCCCCTTGGCTGCTGCATCGGCTAACAACTGGCTGTAACAGCACTTCTCTAGCGCATAGAACCAGAAAACAGTCTCCTCAATAGTTCTACCCACAGTCAGGAGACCGTGGTTTTGCAAAATTGCCGCCTTTTTATTCCCGAGAGCTTTGGCAATGTTTAGCCCTTCTTCTTTGCCTAGAACAATGCCTTTGAACTGGGCATATAGGGCATGGTCCTGTTGGTAGCTGATTAGCGACCATGACATAACTAAATAGTTACTCGGGACAGGCACGAAACGCCTTCTTGAATTCCATACCTTGTAGAAAGCGCAGGAGTCTTGAGTCGTAATGTCCAGCTCGATCCCGAGGGTTGAAAATGTGCGGCCGTAGATGCTGTGACTGTGAGCTGCACACTGGACGTCCGGTCTGGCTGCGTGGACGGCTGCGTGAATCATGTACGCAGCAGTATTCAGGCGGCGGATCTCTCCTCCCGCAATGACGGTGCCTTCATGGTCGACCTGGATGAGATCCGATACCCGGATGTGAGCAAATGGTACGCCAAACGGGTTGACCCAGAACGTCGTAGGGTCAACTGGATCTCGCAGCGTGATGTGTCCCGCCACACCCTCTTCGTAGCCGTATTTGGCAAAGATGCGGAACGCGAGTGCAAGCCTTCCCTTGAGGTATTCTCGCTCCTGGACTTTGTCTTCGAAGACGGGAGGCTTGGGGAAAGAAGCGCGGAGCTTTGCCACCTCTGGAGCCTCATCCTTCGCTGCGTCGTCGCTTGGGGCGCTGCGCAGCGACATGGTAGCATCGCCCGTAGATGGTGCCGAAGTTGCAGTTATAGTTGGAGGTGCCATGGCATATGTTGGTTTATTTTGTAAAGATAGCCGTGTAGTTTTTATTGAAAGAGCGGACCCCGTTGGAGGATATCAAAGACGCTGTCCAGTTCGACGACAAGGTATAACAGGTAGCTAGTTAGTGAGTACGAGCTGCCTAATATACTATTTATCTAATTGATTAATTAACCATTGAGGGGTATCCATGGAGTCGCTGGCCTATCAACTGAGAGCCGATTACGTCGTAGATGCATGTGCATTAACTATGGGACAACCCTGGTGATAACTAAGGCATCGGTGATAATAAGTACACGGAGTGTATAAAAACGGTGCTATGCCAATGACCGTGGACTTTCAGCCTTGAAGATGGTCATTATAAGTTACAGCTATATGCACGTAAATTCCATGGACCTTCTCGAACGCGGTTATACGGCTCTGTACGCCCCCAAGACAAACTAATAATGATGGTAAGGCTTCGGTGTAGAGCTGCTGTTAGTATATAAACCCACACACCAACGACTTCGGAAGACATCCATTTATGAAGGGGGTAATTAACTGCATGCTGATGATTTCAATAACCTAATATTGGTGTTCAGTAGAGAGAGGAGTCTGCTACTCTTTATGCGGGCGAGGACGAGAAAAAAGAAGAGGTTACAATAGAAAATAGACCTACATCCTCAAGACGAATATAATACATAATGCGCTAGGTTGATGCATAAAAAATAGGGTATTGAATTAGAATAGTTGGGTACATCCTTTTAAACGGTGTAGAAGAGCAAATCAAGTTAATGTATAGAGCAGGAGAGAATCATCCAAAGTCCAGGCCCATCTATGTATTCGTAGAGTAGACTCTTTCAAGAAGAGTGGTAGGCCTTCGTAAGCTTTTTTCATTCGATTAAGGGTAGGACATTGGAGAAGTTCGCTGATAGCCAGCTGCTTCGGTACGACGGGTGATCTCCTTATCCTCTTGGACGAGCAGGCAGCAAGGAAGACAGCAGGAGCCGGCGATGTCAAGAACTTCGTTGCCTTCAATACCATACTGCTTTCGAGTTTCGATACGCTTGAGGCCCTGGAGGATACCAAAGCATCCGCAGTAGGCAAGGCAAAGCCAAAGACAGCACTAGATCCTAGAAGTCAGCATCGTTCGCCTTCAAAACAAAAAGAAGAGGTCATTATAACTTACATCGCCGTTGAAGTAGCTGAAATCAGACATAGCCGGATCACGTCGTCGATGCTGGTTACGACCAAACATAAAGCATGGGCAGCACCATGAGCAAAGCACTGTTGGACCCAAATTAATAAAACTGCCATCACCAACCTGCTTGTTTGCATCTTCATCTTACTAGTATCAACCGGATCCCAGAACTCGTAGAAGGGGGAGCCCCATTTGTTCGTTGGCACAGCGGAAGTCGAGTCCGCCGCGAATCCGGATTTCATGTTGGGATCGGTGTTGTGCTGAGTGTTGGGGTCCATTTTTGGATATTAGGGAGGTTAGGATGGGTACAGAAAGAATTATAAGGGGTATAGTGCAATGTCAAGACTAAAATAACTAAAGATAGGACAGTAAACAGGAAAACGTAGTAAGGAACGACGGTGAGCTCGAGAATGAATGGGTTATTTGGTTAACGGAAGAAAATGTCCAGGAGCTTGATAGGGGGATAAAAAAAATGTGGCCAGAGGGCCAGGTAAATATACATTTCGGTCAGCCGTCCAACACGATAGTAGACGTGGTAATGGTGGAGACGCCAACACAGCCTGCACAGCTTCGTCTGCTGTCTGACAAACAAGTTCAATGGATGCCAGGTGTTGGTGGCTTCATTGGACAGCCCCCTTTGAGAAAAGCGGGCGATCTTCATGTGCGAAGCTGACTTCCTCCAACCAAAGAGTGTGATATTCAGCCTCTTTGTCGTATTTTTGGATTGACTTCTCCGTCGACCATAAGAGCTGGTTTCACTCATTGTCCCTTGCAGCATGAGGCTGAGATGACAAGGTCAAACTCGGTCTCAGTAAAAAGTGGAGGATGGTTGCCCAACCTAGTTTCTGTTTGGGGGAGTTTCGGCCAGCAGTAGCTATCCATCCTGCCTGATATGCACCATATATCTATCTCCAAAGAGCCCACTGGTTGTTTTCTTAAGATAATGAAAAGATCATCTTGATCATCTGCCATCTTTCTGACTAAGGGTTCATCTGCCCCTTTCTCAGCAAGAGTTGTGCATGCTGAGGTCAGTTCTTGCTAACGCCGCCGATCCGTTTCTCAGGGGCTTGCTAGCTTGCGGCTCTTCATCTTCCACGGAGTACCTGTCCCGCTGTCATGACTCCACTTAACAGGCAGCAGGGCGGAATAGCTATTACCAATTGCCTGAAGTAGACAGAGAAGCACTAATCAAGGGAGTAGAAACCCGGCCAGTTGCTATTCTTGTTCCTTGGTGGTGGGACTGCTTTTCGCTTCCTTTCCCGCAGCTTCATGGATGAAGAAACATCTCAAGAGTGATATGCACAGACTGGCCGTATTCAAGAGAGCTAATATCCATGCTTACGAGGTCCGAAACGATCCCGCGAAGTACAGAGTACGAGCTAGCGCAGCCTCTATCCCTCGCTTGTCCATATTTTCTGTCTTGTCTTCTTCTTGTTGCAGATAAAAAAAGAAAAGGAGCCGCAGCCGCCTTATGTAATACGGGAACACTTTCCAGTGATATCATTGGTTGAGTTTCACGTGATCCAGAGTTCATTTTTAACGGCGAAAATAAAAATAAAGAAAAATAAATAAAAAAAAACAATAAAGTGGAAGAAATGCAAGTTTGTATATACAAATTAGCCAAAGTTGCCCAGTTGATGCTACAATAAATGACGGATATGTCCAGCTTTCTTTCTTTCTTTTAGTTCTACTCCGTGCCCAAGCACAAACTGAAAACTCGTATTCCGGCCTGCTGATTCATTTAGCTCTTAGGCCCCTGTCATAGACGGCAAACGTTTTGAGGACGACATGCCACGACATGAAAGAATATCCAGCTTCTTCAGTCATCATACTGGCAATCTAACATATATACCTGTAGCATATCAAAATGATTGAACCCATCCGATGGCTTCACCCCCTCTTTGATGCGTTATTTGGCTTTGATATCCCCTTTACTTATCGATGGAGGCTTCTTATACTACAACCAATATCTATCTTGACCTGTGGGATGAAATGGCTGCCATGGGTGTTCTCACGGAGATACTTCTCTATTCAAATACCCTTACGCCGTAGGCCGGGTCAATCGGTACGAGCCATTGTGTTTTTGCCCCCAGAAGGGTCGAAGTCGTCCATGGAATCATCCAGAGGGCTGCGGCCACTCCACCTTGACTTCCACGGCGGAGGATTTATTGGTGGCAACCCAGAGCATGATGCGGAATTTTGCAGTGCTCTGTCTGATGAGGTGGGCGCTGTTGTTGTGTCAGCAACTTATCACTTCGCCCCGCGATATACCTTCCCAGTAGCCAACGAAGACGCCCAAGATGTTGCCACTTTTCTCATTGAAAACGCAGAACACCTATGGAAAGCTGATCCACGGGTCCTTACTGTCAGTGGATTTTCCGCCGGTGGGAATCTTGCACTTGGAGTAGCTCAAGGACTAGCTGGCACTGATTATAGTGTCAAAGGCTCTGTCACTTTTTACGCCCCAGTATGTTATTTTTCGTTATTTCTGTATTCTATATATGCATGATTTTGAAGATCAATATGTTCTTATATCCAATCAGGTCGATCTCCGGAAACCGCCAACAGAGAAACCAGCTCCCAATGACAAGCCAGACCCACTGGAAGTCCTGAAGCCACTATTTGATGCATACCCTAGCCGTGCTCGCGCAAAGAACATGGAAAACCCGCTTATGAATCCAATTTTGGCAGACATTACTACTCTACCACCGAAGATGGCATTTGTCGTGCCAAAGATTGACATTCTATATGAGGAGCAAATGTTGATGATTGGGAGGCTTAAAGCAGAGTACGAGCAGCTAAATACTACTACCGGGGCATCTACGACTGGGGCGGATTCAGAATCAATATTAGGACAAAGAACTAACAATATACTGGCTAATACAAACGTCTATCAAATTAGCCATCTTGAGTTCCCGGAGGGATTTCATGGATGGCTTGAAGGTATGGAACTGATTTTTTCTTCTATCCCGACATTAGTAGATACTGACTACTCCTTTAGTACCAGAAGCTGCCATTGGAAATAAGGACAAGAACAAGGCCTTTTCATATGCGTTTGATTTCTTGAAAGGGGTCTACCAAAACCAAGTTTAAGAAACTACCTCGACGAGCGTAAATCTCTACTCAACCCTCTAGTCCGCCTCTTTTGTTGGTTGCCTGTGTATACTACATCTACTCCCATCTTCAATATTCTTTATACATGCTCAATTCACAATGCACTCTCTTAATTTATCACTGTTAGCCGCCATCAAAGTACCTAGGTAACAAAACTTACGTGCAGGCGGCCCGAGAAGCTCCGGCCCCGCCCTTGCAGCTCGAAAGCTTAAACCACCAAAATCGCCTATCAATTTTCCTGCAATGCGCATTTTCAATCTTGTAAAAATATTCAGATTCGCCCAAATCAACATGGGGAAGAAGCGGAATTTTAAGAAGGTAAGCTCATGCTAATGAGTTAATGGCCTGTATCTCTTGCTAACCGGTGTAATTTTCCCTGTCTAGGGCTCCAAAGGAGGTTCCCGCGGCACTCGACCAGCTAACTATTCGTCGACTTTGGTTCGGGAGAATGAAAACTACGAGAAATATTATAATTCGCTTCAGATAGTTCCGGAAGAAGAGAAACAAGCCTTTTGGGATGCTTTACGGCGCGATTTGCCCAACAGCTTCCGCTTCACCGGGTCTAGGAGGTACGAATGTTTACAGCCATAGCCGCCGGGATTGCGCAATCACTAACGCTTATTTCCGCAGCCATGCTCTTGCTTTACAACAACGATTGAAGGACTATTATATCCCCAATATCACATCAATTCGATACGAAGGCGAGCTAGTCGAACCCCCGAAGCCAGTGCCATGGTACCCAGAACAGCTGGCCTGGTCAATGACCACCCCAAAGAGCGTCGTCCGCCGGTTCGCGCCCTTTTCGTCGTTCCAGAAATTTCTTGTTTCAGAAACGGAGGTTGGCAATATCAGTCGGCAGGAAGTTGTGAGCATGATTCCGCCACTTCTACTTGATGTGCGACCTGGTATGGTGGTGCTGGATATGTGCGCTGCGCCAGGGAGCAAGTCCGCACAATTGATGGAGATGATTCATGCCGGTGAGGAAGAGCGGATGGCAAAGATATCGCAAAAACTGGAAACCACGGATGAAACCACAAGACAAAACGGCGTGAAGGTCGCGGATCTCTTGGACGGGGAGCCTGAAGCAGCGGAAACAGAGGCAGCAGAGGATGATGGGAGGTCTACCGGTCTACTCATTGCGAATGATAGTGACTACAAGCGGGCTCACTTGTTGATTCATCAAATGAAGCGGCTAAATTCGCCGAACTTGCTTGTCACAAACCATGATGCAACTGTGTATCCTTCTATTAAACTACCGGCTGTATCTGCAGATGGCCAGCCCGCGAAGAACCGATATCTCAAGTTTGACCGTATCCTAGCAGATGTACCCTGCTCAGGAGATGGAACCACCAGAAAGAACTTCAACCTATGGAAGGATTGGAACCCTGCGAATGGCATTGGACTGTTTGTCACTCAAGCCCGCATCTTGTTCCGCGCCTTACAGATGCTTAAGGTTGGAGGCCGTGTAGTTTACTCTACATGCAGCATGAACCCCATCGAGAACGAAGCTATTATTGCCCATGTCATTGACCGATGTGGTGGGTCTAGCAAGGTTGAGATTGTGAACTGCGAAAAGGAGCTCCCTGAGCTGAAGAGACGGCCGGGTCTGACGACATGGAAAATCATGGATAAGACTGGGCGTATATATGAGAACTGGCCAGAGGCGGAGGAGGAAGTGCGGAAACTCAACCCGGCGGCCAGCCGACTTGTGGAAGGCATGTTCCCGCCGTCTGGAGTTGCGGATGTTGGTGATCTAACGCGATGTATGCGTGTTTACCCTCATATGCAGGACACCGGTGGTTTTTTCATTACTGTTCTTGAAAAGAAGCGAGAGATCAAGGTGAAACCTGATGCTACTAAAGCGGCTACGGCTACGGCTACAGCTACGGGTACTTCCCAGGTTGGTACTCCTGCGGCGGCATCAGACTCAGCCGCGGCAGAGAAAAATGGCGAACACCAGCCATTGGTACCTGCAAACGGCAGTGCTGCTGATGCCGAACAAGATGCAACAGTAGCTACACTGAAAAGAGGTTCCGATGACCTGGAAGAGCCCCAAGCTAAACGGACAAAGGTTACCGAGCCCACCCAGGAGGAAGCAGACAAGGTATCAGACGCCAAACCAGTACAAACGGAGATAAAAGATACGCCTGCAGTTTCGACTGTGGCGGCGCCTAAGCCAAAACGCAAGCAACAGACCTCTTTCGAAGAACCGTTCAAATATCTCGACCCTAACCGCGAGGACCTCGAAGAGATCTTCAAGTACTTTAGACTATCCCCCCAATTCCCCCGTGATCGATTTATGGTCCGCAATGCCGAGGGCCGGCCCGCAAAAACCATATACTACACGACAGTTCTAGCTCGAGATATCCTGACCGAGAATGAAAGCTCAGGAATGAAGTTCGTACACTGCGGTGTTAAAATGTTTGTTAAACAGGACGTGCAGAAGCCCGACGTCTGTCCCTGGAGAATACAGATGGAGGGTTTGCCGGTGATAGAGTCATGGGTGGGCATGGACCGGGTGGTCAAGATGTACACGAAACCCACACTCAGGAAGCTTCTGGTAGAGATGTTCCCCAAGGTAAATGACGGGGGATGGAAAGAGCTGGGTGAGATTGGTGAGAGAGTCAGGGATATGGATATGGGATGCTACATCCTGCGACTAGAAGCAAGTGACAAGGAGGATGGATTCCGGTAAGTACTCAGCATTTCCCCCCTAGGAACATGAGCAGAGGGCATTTATGTTAACATGACACTGTAGAGAACGCATGGTCTTCCCCCTATGGCGAAGCGCCTTCTCGGTGAATCTCATGCTGCCCAAGGAGGAGCGACGTGCTGTACTACTGCGTCTCTTCGACGACGATACACCGCTAGTCAACTCGACGCAAAAACAAGAGGCGGCTGCAGCCAAGGCTAAAGAAGGGATTAATGTCGCCGAGTACGATTCTGAGCCGGAGGTAAATGGTGGGGGGAATGGCGAGGAGAATGGCGAGGCAGAGGCTGATGAGATGGACGCTGATCTGGACGCTGGAATAGAGGCTCCAGCAGATGTAGCTGGTGATGCTGAGGCTGCCCAGCAAGCAGCATAACCGGGAAGTTCCCCAAGAGCACACTCAATGAAAAATAAGGCAAAGGCAATATCTTAGTATCTAGACGAACTATGGCATGCAATACGGAGTAAACTGAGGTGTCATCAAATGTGCTGACATAGGTTGTAGCCGTTGGGCGCAATTTATACCACCTTAGTGAGGTTTTCAACAGAAGGGTCGTTTTATCACGGTTCAAGAATCAGCACGTAACCACCTGGTAGGGTAAGAGATCTAGACGAAGCTGATGGTATAAAAAGTATCCCCTATTGGTGAGTGGGACTCACCAACACCTCCCCATTGGTAGCTGCGTATACCTAAGCCTTGCCGTAGTTGCTTTTTGGCTCACTGGTAGGCTATCGAGGGGGGGTGACCACTCAAAGACTTAATATCAAGAGGAGACACAGAGAAGCCCTCGTTTCCGACGGCGGCAGCGAGGTTCGACATAATCAGCAGAGGAGGAAGCTGAGCAAGGGGCTGTCAAGTGCACTCTACAGCGGGAAGTTCCGTTATTAAGCATGAGGATCGTTTGTCAGGGGCTAAGTCCCACAGGATGCTTAATCGACCCTTAACAAAGGGTAAAATACAACTAGTTAAATAGAAATGAATAAGGTAGAAAGTCTCAAGTTACAAACACAAACCAAACTGGCTCATTTTCCACCAGCTGTTTGTGCGCGCGCCTCCATATGACTCATACCTTGGTTGGGAATAACTAGGTATCTTCTGATGTGAAGAACCAAGTCAGCCCCAAACCACAAACCACCTTGCACCATCACAACTGCCCTCTCCAAAGCCATAGCTGGTCTTTAGTAGGTCACCATATCTATAGCAACACGCACACTCTCTCCAAAAGACTAGGGCCTATCCCCGTAAGTATGGCTGAAGGATTGCATGGCCGTGGCACCGTTCTCCCCGTGCCTGGCAAGCGGAATATACTTATCACCAGTGCTCTACCGTTCGTGAACAATGTCCCACACCTTGGAAATATCATAGGGTCTGTGCTTTCCGGAGATGCCTTCGCAAGGTACTGTAGAGGACGTGGTATCAATACTCTATACGTCGGTGGTAAGCAATCAGTGAAGCTCCCCTGGTCAGGGCAGCAGGCCTAATTATTAACTAACTCCTCCTAGGGACGGATGAGTACGGAACCACAACAGAGGCAAAAGCCTTCGTAGAGAAGTGCACGCCACAAGAGCTCTGCGACAAGTACCATGCGATTCATGCGGAGGTATATGAGTGGTTTAATATCAGCTTCGACATCTTTGGCCGCACTACGACACAACTTCAGACAGACATTACTCAAGACATCTTCTTGAAGCTAGAGAAGAACGGTTTTTTGAAGGAGCGCATGACAACCCAGCTGTACTGTCAGGAGCATCACTCATTCCTTGCAGATCGCTTTGTAGAAGGTGAGTGTCCGGTCTGTGGGTATACGGATGCTCGCGGCGACCAATGCGATCTCTGCGGCCAACTCCTAGAGTCCCTACAGCTCAAACATCCTCGATGCAAAATCGATGGCTCTAAACCGATCACTAAGGATACAAAACACATTTTCTTGGAATTAGATAAGTTGCAATCTAATATCGAAACATTCTTTCGGGACTCCGCTGCAAGCGGTGCATGGTCGAACAATAGCACGGTCATTACTTCAGCTTGGTTGAAAGAAGGATTAAAGCCACGCAGTATAACTAGAGATATTAGATGGGGAACCAGGGTTCCATTGCCGGGATACGAAGAGAAGGTCATATATTCGTGGTTTGACGCCTGCATTGGATACGTATCCATCACTGCTCAGTACACTGACCAGTGGGGAAAGTGGTGGCGAAATCCTGAAGACGTTCAACTATATCAATTCATTGGCAAAGACAATGTTGTCTTCCACTCTGTGATATTCCCTGGCTGTGATATTCCCTGGCTCACAAATTGGCACCGAGGATACCTGGACGAAACTTCATCACCTTTCCACGACGGATTACCTTACTTACGAGGGTGGGAAATTTTCTAAATCCCGCGGCATTGGCGTTTTCGGAGACTCTGCTCAAAAGACTGGGATCTCTGCTGACATCTGGCGCTGCTGCTTGCTTTCCCACCGCCCAGAGGCTGGTGACAGTGAGTTTACTTGGGACGCATTTATTAATTGCAATAACAACTTGCTCCTTAAAAAATTCGGCAACTTTGTCAGCCGTGTTCTGAAATTTGTTAACTCTCGTCACTACAACAATATTGTACCAAACTGGACCGAATACCGTGAAGACTCCTTTGATACTTTTAAAGAAGAGATCAACAAGCTTCTCGCGCAGTACATACAAGAATTCGATGCTGTCAAGATTCGCCCCGCTTGGTCGACAGTTCTCCAGATATCTCAGCTGGGCAACGGCTTTCTACAATCGAATAAACTCGATAATAGTCTTGCCGAAAATGAGCCGTCCAAATGTGCAGCAGTTATTGGCATAGCCGCTAATACAGTCCACCTTCTTGCATCTATCATTGCCCCGTACATGCCGGACACAGCAAAGTCCATCAACTCACAACTTTGTGTGGATCCACTTCCCATCCCAGACCGCTGGAATGCAGATTCTATCAAGCCTGGTCATCAAATTGGCAAGTCTGAGCACTTGTTTAGTCGTATCAAGCCCGAAAAGGCAGACGAATGGCGAAGGAGCTATGGCAGTGACGAGGTGAAAAAGGTCAAGGAGGAGGAAGTTGCAATGAAAGCGAAGAAGAGGGCAGCTATGAAGGCGGGGAAGGCAGGGAATGCAGGGAAGGCAGGAAAAGGAGAGAATGTAGGTAAGGCAGAAGATATGGCGTCAAAAGGTTGAAGCACACTGCGTAGAGCCCCCAAACAAACGTCCCACCATGGAGTTACTATCCGCATATAACTAGACTAGCGCGTTGACATGGTTAGGATTTGAGAAACAACCTCTACATGTAAAACGTGGAATGAGAAAGCGGCCTGCAATTTTGATTTCAAATCTTTGTACCTAGGATTGAGACTCAGGTCCTCACTTCTGTCGACTTCCTATGATTATCAATTCTACTTCTGTGACGTGGGGTAATACCCTCCTTTCTTCAGGCACCCAACACTCCATCATTATCTCATGTTAAAAGTGTCTGAAAACAGCTTGCACCGTACTTGACCTTCTCTACAGGAATTATTACATACTAACATTTAATGTGGATAAATACCAAGTCATTCTTCTGGCATCATTATCGAACGAGTGCGGCATAGTTCAAGAAGTACTTGGCAGTGAGTGACGCAGGAACTGTCAACTTGAAACTTGCTTGGCTGGAAACTAAGCTGGGTATTAGAAATCTTTGAAGTATCGGGATATTAACGTGATGCTAGAGATTGAGCAGGGAATGGGATGCAGAGTCATTATCGAAGAAGATACGAAATGAGGTATTTGGCTGATACTACGTACAGACTAGGGGCCAGGCTGTTGCATTGTGTGTAGAGTACTCGGCGTTAGTGCTTTATGTCCGGAGCACTCCGTAACTCCATATGGACGGGGCCAATTCCTTGGATACTTCCAAGGTTCTGTTAGAAAATATTTCCGCGGTTAAGTATGTGTGTATCCCGTATGTACAGTACCCTGCATACTCGCTGGAGTTAGGCCTTGTATCTCAGGCTCTAGCAGAGGACGTTGACCCGAGCATGATGTTACAACATCAACACTCTCTTCAATGTTATGTATATGAAGTATAAATATACCCTCCGCATATCAGTCTGATAAAGCTCTGAAAATGTCTTAATACCCCAAATCTCTTTTATTGTGTCAAATCTCGTGCCTTACCCTATACCGTCCTTGCTTCATTGACAGGATTAATCACGGCGTTGGTATTTCCAGAAGCTCACAATGTCGATCTCCATCGGGGGTGCTATCAAAAAACGAGCTTCACTACATATACTATCGGATAACATCGAGGTTCTTGACACGCATATCCAGAATATTATCCAAGATGCTATCCTCCACTCACCCAGCCCATTTAACTGTCAATCTGGCAGGGCTGTAGTGCTTCTGAAAGAAGAGCATAAGAAATTCTGGGATATAGCCTACAATACTGCCAAGGAGAGCGTTGTACCCCCCATCTTTGAGAAGACTTTCGAGCCCGTTGAGGAGAGAATGATGATGTTCGGGGCATAGCTCGTGTTGTGGGAAGAGGGCTACGCTGAGAAACGTTGGGGTTATGCAGATGCAAAATTTGATAGCTAGTTATTTACTCTAAAACTTCGTCTAGTGCTAACTAAATAAATAAACTTTTCTCAGGCACCCCTCGATCAGAGATTTCGCTCTCATGGTTATCAACTCGTCTCATACAATCAACTAAATTCAACTACTCTCATATCATGCTCATCTTCATTATTCCGTTACGTACAATTTCTAGTTTGACACGCAACAACGGAATAACTAACGACCTTCCATTGGGCGGATGTGGCATATTTGATATTTTCTTCAACTGATACCAACTTCTCACATACCTACATTCCATCATGGAATCTCTCATTCGCAATTCCGTACGCGTCATTCGCAATGTCGATAATGTTGACCAAGCCCTTCAAGCTTTCTCTGGCATTGAGGAAAAGGTTCTATCCGGCAACATACCATCCATCACAGAACAAGACCGTCGACGTATTCTAGACTTCCCAGAACCCGATGTTATGGAATCAAATATTGCTAAAGTATCAGGGCTCAGTACAGAAGATCTACTGAAACTGGGGGCTGAATCTCCTACTGAACTGACAGATTCCGAACTATTGTTATTGAACAATCGGTTCTGGACTTTTGGCAGCGGGACTGAAGATCAACCTCAGTTTCATGCTTTTGACGCCCTTCTAGCAGTCTCAGAGGCACATTTTCTAGAAACAATAGAGAGACTCGATCGGGTGCGCGACGCATTTTATACTGAACATGAGACAAAGGCTCTTAGCAACTCCTGGACTGAACAAGGCCGGCGACATATCGTGGCCACCAAAGAGAAAGAGCGCAAAGATCTTGAAAATTTGCCTAAAACACACCCTTGGGTTCGGAGTATGTGGGAAGGGGGCTACGCTAAGAAGCATTGGGGTTATGCAGTATACAAGGATCCTGCCACCCAAAAAGATGAACGAGACGTGGAGAACTATGAATGTCGACGGAGTGCCTTGATACATTATGCTCTGGGGATGATGTCTTGCCCGTATATAATTGAAACCAGATGGAAGATGCAGACTTTGCAGTGGCCTGCCGGGGTAGAGAGTGAGGAGCATGGAGGGAAGGGGGTAAAGGAATTAACGGCAAGGTTTAATGCACTCCGCGAGCATTTTAAAGCCGTAAGAGATCTGGAGCCTGAGACACGGCAGACAAAAACTGGCGGACTCTTTGAAGGCCTTCTAAAAAACGTGTTTCTTGTGCTTAACTCGGAATGTGTGAGATCAGAAATAGCACATATAATCTTCGCCGATGATACGTGGGTTTGGGCCGTGGATGCTGATTATATACCAAGCAAAGAGGACAATAACGCTGAGAGCCAGCATGCCTACATGGGTTACATGCGAGTGAGACTACAGCAGCTCGTTCATAATTTCTACAATGCGCGCCTTTTTCATGCAGAAGAGCATCCGATGAAGTTATTATGGGAGGCAGCACAGGTAGCCAGAAATCAGGCTTTTGTTTCTTTGGATAGTGATGAATCTCGCCGCTGTTGTCCGGATGCAAACTTTGGCACTAGCTTAGTCCCTAAGTAGAAAAAGGGCTCTGTGTATGTACGTGCTGGCTTTGGCAGTTGCCTCATGCCATTTACCTTATTCTTTCTAAGCAAGAACCCTTGGCTGTGCTGCTCGAATAGGAGTCCTGGAAAAACTGCCCCCTAAACGCAATTTAGACCCCGTTCTATATTTAAAGTAAAGTGATATTCCATATACATATTCCTGGAAGAATAACCTTACAAGCCAGTGAGATATTTGATCCGTGAGCCATTTTAGTTATCGGATGCTCTCTATAAAGTCGACTCATGGGTTTATGCTTGAGGTGAGGATTGTCTCGTCTTCTTATCCCGCCTATTTACATATATGGGAAACGGTCCCAACACAGTATGCATATCCAGCCCATAGCCCCACGCACTCCCCAGCGCTTGTGTTCAGCGCAGGGTTCAATTGATATAAGCAGTTTAGGGAGATACCGGCAGCAGCGGCCATATCGTAACAATATACTCCACTCTTCTGAGCTATCCATTTATTGCAGCCAGCGGGAATCCCTGCTTGGGTAGGGCCAGGGGGTAACACCCCTCCATCGACCGTGGTTGTAGTGGGTGTTTCTATCTTTAAAGAGGTTGTGGTCGTCGTTGGGGTAGTTGGGGGGGTAGATCTAACCTTTTGGCATATCCAATATCCAGCCAACCTGAGGAGAAACGATCTAGGATTAGCTATTAAGTTGGAATAAGGAAAGGGTCTTAGGAACCTACAATCCAGTGCAGTCGCCCTTAAGAGCAGGGTTCCATAGGTAAATGTCGCTAAGAGCTACCCCCAACCGTTGTGCAATATCGTTGCAAGTGTCACCCTCTGTCAAAGAAAGAATAATACGAGGTTAGTACACAATTCATGCCGTTTGAAATATGTAGGCTACCATTCTAAAGTGATAGAGAAAGAACTTACGCCGAACCTTGTAAAAGTCGATACAGCCATCAACCAACCCAGTCTGGTGCGGGTCGAGTGTATAGTTAGGTACACGTGTGCTTGAAGTAGTAGTTTTAACAACAGGAGGGGTTGTATAACTCGTAACAGACGTCGTCGTAGGATCGGGAGATTCAGGGGGGATGGACGGGAAATCCCATGGTGGCAGGGTTATGTAAGTTGTCACATAACAGCTGGCTGGGCCGGTGGTTGTGCCTCCAACACACGGATCTGTCGTCAGACCAGCATACCCAGGGTAGGTACTAATATCCCCCAACGCCCGGACACAATAGCTGTACCCCAGGAGTAAGTTGTTGCATGATGTGCTATTGACTTCAGGGTTAAGGAAATAGAAGTCCGCTAGTGTGATACTCGATATTTGAGCAATCGATGCACAGTTATCTCCAGCAATCACCTCGTAGTACATAGAGCAGTTGGTGTTTGTTCCTTCAACTATATTCGTAGGAATTGGTGCTGGAGTCGTAACTGGCTGGGAAGTAGTAGCTGGGAGGTCTCCCGGGAGGTCCCCTGGGAAACTGACACATATCTGTTTCCCGACTAGCATCTCTATGTTGTCGCAGTTCCTGCTAATATCAATATTCCAGGATATCAGCTGGGAGACAGTAAACTTCCTATTGAAGGTCCTAGAGATGTCGTAGCAACTATCATTTTTCTCTACTGTGTAGATTTCACAAGTGGGAGGCATGCAGAGTGTAGTCCCTGGCCCTGGAAAGTGAGTACATGATCCTTCGAGGTTATTGAGGTATAGTAGGTTGTTCGTCGAGACGCGCTGTGCTTTGCTGATTGAGTGGCAGTCATCGCCTTCTTTGATCGTATACTTGCTGCTACAGACCTTCTGCGGCCTTGCGGTCGTCGTAGTTGAGGTAGAGCTTGTAGTGCGACTAATAGTAATTGGTGGAGGTGATGTTACCGGGTAACCGGTGGCATGGCAAGACGAAGTCAAGGAGGAAAATTGTGCAAATAGATCCTTGTCATAGCCCCAGGTATGACCGAGTTGAATCTGATAAGTACCCAGTACGCATTCTGAGCAGTTCTGGTCAGGGGCATCCCCGTCTCCCCAGCGATCAAAAATAGGAGCACAAAAGGCCCCAGAAGTTGGATCTCTGTGGCAGGTGTAATTATATGTCCAGATCAGGGTATTGACTATAAAGGTCGCCGGATAAAGTACGCCAGACTCGGTCACCAGGTCATTTGCGCATAATTTGTCCTGAGAAATACGCAGGGAGTCGAGTGACTGTAGACAGTCGGAAGTGCAAAGAGCAGCTAATTCGTCAATAGTAGGAAAGTGGCCATGCAATGCAATAGATGGCAGAGCTCTATGGCAGGTGACGTTTGTTTCAAATGTTGACCTGCGAGATGTCAGTTTTATCCCATCATCGCTGATTCGAATACCATACTTGCAGCTATCTGAGAGGCTACCTTGAGGAGACAATTCAATGGGGTCAAGCGATTGACTACCATCGCTTCCAACGAAACGTTGTCCAAGTACAGCCAGGAGTAGACGCCCGACAATATGGAGCAGAATCAGCGGCAGTGAAGCCATCACGGAGGAATTTTAGAAGATGGAAATGTCAAAGAGAATTACAAGAAACTCAAGGGAATATTCGGGCGAAGGTCTATATCCTAAACCACGAGGCAGAGATTTTCGCGAGGCAGAGTTCGGAGTCCGTAGTCATGTCCGCTAGTTCTTCAGGCTCCCACAAATACCGCGCCTGATAAGGAACCACTCGTTAAAGGACAAGTATAACCCCTTTTAATGTTGTTTAATTAAATGGTCGAAGGTTTTGTCATTGAGCCAAGACGGCCCCGCCGCGTTGACTGCGGACATTGAGCGGCAGGAGAGACACGTATTCCAAACTACTTCTGGACGAGGTGGACATATAAAAAGTAGTGTACAATAATGATAGCGATAGGGCCAAATACAGGCATCTAGGATGTAAGGTAGCAGGTCGGAAGCTTGTTCGCCTTTTCCAGCCGGCTCAACTAACCAGTTCTAGTTAGTTAACTAGTTAGGCCTCGGCGCTTTGCCGCTGCAAAGCTTAGCTACAAAAGCTTAGCTCCACTTCACCAACACCTTCTAGCATATTTTTGTGGTCTTTTATATTTGCACGCCCTAGGATATAATGCCTGCGCTGCGAAAAAACCACACTATCCATATTGTATAATGTGGTAATGCTATGTAAACTAAAATCACCGCGAAAATATCCTCAAACATCGGGTTAGGAGGTAATAAAGCACGGAGTATGGAGTGGATTCAGGCCTTGGGGATTCAAGGCACCTTTAGTGCTCCTAGCACCTTGAACGCCCTCTGGTCCAAATACGGAGTACTGGTAAGCAGAATTTTGCGAAGTTCATAAAGCCACTGGGAGGTATGTCGTCTTCCCCATTTTCTTAACGGTCAACCTCCCTTCGTTCATTCTTCTTTGGGTTATATTTCGGATATTTCTGGCCCTCCAATGATGGCTTTGACGGCCAAAGCTAATAGGAACCTTAGGCCTCTGTCGTTATTCTTTCTAGCTACTGCTCTATTCTTCTTGTGCAAGCTTTCGGAGGCCGCCATTCATGGTGAAGCAGCAGTGCCTGGCTCAAACGTGCCAGGAGCAAATTTCACTGAAATTGACATTTACCAATCAAGCAGCTTCGTGCAATTCGCTAAAAAGGGCACAGATTATTCATGCCGTAAAGGTGTTCCGTGTAAGAACAATGCATGCTGTGGCTCGTTTATGGGAACCAACACCGGGATATGTGGATTTGGAGACGCATTCTGTGGTGGTGACTGTGACTCTAAGTGCGATGCAAAGGCTGAATGTGGGAAATACGCCGATCCCCCTGGTATGTGACTACTCTAGCTCTAGAATATTCTGTGTAATGCACAGCAGCTTACGCCTATACAGGGAAGGAATGTCCCCTCAAGGTCTGCTGTAGCAAGTATGGCTTTTGCGGTAGCTCAGCTGAATTTTGTGGCACCGGATGTCAGTCTAATTGTATTGAGAAGCCTCCTCTCCCACCCGGTGGAAGCGCAATGAGCGTTCTCGGTAATAAAATTATTGGCTACTATGAGGCTTGGGCAGACAGAAGGACATGCAGGGAATTCCCACCATCTTCAATTCCAGTGCAGGGTTTAACACACGTTAATTTTGCATTTGCATAGTTCGTTCCATTGTTTCCATTCCCCCAAAATAGAATTTTCGTGCTAATTAACTTTATATTTAGTGTTGATCCAGATTCACTTACCATCACGGCAATGGACTCTTCTACTCCGGCATCCTTATTCTCACAAGTTACGGACATCAAGAATATGAAGTCACGCAGCTCAACTCTAGAGGTATATATCTCATTGGGTGGCTGGACGTTTTCAGATAATGGAACATCTACTCAGTCTGTTTTCCCCTCTATTGCTGCCGACCCTGAGAAGCGTCAAAAATTTGCGGATAATTTAGTTACATTCATGAGACACTATGGTTTTGATGGTGTTGATCTCGATTGGGAGTACCCAGGTGCCCCAGATCGTGGCGGAAACGGCAAAGAGGATATTCCAAATTATGTTGCCCTTCTCAAAACTCTTCGACAAACATTTAAAGCCTCTGCTCGTGGGAACTACGGCCTATCATTTACAATCCCCACTTCATACTGGTACCTTAAATGGTAAGCTTCTTTGAGATTACCTTATTTGTTACTCAACTAACTCTATCATTCAAAAGGTTTGATGTTCCAGGCCTACTTCAGTATGCAGATTGGGTAAATCTTATGACTTATGACCTTCATGTATGGTATCCTCTTCCAAGGCACTATGGATTGACACTAAATGAAAATACTATAGGGAGTTTGGGACCAACATAACCCAATTGGGAACATCGTTCAGGGCCACACTAACTTAACCGAAATCCAAGCGGCATTTGATCTCCTTTGGAGAAATAATGTACCTCCCGGAAAAGTGGTAATGGGAGTTGGTTTCTATGGTCGTTCATTCCAGCTAAAGGATAGGACATGCGCACACCCAGGCTGTGAATTTAGCGGTCCGGCGAACGCAGGGAGTTGCACCAAGTCAGCGGGGACCCTAGCATATTTTGAGATTATGGACATTATTAAGAACGAAAAGCCCGAGGTTGTCCATGATGCTGAAGCCGCCGTTAACTACTTTGCGTATGGAGACCAAAAGGACCAGTGGATTAGCTATGATGATTCTAAAACATTACAGCAAAAGGTCAAGTGGGCGGATAGCAAGGGACTCGGAGGTGTACTAGTTTGGAGTGTCGACCAGGACGACAATTCTTTTTCAGCCCTTGAGGGTTTAATAGGGGAACCCTTGCCGGCTTTCAGTGAAAAGTTGAAACGCCACACGATTGACGATGCGGGCCACTGGAGCTCGACAAATGGCCAGGCCTGCCGCGTGAGCGAGTGTGTCAAGGTCGACACTGACCCTCCAAGTGGTTATACTGTTGCCCCCAACGGCAAATTTCCAGACACATGTTCCGGCGGTGAGTATAAATATGTTTGGTGCCCGACTCATTCTATGCCAGACTCATGTGAGTGGCGCGGCTCCGGATCATGCCATGGTCAATGCCATCCAGGTGAAGTGACTCTTGCACACTCTCCGCACGGCAGTTTAAGCTGCTTAAGGCCAGGTCAACAAGCATTCTGTTGTGTGAGCAGTACTTGGGCGAAACATGTGGAGAAGTGTCGTTGGGGGGAGCCGCACAAAGACTGTCCTAGCGATGTCCCTTACGCATTGTCCACGAAAAACAGCTTCCCCAAGTATACTCAAGAACATTTCTGCTGCCCATTCAAATTTGAAAATTGTCACTGGGTTGGGAAAGGCACTTGCGATGACAATGAATGTTCGTCGACAGATGTACAAGTGGCATTGGACCCTGTCGGTGATGGTTCTGCAGAGTGTTTCAGTTCCGACCGCCGAAAGCCCCTTTGCTGCAACCCTCCAGCCAATGTGAACCCTTTCCTACCTGTTCCCCTGGAAGATTTGTTTCCAACTCTCCCACCGTTGACAAACATACCTGCATTTGACCTGCAGCCGATCTCTTATGTTAGTAGCCTTGCAACCGACAAAAATGATCCATCAACATTCTTCCTTGTGGTGATTGATGGGCCACCCGGGACGGTCAGCAACGCCAATAAAAGAGATGGTTCAGACCTTGAATTTGTTAGTGGTGCTGTTCACCACGGCCAATCCCCTCAGACTGCCCATTTTGTCTGTATGAACAATTCCTCAAAGAGCAACTGCAACGACATGCACTCGGATGGCCTAGAAGGCACAATTCTTCGTATGCCTGATGGGATGGGTTTTGCTAAATATGCTGTTGCACACTCGGTCAAGGAATCAAACTTCTCAGTTCCACGGTATCTCGCTAAGCGGGCACCAATTGATGCAAAGGTCTTCGAACTAGAGTATAGTTACAACTTCTCCAAGGCCAAACGAGGCGATGAACCGATTTATTTTCGCGTTGACTACTCGGATACTGATAACTACTATACAGAAGTTGTGAAAGGCCACCATCAGAAGCGAAATTTAGGGCGCAGGTTCTGGAGCTCTTCTAAGTCCGTCTGGAAAAACCTCTTCAAGCGTTTACGTGGGCAAGTCTACAATGCTTTGACTCAGCCTTCACTAAGCTATGAGAACTTCAATACCTTGATATATGGAAATGATGGCAAGAAAAAGGGCTGCAAGGGCGCAGACGGGTTCTTGAAGCTCAATCTCTCTGGGTCTATGCGCAATGTTATGCAGTTTGGATTCACTATCATCGGAACCATGCATCCATTTGCGATAGATGAAGCATACGGATTCTATGATTCGAGCCTCCATATGTCAGGAAAGCTTGAATTTGATGGAAAGGGTGAATTATCGATCAACGAGGGGGTTGGTGTCTCCCGGAAGTTGCTCAGAAGCTCCATCACAAAATATGAAGCCTCACATCCCGGTCTAGTATCATTTTCACCAAGCATGAATGCGGACATTTCTCTTGTTGGATCAGGATACATGGATGGGAGGTTTACCGCTAACTTTGAAGTGGACTGGGGCCTCGGAACACATGCTCCTCCAGATATGGGTAAATTTTATGGTTATTCCATTTCCCCCAAACCTAGCAACCCTTCAGGGTATATCTCTGTTAAGGAAGCTACATACAATGATCTGTTTTCTATGAATATCAACCTTGAGACGACAATGGAATTGAATCTATTCGACTACAAAACTTCAGAGCAGAATGCAAAAGCACTTTTTACGGCACGAGTGCCGCATGCAATTCGTGTTGTTGGAAATGTAGGTTCTGGAAATCCAGCAGTCATTAACTCCCCTCAACAAGCAACCTCCGAAGTTATCCAGACCGGCATCCAGAGTGGCTGGGACGATGGCACTACCCATTTGCTTGGTCATCGATATGACTCCTATGTTCTATTTTCAGGGGGGGAAGCACCAGTTGGTGCTAGAGAGACCCCTGAAATCAACGGCTACGCTCTTTTCGGTGATAAGGATTTTATGTCATGCTCGGAGCCTGCAGACAACCTTACTTGTACTTTCAGCCTCGCAGAAAACGATCCAAGCTACTCCCAGCCAAGCTTGGAAAATCAACTAGAGTTTGAGCTCAAGCAAAGTTTCCTGGAATCTCTATCAGACAAAGAGCGTGCACTATATAACGACACTTTATCCAAAAGAGCTGGCCCGTCAAGTGGCCATGCCAACACCTACGCTATCTACGACTGGCCAGATACCGGCAATAACTATGCCTTTAACTTTGAAACACCGACTTATCCGAACGGCGGAAATGGCGCAGCGCTTGATGCTGAGACTGGTGTGTATTGATTCCATGATTTTCAACTCATACTAATAAAAGATATAGGACGAAATGAGCGGTATTCTCTAGCCAATCCTACTGATTGCGTTGACACCAGTATCACCGCTAATGGTGTGCTTGGAACGAACTACATGACTGTTGAAACTGAACACCCGTTTGATCGAACTATCTTCCCGACCCACTTTGCTAACTTTATCCAACGTGGTGTGTACTTCAATAACTAGCGCCTAGGCCATTTTTAGTTACTCCGCTAAAACATTACACGAGTATAGGTGTCCTCGACCTTGACGACCGATTTGGGACGCGCGCCTTCACGACCAATCTTCCTACGTGGGAGTGGGAGCAACTCTACGACACCTTTGCTCATGATTATCGTATCTGGGTTCCCCGAGGCCGTGGGATAAATATACCTCCCGGAACTCCCTCTGCTGATGTTGCAAACGCCCTGGGCTCTACTAGCAATCCGGGTGTGCTGTCGAACCTTGAAAGAGATTTAAATGCAAGTTGTCCGCCTTTGCTTCTTAGTGTGCAGCGAGCTAATGTATTAGTGTGGAAATTACAGAATTTAAAGGGACGGGTGTACACGACATCGGGGGACCCAACATCTGACGACGTCTGGGATGGATGGATGACCGCAACAGCTACAAATGCTAATATAGCACTCTCATCTCTTCGAGCTATTTTTGCCGTTTTTAACTATATGAATGCTATTAGTAGCGATCGAGCAGCGGTACTCGAAGATATTACTGCGACGTTGGAACAATTCGACGAAATTTATGGCCAGGTATATATTTTCCAGTGGATTTTTTTTGTTAGTTTACATTGCTGACTCATGGGTGCAGGTTTATCCTACTCGTCCTGAGCGGCTAGCCCCCCTCTGGGCTGAATTTCAGACGCAGTGGAATATTCGCGTTGTCTACCATGCCACGAGCTATCTCACAAGGCGTTTAGACTCCCTGTATAACCTTTGGAATCCCCTTACAATGACTGTCAACCCCCTGCGTACGGCGGCGGTATTAATAGTCACGAAAATCAGAACATTGAGGGCAAAGATACCCACCGAAATTAGGCTTTAACTAATAGTTATAACTCATAGCTCCTCGATCGATGGATAAAATTTCTACTAGACTAGAAGGACGGCAAACACTCTATAACCGCTGGATATAGGACCCGTTCGACTAATTAGAACTATATACTCAGAGCAGTACCCCACATATACTCTATTCAATATTAGTATTGTCTCTGTGTTTGGATCCCAGGTGTGGCGGATTCCGCCCAAAACATCACCAACAATTGTATATCTCACTAATTAAGCAGGGGAAGTAGTATAAATAGTATCGCACTTTGAGAACTCTTATTATTAGTTATGATGTTTCGCCTCTATTATCCTCATTCATGCTGCTAACAGGACGAAGGAAGTAGGTATTTAAGACAATAGCGGTTTAACTACCTCTCGCAACCTTCAATGGGTATCACATTACCATAATAAGCTAGCCTATAGATATCCCGTAGATAGCACGGCTATATTTTAGGTATAACTAGTAGTTATCTTATATCAAAGAGGCATCATTTGCTGTGCAATAACAATAGAGGTTAAGGTGCATGTCCGATTTACAGTTCTGGGGCACAAGTATTCTGTTTTTAGGGAACGCAATCTGTTTTACATAAGTATCTCTATTCTTATGTTGTATATAACATCTCTAGATATACATATTATGGCTTTAAAATAAAGAAATAGGCTACAAATAACTTAGAGAAACAGATAGGATGCTGTTAGCGGCCGAATGTAGTTCTATTCAACTACACTAAAAGTAATGAGCCCACATTAATAGTGGGCAGATATGGAGTTTCTAATACTTTGACTGGACAAAGAAAGTTGTGCTTGTATTTGATCAGTAAAGCTATAACTGGCTTTGATCGCGAGTATCAAAAAGATCCTTTTGATCAAGTGGGCGATGAGTGCTGTTATACACATAAGATATCTCTCCCTCATCGTCAGCCTTCAACTTGTCCTAGGAGAAAAATTCTTCCGTTCCGTAGCCTTGTTCTTTTGACTTTGGACACTCCGGAAAATTAGCCAATCAGCGATTATTTAATTTAAGGTTATTATCTAATTATGATCGTCAGTGTCATGTGACTCGCCAGCCACTTTTGTTTACGCTTACATAATCCCTGCCATTTTTATTTTCCAGCTCAAAGTCGAAGCTGAAGACGAAGACGAAGACGAAGAGGACGAAAACGCATCTTTTTGGCGCTGATGCTTGAGGTGCTTTTAGTTTCTTTTAGACAAGATAGATAGTACGGATTATCTTCCTGCTGCATGGCATAGTTGATATACTGCTGAGCAGAAAGCCAGCAAAGAAGCGAACCCGTCCACTTGTACGCCGTTGTCGTGGTAACGGCTTCAACCAGTCGAAGATATATCTGGTTCTGCTCTCTTTTTTGAAGCCAGTTTGTTATTTGAAGAAAGGGATCTTTACCTATTTATCACACTTACATACGCCATAAGAAAGCACTGCTGGACAGCTGCCTGGCCGTTTATCACGATGGCGCCTCGAATACAGGATCTATATACCAAAGGCGCTGCCAATAGCGACAACCATAACCACAATGGCCGCTCCCTCCCATCGGCCAGCTCGAGCTTCAGTCGTATTGGAAGAGATACAGCTCTCGGCCCACGGCAGCTGCATGCCATCACCAAGAGAACGCAGATGATAAACATACCAGCCATATACAGCGGCCCACACACCTCACCACCCATTGTCGTAGCCATTGTGCTCGGAACGGTCATTGGCTTTGTGCTGGTGGCCTACGTGCTTTATATAGTGTTGAACAAGCCCAAGGATATCATGTCTGCTTCATCAGACGTCGTCTCAGAGAATATCCGCCGACCTAGGCGCAAGGGACCGCCCCGTCGAAAGCCCACCAAGCCAGCAGCTCGAAAGAAGCCTATTATAGTTGACGAAGACGAGCCGGAGCCATACTTCGTTGACGTGCAGGACACCAGCGGCCACAGGCATGAACATGCACCTTCAGGGTATGGAGAAACCGAGTCGCTGGGATACACTGAGGAGACATCCGAGTCGCACTACCACCATGCGCCGAGGTCAAAATACTCGCAGGAGATGGCGGAGTCGTATTATGATCCGAGCCCAAGCGGCCGACGGTGAAGAGGATGGGCGAGGACGACGATGAGGATGAACATAATCTAATGACTGGATTTTTTTTTGTGGAGTTGGCGAGGGAATCTGTTACTTGGGCTCTCTTTTTTTTCTTGTTGTTTCTTGGACTCTTCTTGTTCATTGTTAATGCTCCTTGGACAAAGATACATACGTGGATGAGCCCGGCACTGCTGACGCTTGAGAACTGCCGCAGCCAGCCAGCTCGGCTTCTTTGTACCGACTAAAATAAACGACCTGTCGATTTTGATTTTATTTTATCTCCATCCCATCCCATCCCATCTCAGATGCCTCCTAACGGCAGCCGGCTGAGCCATCAAAAGTGCGTGGACACCACCGGCATGCATGGACGGGCCGCCTCGCCAGGAAACCCCATGCCAGTGTTTGGTACTTATGAGTACAGGCTGTCTCGCTGCGTCTCTTGCATGTCAGCCATGCTTAGCCCCCAATAGCATAAGATCCACCGCGACGCAAATCTACCAATAACCGGACACCAACAAGTCCACTCGATAAGCCACAGCTGGGAAGACCCAAGAGCCTGCCGGGTTTGCAAGTCCGAGTCTCGGGGAGTTCAAGGGCCTCTTAGTCACTGCATAACCACTAGTTATATAATAAGCAGCGTCGTTTTGTGGCTGGAGGTTCTTGCTTCGTCGCTTTTATTTTAGGGCATACCTTACTAAACTACAAAAAGCTCGTGTCAGCCACGGAACACCGACGCTCTCTTTTTATAAAAAGCTACACACCGTCACATCCTGCTCCAGACACCCTCGACAGAGACAGAAGAGAGCTACAATAAAACGAAAGAGAAGAAAAATCCAGCATTTTCACCATGGCCGATAAATACGTGAGTCCCTCCTCTGCTGCCCTGTCTCGCCTTCTCCAGCTCTGCTTTGCCTCCTTGCAAGGCTCCATCTTGGCGCACGGCACGGAGGCGCTGGAGTTTGGTCGATGCGTTGAAGGCATTATTTCATAGCTCAAATAGTGCATAGAATATGCTTGATAGAAGACGTGGAACTGATCGTGATGCGCCTCCTGCTATAGAACCAGCCTCCATCCTACCCACAGCCTGCCCAGGGCCAGGCCAACGACTACTACCAGCAGCAGGGCCCTCCTCCCCAGCAGTACGGTCAGCCCTACGGCCAGCCTCAGCAGCAGTACTATCCTCCACAGGGAGCCCCTCCCCAGCAGCCCATGTACTACCAGCAGCAGCAGCAGCAGCCAGTGGACAACCGTGGCAGCGGCAGCGGTGGTCTCTGTGCCGGTCTCATGGCCGGTCTGGCCTGCTGCTGCTGTCTTGACATCCTCTGCTAGACGGGCACCAGGCTACTCCCTCAACCACATGCGTCAAACATTCAACGAGGAATACACTCCGGCGGCGGCGAGAGTTACTTGGTGGACGTGATGTCTATTTCATACCAACTTGGGCCGACGAGTATTCTATCCTTAGGCTACGCGCACGACGGCCTGCCTGCAGCTATTCTACTCCGACCCTACCATAATAGATGCAAGCTTCCGGCTTAAGCTCAGCTGCAGCTGTTCTCACCTTACGCTCCTTCAACCTTCTGCCACTTTCCTTCCTCATGCCAAGCTCCTTTTCCGTTAAGCTCGCATTGATGAACACGTTCTGCTTTGTGTTTTCTTTCCGTTCCTCTTTCTTTTCCCATTTCTTCTTCTCTTCAGCTTAATTAGAGGCAACGGGTTTTGTTTCTTACTTACTCACCCTTCCTTCTTAACAAACTCATAAGCACCCTATCCCTTTGCTGGTAGTTGTGTGTTTTACGGCAGTATTCAGAAAGAAAATACGATTGTAATACCTGTTCTTCAGTGCATATTCAATTCTCACATATATTTTCCATTCTAGCATTCTTTATAAGGGAGTTCGTTTCTCGAGTCTGCGCAGATAGCGGCTTATAGCCACTCGTGTGACCGTTTACTCGATTCGTCTTTTCCCTGTCTATATTTACTAGTAAAAGATGCAGTTATCACTATAAGCTCGATAGCCGACCCAAGCACGGCAAAGAGAGACATCAATATCCGTTCGTTTGCTGCAGAGAAAATGCATCTTATGCAAGCAAATGGGTTCCTGCATCTTTGTATGACACAAGCTAACTTGTAAAAGGACATACATACTATCAGCGAAGAAGTTACTTTGTCTCTTAAAAGTATAGATCAAAGGGGGGTGGTAGAGTAAAGACTAGATAACTATTAAATATCCACTTATAATTTTTTTGCCAGGTTCTTCCTGAACTTGAATTTATCTCAGATCGTGAGTAGAAAGAGCGCTTAAAGACAAAGATGAGAATAGCAGTAACTCAGGGGAGTGCACATAGCATACGTTTAGTATGCATTCAGTGCATATAAGTGTGAAGTAAAGTCCAGATAAAGTCCGAAAAAAGGCATCTATTGAGCCTCAGCAGGAGCCTCAGCATCGTCGGCGGCCTTTGCTTCAGTGTTGGTTTCCGCAGCAGCCTGGGGAGCAGCCTGAGGAGTGCTGGTGCCGCTAGCCTTAGACTCTGCGGCCTTGCTTTCTTCCTCTAGGCGGTCAATTTCTTCCTGCGCCTTCTTGATATTCTATTGTTGATACTGTTAGTTTCTGTTTTGTTTTTTTGTTTTACCACGCAGATGACTACAGTAACACTACAGTGTGTATACGGGTTAGACTTACTTCAGCGGTCTTACTGGCCTGGTTAGTCTTCCAGTCCTTAACCTTCTGAACCAGCGCGTCTATCAAAGCAGGGACATCGGACTGGTTCATTGGGGGGTCTATCTTGACTCTGGACAGGTCTTCGAGGACACCAAAGCTGAGGTTGAACTTGCTGGCTTCTGGCTGAGCAGCAGCAGCAGCCTTCTTGCCCTTCTTGCCCTTCTTTCCGCCGGTGCCACCCATAAAGTAGTTGTCGTCACGGTCGTCCTTCTTGATGACTTTGACGCCCTTGATATCGGAGTCATCGACCGTGCGGCCAATTTGAGCACGGTAGGCGACGGAGGAAGGTAGCTGGGACTTTCCGAGGCCGATAGAGGCAAGATCAAAGGTGGGATCAAAGTGTCTGATGAGACCTTCGGCAGTGAGAAGTTCGTCAGTGTATGCGGGCATGGAGGCTTCCTCGAGCTTCTTGTCGGCAATCTTCTTTTTCTTCTCACGCTCGTAGACCTCACGCTCGGCCTTTTGGCGCTCCATGCGGATACGGTAGGCCTCCTGTTCATATTCCCTGTTTGCTCGTCGGGCCTTGTGGTAGTTGTCCTTGATTTCCTTGACGTTATTCCATGCCCGTTGTTGTTCGTTGTGGATCTTGGTTCGTTCGTCGCGGAGAGACTTGATGTTCTTGAAGACGCCGTCCTGCTCGCTCTTGATATCGTCGAGTTCCTTCTGGAGAGCAGTGTACTGTTCGCTCAGAGCCTTGGCCTCGGGGTTGTCTAGCCCCTTCTTGAGCGTGCTCAGCTGGGCCTTCATCTCGTCGATGGTCTTCTTGCTGTCGTCCATGGAGGAAAAGTTCTTACGCTGCTTTCGCAGGTTGGATATATCGGCCAGGTTCTTTTTCTCGTCAACCAGTCTCATGGTCCCAGAGTCGACTTCCTTCTCCAAGCGCTGGATCTCCCTATCGATTTCCTCGACACTCTTGAACGACAGTCTGTCGCGCTGGTTCTTCTGCTCGGCGAACCGAGCCTTGATGCTGGAATCCAGAGCATTGATCTTCTCCTGGAGAGCTGTACGGGATGCCTTGAACCCTTGCTGCTGCTGGCGGATTGCCGCGAGCTGGCTGCGCAGTTCCTGCTGCCTCTTAGCGACAGGCGAGCCCTGGTTGTTCGGGGTAGCAGACTCTATCTTTGCCTTGATTGCTTTCCTACAATATTTCACTGTGTGGAGCCCAGGGCGCACCAATCACTTTAAAAACAAATCCCAATCTCAAGGTGTGAATCCCTACCCAATTTTCTTCTGAACAAGTTGCCCAGGTCCTTCTCCGGCATTTG